CGGTCGACAGGGGATGCTTACTCCTCTATGGAACCTGATTCCACCTCTGATATTGTGAAAGGTCGGTCTGTGTTTGCTCTCTCTCGATTTGTTTCCTTTCAATGGCCTTTGAGCTAGATAACTGTTTTTATCTTTGTCGTATATCTCAAACGTCTCTCCTCATTTCTGAACACCTACTTATCCTCAGCCGCGTTTATATCAATTTATTACAATTTTAATTGCTTCGGACGAGAGTTATTATAATTTCGAAAATTAATGTGGCTAATAAAATGTACGACAAGTGTTAAGACAAAAAGGTACAAGCCAATTAATGTGTATACCGTGTTATAAGCATAGCTAAAAATACTATTAATGAGTTAGTTGATTATGTCGCTGAAAAACGAATGTATTAATTTCATTAATAACCAAAAATCTCTGCATTAATATGAACAAAGTCATGTCCCCCATGCATGTTGACTAAAAATCTGCAACGTGTTCGAATCAAGTTCAATAATTCATAGAAGTGAGGGATTGTAATTGCTTTAACATTTTACTTATTGCATAAGTAAAGTGCTACAAATCATAGGAGGCCCCTGGTTTTCGTTTGTCAGTTTGGGAATGTCGCCGCTTGAATTTAGAGCACCTGTCATTTATATAAAAGGTCGCAATGCTGTCAAGTATATCAAACCGATAACATGCGGAAGTCTTATCACATTTTATTCTGCCTGACTCTCTTAACAACCGATGCAGCAGCGGGCAGACCTAAAAGTAAGTTATCTATTTTTTAAATATTGTTTTAATTACTGGTTTATTGCAAACATGCTTTTTTATATGCAAAGTCAGTCCAACTCTCGACAATGTTTCATATTATTAAAACAAACTAGCCTGGTCACGGATGTAGTATTTACTGCAGTGAATCAATGTAGTCATTAGTTTCTCCGTATACAAAAAAATTTCTTCTCATGAAATGTTGAAAAGATGGAATAATGAACTAGCTAGGCCGTAACGTCAATAAAAAAAATTTAAGTGTTTCGATTTTTGGGAAGTTTGAACAGAAGGGGGTGTACTTTTAAAAAAAATACACATAAAGGAGAATGTTTTTCATGCTAATTGTTAGGCCATTGTATATACTTATTTTTCCGTCTTCCCGATCATGACAATTAAGGGGGGTGTGAGCGATCGGTAGAGGATGCTCACTCCTCCATGGCACCTGATCCCACCTGATGTTTTAGAGGTCCGTGTCTGCTCTGCCCCTGATTTGTACGATGAGCTCGAATACTCTTCACTATCTCAATAAATCATGTGTAAAAATGCATCTTTATTTAGAATTACCTCAAAATATACAATTTTAATTGTAATCTGTTGCATTTTTTTTTACATTGAATCGATGAATTCATGTCTATAAAAGAGAGAGAAATGGCTTATCTATCATTTTTATTGTCAGCTTTTGCATTATGCATATTCATAATATTTTAAAAATTGAGAGATAATCATTTTACAAATCAGAATTTGCAGAACTCTTAGTATTTTCTAATTTGATTTAATTGACAGAAATTGTGGAATGTACTATAGACAAAACGTGGTTCCGGATAGCAAGGATTCTGTTACAGTTACGGGTCACTCAACGTCCCCTTAAATTTCACGGTAAGTTGCCTCTTATATTTTAAGGCAAGCTGTTCCTTAAATTTTACAGCAAGTTAAATTGCTTTGTAGATTTTGAGAGAGAGAGAGAGAGTGCACATGAATATATCTTTGATATTCAGAATTAAGAGCTGTGTCTTGAACTTGTGCACGATATAGGCCTATATTTAAAAATTCGCAGAAGACAGCTAATGCCACGTACGTGCTTTCCATACAGTGAAATTCATCTTAATTTTTATAAAAAGTCAACCGCATTGATTTTTAAATTTTTTTTCTACAAATGTTAAATGAATAATCTTAACTGATTTAAATTTTTTTCATTCAAAGTTTTACTTTTTTTTTTTACAATCAAAATAGGTCCAAAAATATCTATAATATATTTTACCAGTGCAGGCAATCGTTTTTGTTTGCATCATCGTTTCTCATTAAAACATGCATTTTAAAACAAACTGAAACTTTTACGAGATTTATCCAAAAAGGTGACCAAATTTAGTCTTTATATCTTATTCTTTAACCGATCTTGGAAAAAAAAAAGAATTGCACAATTTATTTTGTAAAATGCAAAACAAAAATGATACACAAATTCTTGACACGTATTACTGTGACTTCTATCATACCTCTTAATTACATAATTCTCGGAGAATATATTTTTACACTCTCGGTTTTATTTATTGAAACTATTGCATATGCCAAACCATTCATAAAGAAAATAGCAAATATGACCCAGGTACTGAGAATGGGACCCCCGTGTTCCTTATCCCAAGGGTTCTTTGAATTTTTTTTTTTTTTGGAAAAAAATATTTTTATATATGACATATTCACAAAGTATTGCAACTGAAAAATAATCCAACATTTAAGCTAAAACTAGCCTTTTATAAAAATCCTATTTTCAGAACTTTGATACTCGCAAACCACGGCCAACATGTACGCTCCTCTCCCATCTGTAGGAGAGAGCTGTATATGCGGACTCCGGACCGTGGCTTGAGACGATGCAGCGAGTATGGCTTTTCATAAAAGGCTAGGTTTAGCTTAAATTTTGGATTTTCGGTTGAAATACTTTGTGAATATGTCATCGAAAAATATTTTATTTAAAAAGAACCCTTGGAGTTTGAAACACAGAGAGGGGAGGGGGTCCCGTCCCGAAGCACCTGTCTATGACAGCTTGTCAGTTAATTTGGTGGTTGATTTCAGAGAAAAAAACCTTAAAGAAGTCGGTCCAAACCTGACCCAGATAGAAACTATTTTTAATGTCTTTTTCACCTAAACATATTTCATGTTAAACAGATAAAGAAACGTCCAAATTATTTATAGGGTGTCTTTTAAATAAAATTATTCTGAAACTACCACTAAATAGAAATCTTAATCTGCTTAGAATTCATAGAGAATGGAATTCGAGGAAGTTTATTTATAAATAATAGCGATGTCAAACAAAGAACAAAGAAATTAGAAAAGGCTTCATAATAACTCTCTAGTTGATAAAAAAAATAATGATCCTCCAATTCTGTTTCCAGAAGTCAAGGAAATAAGTGAAAAGTTGTATATTTTTATTTGTAACATTATTTCCGAGTAATTTAATTTAAAAACAATAAACAATCAATCAATTTTACGCTTAGTACATCTAAATGAGGGAATGATCCCTACTGATTTTTACGTCACAGGGTCAAAGGTTAAGTGTAAAATTAGACATTGGAAGAAATTTTGATAACTTTTTGCTGGACAGACATCAAATTTGGTACCCCCCCCCCCCTTTAAGGAGTAGATGACCTTTTGAAATATTTCTATTGATATTTTACATACATGTATATACTCGTACTAGTATATTTATATTAAAGTAATGGTAAATAAAATGTTGATACAAAAAAGTGGAATAACATGTCACATATACATTTTAATTATTTATAGAATATGCTGAAAGGATTACACCATCGTTTAAGAGAGGATGTCCTGTGCTGGATTGTCCGAGTGTCCATCACGTTCCACGTATCTGCAGGATCCCCACCGTATTCAAATTCTGGGGGCGGACTTGTAAGGGATGTCATGTGAACATGTGTACCCATAGACTATTACCTGTGCTTCTCAGGTCAAGGACTTCACCCAATGAATATCATGACATTTTCAAATCATACAGGGATGTAGATTAAAAAATCTATAAAAAAAAAAAATTGTATTTCGAAAATCTTGTGAAGGACATCAGTGGTTAGAATGTTGAATGTTATCAACGGCCTTCATAGTCAAGTGACCTTGACCTTAAGATAAGGCATGGAGGTCCCAAAATGAGAAGTCCAAAGTATGCAGTACATGCATATGGACAACAGAACAAAGTCCATTCTTATAAAGTATTGCCATTGCGGAACGGAATGTTCTTTGCTATGAATAAAGTCCTTTCAATTAAAAATATGTCCATTCATGGAATCTGCAGTCATCGACACAAGAATGCACTAAATTGTTGATCTTAATTAAACCATCTACTTTAGCAGTAATCTTACGTTATTGTTTCTGAGATAAAGACAATATATTATTAAGATATTTGTTAGTAAAAGTTTATACAAATAATATTTATTTATAGCTCATTAATAATTCCTTTATTATGTTCACTTGAGACTTGAAATAAAATATGATAAAATTCTGCTTTTGTCTTTGATGTAATAACTTTTATCATAAGTCTCTCTGTTTCTCTGTCTTGCACAATTGTTTATTGTCTATAATTTTGAAACCCTTTTAATGTCTCTTTCAATGTCTGAAACTTTATTAACTTTTGCTTCTTATCATCCATGCCCTTGGGATGTGCATTGATGGCTCAAGGTCACTGAGCAAAACATTTTGAAATCATGCAACATACACTAAAGTTACAGTCAAACCTTGTTATTTCAAACTCAAGATATCCTAGGATTCAAGGTATGTTGGGTAGAATTTACAAAAGTTATTCCCCTTTGTGGGGTCAATCTGGGGTCAATCGGTGTACTGTTTTCCCTCTATAACCTTACCAACTTTATGGGTCAGTATCTTAGAAATAAAATCTATATGAATGTGCTCGTTATGTTTTTCATGTTGCCCCATACTCTGACACCACAGGTAAAGATCAAATTTGTCCGATAACGTTTGAAGATTAAAAATAATAACAGGTATAAACTTACAAAAGACAAAGTGGGAAAAGTGAGTGTTACGCCAACAACTGGAGATAACTCTTAGGAATGTGAAATTCGTCTATACTAAAAGAATAAGGGACCAGGACTTCAAAATCACATTGACATATCCATGCCATGATGGTATTCAAGCTTTCAGTGTTCAAGATATCAAAGTTCAACTGTATCTGCTATAATCCTGGAACTTTTCACTGGGATGAATTTAAACATATTGTATGATGTAACTAATGGTATGGAACCTTTAATTTGAAATAAATTCAACCTACTACAGTGTGTAACTGTCTTGTATCCTTCGTGTAGATCAAGATATATCGAAGGTCAAATTCATGGAAAAGTGCTAAAACATGGTATATCATTTATAACTTCAAACTTGACTTCTATGTCATGATCAAATCACTCAAAGTTCAAGTCTGTAAGGGAATTATATAAATTTGACAAGGCAATAAAATTTTTAATTGTCTAAAATATATTCATTCTTATGCAAATATGTCATAATTTAGTTTCAAGGTCATTTTATTTAGATAATAAAGTGATGACTGGAGAAGAGATTCCCATTGCTAGTCTTATTTTTTTAAAAAATTCATAAATGGCAAAATAGCGCCAACTTTAATAAGGGTTTTTTTGGGATATTTTTTTACCTTTATTCAGATGATCTAATGTAACTTTACATTTTATGCTTATCATCTAAATTAATACTAACACCTAAGCATTTTAACATATATCTAAACATTATACTTTGTTCAATGTCGAAATTCTTCAGAGACTCAATGATGGGTTTCAGATATATATTGTCACTGTCTAAACACTGACTGTCATACTCTATATGTACAGAACTCAGAACTGCTTGCCCCTTCCCCACCTTACACTTCACGATAGCTGCAGGTTCCCCCTTAAGTTCAGAGTAAGTACATAAAACTTCTACGTCATGTTCTTGGCTTTCATAACTAGAGGTAGGCTGGGACTCCTGATCTTCTGGACATAAATTTACTGAGGTAGGTAAATCTGGTTTGTCCAATTCAATAAAATATGTCTGCTCCTCACTGGAAATGCCATTTTTTGAGTGATAACTGTCATGGACTTTTCTGGTCTCGAAACTCCCTTTTGGATAAGGATAAAACAATCCTCCACCACTAAAGTAAGCTTTAAATTCCTCCATCTTGTGAGACTTGAATCCATTCTTGGCGCTGATTGGTGAATTAGAACATAAAACATCATTGGTCAATGCGACTGGCTGGGGAATCTGGCACTTTAATGATGCTGTCCTAGATCCAAATTCAGATTTATATCTGTATGGTCCATACAAAGGCCCGATCTTACCTCCTGAAAGAAATTTATAAGACAATACCGGTATATAAATTTTTTAAAGATAGAATAAATCCATTTTTTTGTTAAACAGGAGAGATACTTCATAATTTTAAAACATCATTAGTTTTTAAATATTTTTCAAATGAACAAGACCCTACCCCTCTAATAAAGCATAATAAATTTAATTCAGAAAAAGGTTAGTTTTTACTATACCAGGGTAGAATTTCAGCTGCCTTTCTCCACACACTTCAAGGGGTCCTCCTTTGTCAAACTCAATGTAACTACAGGCAAAGTAAGCCCCAGAACAGATACCTAGGTACGAGCCTCCTCGGTGTACATACTCCTGGATCTTGTTCATGCCTGTCGGCCCTAAAGCTTCGATAAGTCCCAGATCGTACCCTCCCCCAATCACATACAGGGCTGCAGAGTCACACCAACTACCTGTCAAGTTTAACAGAAATATGTTAAGACACAATTTAGAATATGTAAAATTTAATGTTGTGCTACCTTCCTTCTTGTTTGACTTTTCCATGGAGAGGCAAGACATTTTGTAAGGAAGTTACAATACATGTACAAAAATCACTGATCAGTGCATAATTTTACTAAAAGCTGGCCTTGTAACTTTGGGATTAGGCATGAATACATATTGGTCATTGGTAAAATAATTCCAATAATTAGCATATACATTTTATTTGTGTGGATGTGAGGATATCTCTGTGTGTCTGTCTGTCTGGCGGAGTGTTGTACACAATGCAAAGATCATCATTTCACATTTTGTCTTATTCTTGCTACAGAGGTGTTGGATATAGCCAAGATTATGAAACTGATCTAAATGGACAATTAATATGAATAATGCACACTATATGTACTTGCTTGAGATGTGTTAGTCCAATAAAGGATTTAGACAAACTGAACTCATGTGAAGGTTTATTCCAGTTGCACAAAGCTGTGTTATTAGCAATGGGAGGAGACAGTTTGAAGACTAATTTTTATCTTATACCTTCTATATATGATACAAACTGAAATACTAATATGCATGCAGGTGGTTGAAAATATATGTACAGCTAAACATAATGAAAATAAAATTGGAGAATTATTTCTAAATTAAATATTATAATGACATAAGACTGTTAGATCAAAGACTTATGACTAATAGTTTAATTTTTTAATTAAAAAATGTTTCTGTCTGTCTATGCATTTGTCTGTGCAATTTTATTAATCAATTTCTTAAAAGTTGTGTGTTTTTTTTTTAAATCCTGTTGTCTGTCACAGAAAATGCCACAGCATGACTTATTCCAATACAAATTCTAAACTTGCTGCTTTTTGAAATATTAACAGCTGCTAGTTATAAATACTGTATGTGTACATTACAGCAGCCTATAGGATATTTTTTTGAAATAATGTTCTTTTTACAAGCCCACAATCTGAGCTTTATTTGGTATATTGTACAAACTGTTACCTCATTTCATTTACTATTAATAAAAAAGACTCATTTGAATACTTGTAGTTAATCTGACAGCTTTCTGACTTCTCTTTCTCCCTTTATCATGTTTATCTTGACATCTACTCCAACTTGCTTAAATTGTAAATTTGTAGTCGCTGGATGGAGATTTTTTAACTGTCAGCAGATGGCAGACGTCCTTGGGATGTAAATTTTAAGGATGAACACATTTAATGAACGTATGTGTGTGATGAAATTATAACCCTCATATTTAATTAAATATGATTTATTTTCAGTCCCCCCACTCACCAATGATTGTTTCCTCTGGAGTAATAAATTGAACGGAATGCACTCGAGGGTTGACAAATCGCATCAACTGTGACTTCAGAACTTTACAGTTTTCTTCCAAGGCCCCTAGTCCTTTGTACACATAGATAACTTTCTTGGCAGTCCCAGCCATGTCTTGTTTTATTGAGTCTATAAATAGAACAAATGAAAATTATCAAATCACAAAATTAATTCTGGAGCCAGATACATTGTACTTTGACAGTGATTTGACATGAAGAGATCAGTCAAGTTAATAAAAATAAGTAAATATATCAAAATCATGTACTATTAAATCTCCATTGAAAAGATTAATTAAAAAATTCAAATTAAGCTACAATTCCTAAGACACAGGTTGAAAAATTATATCAAGTCCATGCAGTGTATAGTGATTCTGCAATCTTGCATACTTTTTTTTCTTTGAGAAATTTGAATGTATAAATATAGAATTATATATTTTTCATAAAAGGATGTTACTCAGCACATGGTCAGGTGCTTGATACTAATTTATCGATAAAATATACATGTGTATATATTTAAAAAATATAATAATATTGAAAGGGTTCATAACAATGCCCTTCATTGACTTTTTCTTTTACTTTTTTTATTATGATTTCAGATTAATTCTATAATTGATTAAATATGGCCACAACAGGACATTTTAAAAGATTTGTCCCTAATAAGTTATTCATATGGAAATCACTGAACTCTTGATGCTTGCCAGCTTAACACTCTGCCCAATTCTGGTTATGAGTTGAAAATCATATCAATGAATTAATCTTCATTTATACATGAGAATGCTAGATTTTCAGTAAATTTGACATTTAGTACACTTGATTTTCTTCAAACAAATTCAAATACATGTATTTCAAATAACTTCTTATTTATTTAATACACTGATTTTCTTCTACTCATTTCTAAAAAGCTTAAAATGATTTATAAATTCTATGCTTAAAAAAAATTGATTTATTGGAGCTATATAAACACTGTCAGGTATCCGCGCCGGTTGTGACATGTTTGGATGCAGTGAAAATGGCGGAGTCAATCAACCACTTCGATTCATCGAAAGGTTTTTGTCTTATTAAATGGAATCTGTAGTGTGTATTTTTACAACTAAGAGACAGCCTGTGTTTAAAAGCAATTATTTATCCTGTAGTTCTGCCAGAAATCCACGAATTTAATGAAAAGAAACTGTTCCGATGGTGACATACTATAGAACAACGTAACATGTTTGGATGACAGTGTTTACAAAACTGTGTACGGTTTGGTTGAAGTTGTGATACTTTTTAAATGAGATTCGTTGATATAAAATTATACATAATATTGTGGTATAATATGTCAATTTAACACTTTTAAAGGAAGGGGCGGGGTTTTCAGATAAATTGTTTGAAAATTTACCTGGAAACATCTTTAACGAACAAATAAATGGTAACATATCAAAACTTAATAAATCATATTTCGTAAAAAAAAAAAGGGGGGGTCACAAACAAATACTACGAAAGGATGACTTGACTGTACTGCAACCCCGCAAAAAAGAGAGTAGGGTTACAGGCCTTTCCATGAACAAGTTCCACAGTAAGAGGATAATCATGATTTATATTTGGGGGAAAATGGTGTAAACCCCCCCCCCCCCCTCTTTTTTTTTAGCCCTTATAGTCAATATACTGTTTCCTGTTTTTTTTTCATTTCATTCTCTTATTACGTAATCAGACATGTTCGGTTTATACGTACAACGAATATATACTATTCTCTGAATATATTGATTCATGAAATAATCATTTATAATAAAATATCATAATTATATAATACAATGCAAAATAAAAGTTTATAACGAGTACCAATCCTGACATATTGGCGTCAGAAGCAAAATAGGGGGGGGGGGGGAGCTGATTGAATAGACCAAAAAATTCGAACCTGAAAAAAATGACAAAAAAGAAGAAGGTCAAATTGAAATTTTCCAAACCCAAAAATCCTATTTCATGTGTGTGTGTGCAGGTGGGGGGGGGGGGGGTGTACAATGATTGAATTTCTTTCTCTATCATTTTTTTCAAATGCTATATACTGCTTACCCTTCTTTGATTATTTGGTTATTGAAAGTGGGGGGGGGGGGATGCAAACAACGCCACAATGTTCAATGCATGCCTATTTAATGATAGCAATCCCCCCCCCTCGGGTTCAATGCCTATGTAATATAGAGTTCTTTTCTTATTATTCTCATACTTAGAATATAATTATTTTATATTCGAATGAACATAGTGAGGGAGAATATAACATAGGCAATCAATGTGGCAAGCTTATTACAAAATTAAAATCACTACAAATTGGGGTCCGGCATTACACGATCAGTCGCTCAATACAGCTGTGAGCACCATCTATGTCCTATACTCAGCATTCAGGGTCATTGAGCAGTGAGGGATCTTTTTCGTGCCAGCACCTACTGCGACACGGGAACTTGGTTTATACGGTCTCATCCGACGGACCGTTCTCTCCCACAGTTGGATTCGAACCCGCGACGTAAGGATCGACTCCTTCCTTCCTGACTCTAGAGCATACGCTATAACCAGTGCGCCTTGCGTTCGATGCAAGAGCACCAACGAATGTTGAAAATGTGGGATAATCTGCATAACGGGCAATTTGTATAGTAGAGAATACGTATGCAGTTTATTGCACAAAAACTAAGGAATTCGTACACGTAGTATTGGAGAATTTTTTTCTTTTTGGACAGCAAGACAAGAATGACAAGGTTCATCCAGTTTTAGCTGCAGATAGCATTATGGTTTCATATTTTAGTGTCAAACACTAAAATATATAGAATCATAACGCTGCAGTTTCTAATCCATGCAGTTTGAGACAGTCGAGACTACATTGAATCTGTATACAGTGTATATTATGTCGTTTTGAGAAGGAAGGGGGGGGGGAGAGAATTTAGAGTAACTCTTTGGTAACTCACTGTTGACACGATATACTTAACATATTTTACATTTATTTTATGCTATCAGGCACATAGTATCATTTTCAAAGAAGAAAAGGGGTGTAATCGAAAACTTTCCTTTAAATCATGTGGTGGAAAAGGGATTCAACATTTTTATATGAAATCAAGACAACTGTTACAGTAAAAACAATGTTTGAAAAAGGGAAAGGTGGCTCTTTTCAACTATCATCTATGTGCCTATGAAAAAGTTATATGAATTGATACTAATATATATGTTATCATAAACACCATTTCCTCCATGTAAGGGCATATCAAACAAGCAAACTGGTTCGCATAGCTCTACAGGATTCAGAAATTTGAAACTATAGACTGTCAAAACCGTAACATACAGATGTTGAATTTGCATCCAAACCAGAACACTCCCATCATCCAAACCGTACTATATTTGTTACGGGTACATAAAATAAAACGTTTTTTAATTACATTTCTTGTATGGGACACAAATTACGCTTTCAATATCTTATTTGTAAAATGATTTTTCTTTCTTTTGGCTGCTTCAGCATGTTCAGATTTTAAATATATTTGATTTTATTTTAACAATCACGAATTAAAACTTGCTAAAGGGGTAAGAATGTCATGTGCATCGATAAAAAATTGCATCGACGAGTTATTTAAATGAACTCTATAAACAGAATAGAAACACATCATTTTGACTGAGCAAATACATGTACCTCTAAAATTTCAATAAAAAATTGAGAAAAAAATTAATATTTACCAAAATATAGACCTGGAAAAGGTACACAGTATTCACCGTTTGTACATTTTACGCCATTTTCACCGCATCCAAACATGTCACAACCGGCGCGGATACCCGACAGTGATAAATACCAGAAAAAAAAAACCAAAAAACCAAGCTAATTCAAAGAATTGTGGTCCCTGCTTTCAGTGTATTAGTGGATAGGATATGCCATTATCAATGGCATATATAAATAGTTTCAAATATGAATGCCCTATCGTTTGTCATTCAAAAGTATCACTAAGTTAACATTTTGGAAAATAAGGTCAAATATAAAGGTCAAGCCTCTCAAGGTGAAAAATCATAACACACTCAGTAATACATGTATCTTGGCACAGGTAATGCATATATGTAATATAACAACCCTTAATTTTCTTTATCAAAAGTAATAATCACAGACACCATTTTAAAGTGATACAAATTTCAAGGTCATGGGGTCAAAAATTATAGTCTATTTGACTATTTCAAAGGTATTGTACATTGACATATGAAAGCCCTGTCTTTCCTCATTCAAAATTTAAGTTAGGACCAAGACAAAGTTTTTTGTGACAGACTGACGGACGAATGAGATTTAATGTCCCTTTACCTTCACAAAAGTTGAGGACAATATTATGTTATATTGTTTGCTTCCTCTCTAACCTGAGTGGAAAAGAAAAGGACTCTATGTGTATCCTCCAATCAATACTTCTTACAAGAACTGAAAACTGTGACTCTCAAATTCCACCTACATTTTACTATATAACTAAATATTTAATCCTGTATTATTGTCAATAATGGCTGTTAATGAAACATAATTAGTAACTGCTCAATAATTCTACTACATGTACGAGGGTTGTCCCAAAATTCCGTAGACAAGCGTTGTTTTGTAGGAATCGTGCGTCATACATTAATGAAACTTCGTATATAGATTAAACCAATACTATCTAATAAATTTATGGACAAATATGGAGTAACTGCACAATTTATTCCAATTTAAAAGACACATTTCATTGTCTGGTGTAGGAAGGCGGCGCAATACCCAAAATTTGCAAATAAAATTTGGTATATTATATTTAAAATCTTACTGAAAAGTAATTACTACCCCGTATTATTTAATGGAAATGAAAATTCTTAATATTGTTTTATTAACTATATTTCCTCAACTTTTGGTGTTTCTACTATGATAATTAAGAATTTTATAACGTTTTATATACATGGGGTTGAAATCCGACATTTGACAAATTGGCGGCTGCGTTGGCACAGGCGGCGCACTGGACTATGATCAAGTGTTTTGATCCTGAATTCACTCTTACAGAAATGTACTATTCATAAATGTTTGGTAGACTAGGAAACACTTTCTCGTCCTGTGTATTTAAAATGACTAAAACGGTTTCTCTATGTATATGTGAATAACAGTAGCTAAAATAAAAGACAGGGCTAAGAAATGGGCAAGAGTTCCACTGTGCAACCCCATTAGAGAAAACAGCCGAAAAGCCCGTAGAAATATAGCGTTTTCAAATTATTATTATTTCATACCTGTACATGCATATACTTTGTTTACATATTTAAAGTTTGAAAATATCATAGTAATTAAGATATTTCACATTTATAACTATAACCGTTTCCTTTAATTTAAGAATTTGATTCTGATAATTAAAATATTGTCGCCAAAAATTTCAACCATTGACATTTGTATTTTTTGATGTTGCAGATTGCGCCGGGTGTTGGGGAACGATATCACTTTAAATGTTATTACTCGAAAAGTTTTCAAGTAAACACAATAAAACTTCGTAATTTATCTGCCAAGAACACACTTTAACCACCCTGAAAATGATATGAAGATACATTAATTTCTTTAAAAGATATGAGCTCAGTCTACGAAATTTTGGGACAACCCTCGTATAAAAGTCATATGTTTATCACTCTTAATTGTCACTCTTTTTAAAAGAGGGTAGTATAGTTTATCAATTGATATCACTAATCAGGCTTAAAAACATCACCAAATTTTAGTGATATCCACAGCCAGGAACCATAACTCTTAAAATTATTACCCCAATATTTAACAAGTCTCATAAATCATGTACACACATTTACATTTATGGCAATGCCATCGTCGGAAACCCATGGGTGATCTTGTCTTTACTTTATATCATGTGATAAGTAAAGACGAGATCACACGTGGGTTTCCGACGATGCATTTATTTACAAATCAAAGGTCTTGGAAATACACTGTGTAAACACTACTAAGATTGTGACTAGTTGTTGGAACAGGAAAAGGTGATGCCCCCCCCCCCCCCCCCCCCCCAACTCAACTTGTTTGATGTAGGGATATGATAGTGCAGTCGTAATAAAGACCATACTTTTAATTGCTCAATTTAAACGCCGATCAGCTCCGATCCAAAACTTTTGAAGATCGTAAGTGGCTTGATCAGAATGATAGTCGTAAAGTCACAGCTCTGTGTAAACAGGGGGGGTAAACAACAAATTGTATTTGCTAACACGGTCATTATATCAACCATAGAATTTGCAAAATTTTTCTCTTTAAATGAGACTGTTGATATAACTGTATTATCAACTTATTTGTCAAGGACTTGTCTTGTTTTTTTTTCATCAACAGGCCATTGTATTTCTAATTAACTAGGATACATAAGTCCACATGTAGTTGATAATGGTATATATTCCTACACAAATAATGCAATGGAAGTTGACAATAGAAATATGCAAAAAATAATTTTGCCAATCTACACAAAACATAGCTGCAGATACACAAAACGTAGTTTGTAACCACGCGGTCTCGGCGAGTTTGACATAAACAAGTCCTTAAAATGAAAATATATGTACTTCTCAATACTCAATACTAAAAGTGATAAGAAAAAAAAATGAAACTTACACAATAGTTACTGTATACAATAAATATTTCCTCGGGTAATAAATTAACATTGATGTAAATATTTTGTCACATTGTGGATGTCATCTGGTAAAGCGAAAGTCCTGAAGACAGCCGAGAAGTTCCGAATTTGGAATCTAGGTTTATAAAAGGTTTAGCATAAAGTAGGATTGGTAATGCGTTACAATGTCTGTTGTTTACTCCGATGAAATTTAACATGTGGAAATAAGGTGACTAAAAATGACCATGGGACAAAGAAATGATAATGAATCGAATTTTTCAGAAAGGGACAGTGAATTTGAAGCATTAACTCAATATGATACATCCCATGAAAATTCTGAAAAAACTGTTAAACTGGATAGCTTTATTTCAAATACAAAATTTGGATTACTTCATCTCCGAATGCTACTCACCACTGGTGGGGCCTACTTTGCTGTGTGTGCAGAGTTGGTCGTATTTGTTTTCCTAAGTCATCCAGTAAAGAAAGAATGGAACCTCAATAAATTCATATTTCCACTGCTACCACTGGGAAGTGGTCTAGGAGGCATCTTAGGGGAGTGTACATTTGGAATAATTAGTGACAAATACGGAAGAAAGTGGCCATTTGCTATCGCAGTTTCCACTGTTGCTCTGTTTGGGATAGCTTCAGCATTTGCACCATCATTTCTTGTCTTGGTCATTTTGCGTACTTGTGTGTCAGTTGGCAATGGAGCAGTATCATCCATTGTCTTCGTCTACCTCTTAGGTATGTAACTAAATGTATTACTTTTTCCTTTTTTGGCTCACCATGTTAAAGTCCAGAAGAGTTTATACTACCAGTATATACTTATCATCAATATTAACTTCCTAAACAAGCAAATTCAAGGAAATGTGGTCCCCCACTTTCAGTGTCTTTGTGGGTGAGATGTCATTTTGAATGACGTATTGTATGTAATATGAACACCCTGTCATATTTCATTTATTTAGAAATCATCACTGAACTCCAAGGTCAAGGTCAAAGGTTAAAGTTTTTGGCATCCGATGAAAAGTCTTTTCACAAGGATTACATATGTGAAGTATGAAAGCCCTAGCCCTTACCATTCAAAAGTTATGGTAAAGGCTAAAGTTTTTTCATAAGTACGAAAAATCTCCAAGGTCAAGGTCAAAAGGTCAAGGTTGTTGACATCAAATGAAAGGTCTTGCCACAAAGAATACATATGTGAAAAATGAAAGTCCTAGTATCTTCTGTTCAAAAGTTGTGGCAAAGGTCATAGTTTTTGAAAAGTAGGTCAAACTCCAAGGTCAAGGTCAAAGGGTCAAAGTTCTTGGTATCCAATGAAATGCCTTCTCACATGAAAGCCCTAGTCCTTACTGTTCAAAAGTTATAGTCAAGATTAAAGTTTTTTCATAAGTACAGAAATCTCCAAAGTCAAGGTCAAAAGTTCAAAGTTGTTGGTATCCAATGAAAGGTCTTGTCACAAAAAATAAATATTTGAAATATGAAAGTCCTAGTATCTACCATTCAAAAGTTATGGCCAAAGTAAAAGTATTGAATTTTTTGTAAAAGTGCGTCAAACTCCAAGGTCAAGGTCAAAAGGTCAAATTTGGTGGTACCCAAAGAAAGGTCTTATCACAAGGAATACATATGTGAAATATGAAAATCATACCTCCACTAAATCAAAAGTTATGGGCAAGGTTAAAGTTTTTGTGATGGACAGACTGACAGAGAAGAATGAGATTTAATGTCCCCTCGCTTTTGCGAAAGCAGGGGACAATAAAGATAAAGAAGCAAGTCTATTCCTAAGAAACTAGTCCTATCTGGACCAAGCTTGTATGGGTGATGCTAATTCTAGCAATGAAAACTCAACTACCAGACTTGCTTCAGATCCTGTATTTGATATTTTCTAGTTATGTGATCGGTCAAGGTTTTTGGATCAGGACTATCTCCAAGTATTATAAGCTCTAACTGGATACAAGAAAGATGCATTAAATTTTGTGGATAGACATTGCCCGACTTGCTTCAGATGCAGGGTGTGACCTACATTTACGATGAGTAACCAGATTTTAAATCTTTTCAAGTAGCTCTTTCCTAGGGTAACTTTATAGTCTGTTATGATACAACTTGCAAGATGCACCTAGAGATGAACACTATGAGACTTGCTTCTCGGGATATTAAAGTATTAAGGTTTTGAAGTAGGTCCATCTCCACCTTCAAAAATTTGTTCTTATCTTGAGAGGCAAGTCTCACAGTGTTCATCTCTAGGTGCATCATGCATGCAAGAATGATGTCTCACCTTTGCATAGTAGATACATGTACTATAGGTTGAGGTGAGCTTCTGAATCTGATAATTTTTTCTTTTATTTATAAGAATTTCAAACTTTTCAAATTTTATAAAAAATATATTAAACTTAACATTTTAATTTTTGCAGAGGCATTATTTTGTTGAAGGTTTTTTGTAAATTTTTCATTGTATTTGTTTCACTTTATTTTCTCTTATGTTGCCAGAATTCCTTCCTCAGAAAAATCGTGGGAAATGTATGGTAGGCGTGACTTTTTGTGGTGCGCTCGGGGCCGTGTTCGCCGGTGGAATGGCCTGGTGGTTGCTGGAGAGCTACAGCTGGAGGCATTTTATGGCGGCCTGCGCAGCACCAGCATTTATTGTGTGTATAGCGGCATTCTGTCTCACAGAAGAATCTCCCAGGTTTCTCTTCATTTCTGGTCAGGAACACAGAGGAAAAATGGTGCTTCAGAAAATGATCCACGAACCTCTAGCATGGCAAGGTATTATTGTTTAAACTTTTAGTGTGTTCTAGTGTATCTAAATATTAAGGAATGAGAGGTACCAGAAATAATCCTATTTTAAATGTGTAAATTAGATAGATCAACTGGTATTTACTCACTCTGTAGTCTGAAAGTCATTTGTTTATTTAATCCATGCAAATCAGATTTAAGATTTAATGTATTCAAACAATGGATTCCATATCACCATCTAAATATACTGACTCTCAATTTATACTATATTTTGTTTGTATCAGATAAATTTTCCCTGTTTATCCTTGAGTAGAAAAATAAGTACCGGTAAGCTCCCTGTAAAAAAAAATGTTTATTTATTGTATAGGTGAAATAGAATGCATGCCATCAGAAAAGAGAGGTAGAATCTCCCAGCTGTTCGCTCCAGGGACTAGACTTAAGACCATAAACATTGCTTTGATCTGGTTTCTTCAGGCCACGGGATACTGGGGGGTCACAGTGTACCTCCCGGAGTACATGGGATCCCTAGGAGTGGATCCATATTTCAACATGTTCACCGTGTTCATAGGAGAACTCCCAGGACTCTGCCTAGCAATGATAATGATTGAACCATACATGCTGGGCCGGATTAGATGCTTACAACTATTCTCCTTCTCAACATGTATCTCATTGCTATTATTTGCCTTTGTGGGCATGGATTTTTTGAAAGCCGTCTCTGTAATCGTGTGCTATTTTTTCATGGTCCCAATTTATTCCATTTTAAGTACATTCACACCTGAAGCGTATCCGACTCATATTCGCAGCACTGCTGTGGCTACGATGTACATGATCATAGAAATCCCTGGATTGATCACCCCCTTTGTGGGGGAGTACCTGTTATCTAGTGACATAACCTGGTTATACCCTGTAGTATGGGCTGGGGTATTCTTCCTGCAGGCGCTGGCCATTTGTGGACTACGATCAGAAACAGCAGGGAAGGCATTAAAAGACTCAGACAAAGAGAATGACTCAGATAAAGAAACATTGTCAGATGAGATGGCAGAAAGTGCCATCAGTTAAAGATCATGGCTAATTTTGCCTTATTTATTTATATATGAAGTTCATGTAGTACATCTGCACATGTTCTATGTGTAGTTCTGAAATATGCATCAGCTGAGTAAGTCTTTTGCTTTGAAAACCTGATAACTTCTATGAAGTATTGTTTAGGATGCAGTTCAGTGCTTCAGAATTTTTTCTGCTGAATACTGCCTATTTGAAATGTTTTATTTGTATCTTTATTACTAGACTAGTACAGCAAGTCTGAATGAAAAGTTAGGGAGATTATTGTATAAACATTACTTTTATACACTTTGGTCATAAAATCTTACCATAATTACCAGGGTATATTATTGAATACTGAATATTACATCCAAGAAAATGATTTTGGGGCATTCTTTTCAATTAACTGAATACATTGAATGTATGCTAGATTTTTTTGTATCAGATGAACATGTTAAGTTTTGCATAATATTAGTATTCCACTGATCTCAGTTTTGCTATAGATTTGTTTATGCCATTTATATTTTTTGTAGTCAGTTAAGGACTAAGTCCCAGACATTTTAATCAGTGTCCACACATTTACCAATTACTCTAGTGCATAATTTTCATGAGTGGTTTCATGTTAAATATTTTGACAAATAAAATTAAATGTTGTCTTAAAATGGCAATTCTTATTCCTATCATCACAATCCTCCATCCTCACAATATCAATCTTTTGTGATTTCGGAACTCCACACACAGACACACATTCAAACCCTTCTTTAGTGGAGTTCTGAAATCACAAAACCTTGATATTGTGAGGATGCTCAATCCTGATGATAATCCAAACAATACTATTCATACAGGGTTCTAGCTGCAGATCTGTTACTCTCTGATCTGAAAAAAAAATTTGGATGGACGACCAACAACTATTGAGCTACTCAGGCAAATATCCATGGTCCATCTAGCCTGAACTGCTACATTCCTCCCTCCTTATACATTCTTCAACCTCAAAGACACAAATTCAAGGGCCCCAACAGGAATCTTATTTACAAATGAATTGAACAATGACCCTGTACTGGCCACAACACAGTAGGAAAGGAAAAATGCATAAAGAGAATGTATGGCTGGACAAATTAAACCTGGGATCTCTGCATTACTAGTCAGGTGCTCTACCAACTGAGCTATCCGAGCTGATATCCAGGGTCCATTATAGCCCAAAATGCTACACATGTACATGTATTAAATTTTCATTAGTTAGAGCAATGTTGAATTTCTGTTTATATACATATAACATTGAGGTCATTTGAGGAAAAGAACAATCATGTCTAAAAATAAAAAGTTTAATACTGAACAATACACTTGATAGACATGTACATGTTTTACCAAGATAAAGTGACAATTTTTACAAAATAGCATGCTTTTACAGATCACACATTTTAATAGCTCTGAATTATTCAGAAGTTGTCATACTTGATTACAAAGCTGCAATATTTCAGTTAGTTAACTTATGTAAGCCAATGTGGCCTGCACTTTTGTAAAAGATTTGTTTAATAAGGTTCATGTTGCAGTTAGAATTGCAGTAAAACACTGCTCATAGGCACTGTGCATGCTCCGTACTCCTATGGTTTATAGCTATCCTTCATCTTTTCCAGACGCATTTTCTACTTGAATCAGTAAGGGCTATACTTCAAAAGGAAGTCCTGTTTAAAATTAAGAGATGACACATTAATTCAAAGAATTTTTATTTTTAGAAAATCTGTACATAAAATACCTAAACTTAACATCTGTTAATCAAGATCAGTTTGAGATCAGAAACAGTTACCTTGTCATGTTGATTGCCCACAAATCCCTTCAGGAAATGCACATATCTGGCAGCAAATTCAAAAACGGTAGCTTTGTCTGTTTTATCGGACATACCAGGTACCAGCTTTCTTAACACATCACAGGCATCTTTGATTCTAGCTCTGAAAATAGTAACAGATAGTGTTGCACATTGCTTTTTGAGATCTTTGTGCAAATATATGCTTTAAACAAACATTTCAAACTTATTGATCAGACATGCATGACTTTTTCTTCGAAATTTATGCACAAGCACTCTATGGATGAAGTATGGTCAATACAGGGTTCCCCATAGCAGGGCCTTTATCCATCATTATTTCATGTATGTGAAATCACTTTTAAAAATTTTGTCAAATACAAATATTGTCATATATTATTCATTTCTTCAATATAATTGTGATCAAAATGCAAGTTTGGAAAAAAATGTGTCATCAAGGGTTACCTTCTCCTCCTCTCCTTCATATTGTGTTGTTCTCGCCCATCTTCTCCCACACAGCTACTGAACAAAGAGATGTCGTAGAACTTGTTATTGTTCTTGTCCAGTGTGGAACTCAACAGAGAGGAGGATCCGGATCCCTCAGAGGTGGAGGAGACATCGGTAGCGGAGGATTTATCCATGGGGGGATCATCAGAGGAGGGGCTCTCTTGTGTCTCCTCACCACTGCTGTTCAGGGTGCAGTTTTTGGTCTAACAATGAAAGGATTTTTTTTTTATTTTGCACACAAATTGATTGAAATCTTTGATAAAAGACAAACTAAGTCTTTATTTTTTTTTCTTTTAAATAAGAATTACCATGTGACAATTTACAAAACATGATCTAGCTTGCATCTTGGGTAACTTGAGGTTTTCTTTTAAAAATCCTTGCCAGCATTTTTAAAATCTATCATCTTTTTTTTTTCCTTATTAAAGCCCTATGACCTGTGATAATAATCGAAGAACTTTGAATTAAAGTTGTTTCTTATTTAAATGATTGATAAAACTTTAAGTTCAACTTTCATGATAGGAGATGAGTACATCCAATACCTTTGGTGTTGTAAAAATGCTTTTGTCTTTTTGGGTAGGAGGAATGGGTGTGGCAGTCACTTGGGGGAGGGGCTGGAAGAGCTGGGGGGAGCCATCTTCAGTGGCTGTCATGTACAGTAGCTGGCCAGTCTTGGGGTGTGGAGTGTAAACATAGCGGCCTTGAGAGGTCACTGCAGCATGGTGGTGATTCTCAGCGGTCTCCTGAACATTACAGAACAAACTTGTTTAAAATTTGTCATTACCTTATCCTTTTTAAAAAAGATGTACATTACTTTTTTAAATAAGTGAATTTACTTTCTCTATGTCTGTTCATTATATCCACATAGGGATGTAACAGTTGTCCCTTAAAGACCAGGGAATATCAAATGAATAGATAGAGTTTGGTTGCCTTCAAATAATTACTTTGCAACCACCACCTAAATAACTGGCCGCAACCAGATAATAATCGGCGGCACCCAAATAAATAGATGTTTTGTTTAAAAAATATTAAGTGGCTTAATTATTAACCCTATTTCCACTCAGTAGAGAGGTTCAGCAAGCTCACTTGTACGTGTACATGTACGTGTAAACTACAAGTTAGAATTACACGTACACGTTAACATTTTTTTCTTGTTTAGCAAAGTATAACCTGTACTTGTACTTGTACGTTTTTAAATGTAATAGTGGTTTACAATTTAAAATCATCCAAAAAGCAATGATTATAATACGTATATCACCATTTTTATTACCATTTTACATAAATATATGCATGTACTTATGAGAAAAAGATTGTACAGATTTCTTATATTTTTAATCGGTCAAAGCCTGTTTCGAAAATCTAGATGTTGTGATTTTAACTCCCTATAAATTAATATTTTTCAATTACTCACGTACAATTCTTTTATTAGTTATTTGCATTAAATATTCAGGTTTTAGAAAAACGCACACTTTTTGAAAAATAAGCAGTAGTTTAAGAATTATAAGCTACAAGTTTGGATTTACGTGCTTTGCAATCTACACGTAATCTGCGTAAAAAGATACGTGTAGAAATTCGTCATTAGCAAAAGTGAATAATATGCTACACGTACACGTAGGTTTGCTAAACCTCTCTATTAATAATAAAAGTTAATTATTTAATTACATATTACCATATTTTCATTTCTAATCAGCACTAGATTTCTCTCCCTTCCTGGATTGTTCTCTGGGGTGGAGTGTACATGGATGACCGGTTGATGGAATCCAGACACTGCTTGTGGAACAGCAAACCCACTGTTTATCAAGCTCCCATTTAAACTGTCATTTAGTCCCTGAGGCTCCCCAACATTGTAATTTGAATCCTGGGAAATAAAACTGAAAAAAAGCCAGTCTTAAATCAGTGCTAAAGTAGATTTGGACTGATTGCAAGGAGAGTTTTAATTTTTTAATTAGTCTTAAATGTTTTGAAAAATTAATAAAATTTATTCATTAATTAATTGAAAAGGTCTTTATAAGCGAGACAAAATTTTTCAAGGAATAGTTTTTGTTTTACATGTACAAATCCTTAATAATTATACAAATATATGCAAACATAATTTCTGAGAGCAGGCCATCATTGGAAACCCACCATTGGTCTCGCTTCTCCTATACCTTTCTTACCTGGTAAGGGAATATATTGAGACAGACAGTGGGTCTCTGATGATGCAAGCAGACAGACTAATGTAATTACGGGAAAATAAAATTCTCGCAAATAAAAAGATTTACAGAACATATCCTTATTTGTTGTAGGTTGTTAAAGCCTGAAATACAACTTTTGTATAATTTATGCACAAATGAAAAGATCTTCAACTGCAATGGTCTCTCTTCATTTTGAATAAATTAATTTATTTCAGTACTGTATGGCAGGTGCTAGTACATAAAATCAGAAAAAAAATCTTGTAAATATAGAAATCAGTACATAGTCTAACCAACACTTTCAAACTGATACATACCTGTCATGGTCTGAAAAACATCTACCACTGCTGTCCAAGCCTGCGGGCACAATGTTCATGGCATTACATAGGTACTGCTGCTGCAATGCCACCTGTCTTGTGAGATGTTCCAAGATGTTCTCCTCTCCAAATGAGGTGTCTGCATTTGCCATACACGAGTCCTCCGTGTAGGACGGATTTGTTCTCAGTCGTTCTATGTCCATCTCGGCACCATGAAACATTTCTTGATTATCTTCCCCACTGGCACTGACAATCATATAGTATGAGTTGGGTACCTCGCTTAAATTGTCATTATTATGACCACTTTGAACAAACATTTCATTTTCATTGTCATCAGCTATAGTACTCAAACACTTATTTAGGACCAACTGCTGCAACTTTGGAACTTCACCTTTATTTACAAGATTTGCGTCATGATGCTTACTGGATTCTATTAGATTTGCCAAATATTGCACTTGTTCCGGGGAGACGCCTTCCAAGTTGATTTCTTGAACTGAATATGACATGTTTTTGTCAAGTTATAAATCTTTAGAACGGTTGCACAGAAAGAATATTGCCAGGGTCTCGAACTCCCAAGTCCAAGAAATGTACGGGTCTTTCCTCGAGATGTCTTCGTCGGTTGAAAAGATGCTGGAGGTAAAATAAAATCGTGATGAAATGGAAATGATTGTGTCTGATGGATACAAACCATCAAAGCTCATGAACCAATTTTTATTTTTTAAAATGCCGACATCGACAATTTTAATAAAACTATGTCTGTAGAGATTTAATTACCTCCAGTTCATCTTTATATGCAGCCCTGATATTAATTTTTGAAAAGTATACATAGGCTTACCAAAAATCAAAAGATTTACCTTGTTTTCAAAATTCGAGCACCTGTCAATTTCTTATCCGGGAAGAGCCATGACTTTTCAGAGCGAGCTCACAGGCGTTAGAAACTATTCGAAATATATGACGTCAGAGCTAACGTCATCAGAATGGTAGGCTTTGCAAATCGGACCTGTTGCGATGCTCAATAAATTATATATACTTATAAATATTGACTAACTTTAAATAAATAAGTACCTAAAATCATCTAATTTAGTCTGGGTAAGTTCATTTCCCGACCCCCATTTCTATTTTGGTCCGAATACAGGCGCGGATCTAGAAATTTTTCAAAGGGGGGAGGGGTTGAAGAGGAAAAGAGTTACTATAACTCTAATTATATGATTAACACGTACTTTAAAAAACTCAGTATTATAGGATACAGCGAGGAGTATGGTTTTTAAAAGTGGAGGTTGATCAGCTTGGGAAAAAATATACTTGTACTTGGATTACCTGAGAATTTTTGAAAAAGAAAAAAATAAATTTCGAACCCAAAATTCCTATTTTGTAAAGGGGATTGGGTTTCTCTTTGTTTTCATAACCGAATTTCTTTTTATATTACAGCTTTAGCCTTTCGCTGAACATTTTTTATAGTAAAAACACAACAAAAATTTGGGAATATCTTCTTTGCAAATCCAAAAACACAAATCAGACACTGGAATAGTTATAAGACCAGCTTAAAAAATATTTAGACCTATTTTACATCTCTCGACTGACTGAAAGTGGTCTTACTCAAACGATAATTTTTTAAAATACATGTATATTTTTATTTCCACTCTATGCAACTTTCCAATCCTGTCAGCAAAATGCAGAAATTTGTATAAATGCCACATAGAGCTCTATCGACTCGACTCGACTGAGTCGAGTCGAGAGAGGGCAAACTTCAATTTTATTTTAAGCTGAAGATGGCCCGAGAACAAGATTTTTTCACGAAATGTGAAGAAAACAATCAGTTTTCAAGCTGAAAAGCCAACTGAATAAAAACACAAATTGTGAAAAGTTTTTAGAACATTTGGGATCAAGTACAATGAAAGAGAAAGCATCCCTTGTCGACCGATGATACACGTGTAGCAAAAATAGGCTTTTGACGTTTGGGCGAGTTAAGTTTTATTTTTTTGCTTGTCAAGAAATTTCTGGGTTAGTTTTTTTTTTTTTGGACTGGGGTGGACCCCCTGGAAAAAATTTCTGGATCCGCGCCTGCTGATTTGTAAAGAAAAATTCAGTCGGTTGATCCTATCCATATTTGAACTTATTAGTATAATCTGTAGTGGTTGGGATTCCTTGTCATTAAATTCACTTTTTAGAAAAAAATATCCAAATCTAAAATCTATAGGTATTTATAAATTTAGATCATGACCTTGCAATTTACGATTTTGTTTCACGTATATTACCATACAAACAAGATGTGTTTGTGAAACACTGATGCCCCGTATGGCAACATAGCGAAGGTAAGGCTTTCTCAAATGCATTTCTCAAATATGTTGGTACCTAAAGTAAGGCCTTTTCACAAGAAATACAAATGTGAAATATAAACCCTAGCACCATCTGTTCAAAGGTTATGACCAAGCTTAGCGTTTTTAAAGGTAAAACAAACCCCGGGGTCAAGGACAAATGTTCAAGGTTGTTGGTTTTTAAAGAAAGGCCTTGTCTCAAAGATAACACATGGGAAGTATGAAAGCACTGGTTCAAAAGTTGGTGGTACCCAAAGAAAGGTCTTGTTACAAGGAATACACATGTGAAATATGAAAGTATTATATCTCCACTAAATCAAAAGTTATGGGCAAGGTTAAAGTTTTTGCGGACAAAAAGACAAACAGACAGAGACAGACAGACGGACGGACACGACAAAAAGTATATATTCCCTAAACTTCGTTTACGGGGGCATAAAAAGTGTTACATTCTTAAACCCGGAAATGAATCTGGTGTAACATTCCGTCTCAGTATAGATTGCCAATGTCAAAAATTAAAATATTGATGACTCAATTTTCGAGCAGGAAAGGGTCTTCACTGAGCACTAATGACATTATTTTCCTGCTTTTATTTCATTTGACAGATTGCCAGTTTATGAAACAATTTAGGAGTCTGATGATTCCCAGTCTTTCATTAAGCAATAAAATTCCTAAAGTAGGTCACTGTGACCTATTTTCTTATCGACATTTAATCTATAATGCATCAATTTACAAAAAATTATAATTCTTAGTCTAAAGTAGGTCACTGTGACCTATTTTCTTATTGATATGTAACCTATAATGCATCAATTAACAAGTTTCAAAAGTTACAAAAAACCTTCAAATTTGCAATAACTTATTTTTATGCCCCCGTAAACGAAGTTTCGGGGGTATATAGTTTTTGTTGTGTCCCTCCGTCTGTCTGTCTCTCTGTTTGTCCACAAAAACTTTAACCTTGCCCATAACTTTTGATTTAGTGGAGGTATGACTTTCATATTTCACATGTGTATTTCTTGAGACAAGACCTTTCTTTGGGTACCACCGAATTTGACCTTTTGACCTTGACCTTGGAGTTTGACCCACTTTTACACAAAAATTTCAAACTTTTAATTTGGTTATATCTTTTGAACAGTAGATACCAGGACGTTTATACTTCACATATATATTTTTTGTGGAAAGACCTTTTGTTGGATACCAACAAACTCGACCTTTGACCTTGACGATTTACCTACTTATGAAAAAACTTTAATCTTGGCTATAACTTTTAAATGGTAAGGGATAGGACTTTCATACTTCATATATGTAATCCTTGTGAAAAGACCCTTCATTGGATACCAAGAACTTTTACTCTTTGATCTTGACCTTGGAGTTTGATCTACTTTTAAAAAGCAAACCCAAACTATAACTTTTAAAGGGTTAGGATTAGTGCTTTCATACTTTACATATTTAGTCCTTGTAACTAGCCCTTTCATTTGATAGCATGACCTTTGACCCCATGATCTTGTATTTTGACCAACTTTTTAGAATTTTTAACCTTGGCCATAACTTCTGAATGGTTAGGGCAAGGGCTTCCATACTAATCATATGTACTCTTTGTGGCAAGTCCTTTCATTGGATACCAATGACCTTGACCTTTTGACCTTAACTTTGGAGATTTCTGTATTAATAAAAAAAACTTTAACCTTGGCCTACTTTTTAAATTTACAATTGTATTTCCAGTGAGAATACCTAATTTTGGTACGAATATATTAAATTTGCATTTAAGAAAAGTTTAATCTTCGCTATGTTGCCATACGGGGGCATCAGCGTTTCACAAACACATCTTGTTTTAAGGTTTTTTCTTCTCACTTACAATACAAAAGGATAGAATTATAAACTTATTATAAATTATATAAGGTAGTGATCTACCTACTTAGTCTCTTATTATCTGACATATTAGATAAATGCTTTTAAAATTTAACAGCAGGTCATGATGACCACCTTTTTAGTTGACCCACACACAAGATGTATTATGCAATAGCTGTCAAAGTCTGTTGCTTCTAAGCATTTATAATCCAAAATATTTAAATAGAGCAACAATATTCAGAATAAGTCAGAATGATCTAATGTTTGGTTGACACACTCCAAAGATCCATAATGCATCAACTGACAACTTTTGGTAATTCTTAGCTAGAAGTATCACAGATATTTTGATGTAGCCATATTACAAAAGTAGATCATTGTGAACTACCTTTTAATTGATATATCTGCATCTAATACAATTAAGTGAACATACAAAATTAAAAAAAAAGTTTATCATTGTACCCCACTTTTCCACATTGTGCACAAATTGCCAGAGTACACTGGGGATGAAAGGACCTTAATCCTCATCTAAATCTCATTTAACATCTTTGAATTCTGGGCTGTCATCTCATCCCTTTATTTAGTTTTCTTTAAGCAGAGAAACAATTTGTCTCACAATGACAATATTTCCTTTAAAAAACATTTCATCAAGTTATCAGACGGGTAAAATAAGGGGTTTGAAAAGACTGCTCCTTGTAATCTAGGAACACTGAACTCATGAACTTTACACTAAAGTGGATGTTGATGACATTACTTAAAATCACTTAGCAAAACCTTTATCCACCACAACATTTCCAACAAAAGAAGTGAAACAATATCTTTGTTTTTATTTTTTAATATATTAAGCACAATATGTGCTAATTCAAGTCATTAATATATACATATCATCAAGCTAAACCTCACACTCTTTTCCGAGATAAAATCTTTAACAAAAAAATTCTTCATTTCAAACAATTCTCTGAAATGATTTTTTTTGCTACAGTTCATTAAAATTTTTCTTGAAAATTGTCAAATAAAAATTAGACAAATACAAAGAATTTTTTTAATGAGTCAATCAGTTCATTAATATGGTTTTTTTCATAACTCAGTCACTGAGCACATTTTTAATGGCAGTAAGCAAGGGCACAACAGTAGAAGTTCCGCATTGTCTCTTACAGCATACTCAATCATTCAGGCACACTAAACACTCAGACAAACTAAACATGTATCTTATACATGTTTAATGTCTAGTCTACCAGTCTCTCTCTTTCATTCTGAAAATAGAGAAAATAGTCACTGAATGTAGGAGAAAAAAATATATCTAACATTTACAGTCAAACCTCATTACCTCAAACTCAATGGGACAGATTTTGAAAGATCAGGGATATCAAGGATAAGCTTCTTAAAGAATTAATGGGGGATCTCGAAATCACTTTGACATACCCATGGATTTGAGTTATTAGTGTCTAAGATACTGAATTTTCAAGTAGTGTGAGATAAAAAGCAAAGCAAATCAAATACAGGTAAACTACGTTAACTCGACATAGGCGGGATAATCGGAAAATGTCGAGATATCCGAGGTGTCGAGATACCAGAGTTGAGACTCGACTTCCTTAATTTACTTCTTAATAAAATATATGTGTAACTACGTACATGTCTTCAATAGACTGTAGCTCGTTTGTTTCAGCTATATATCTCTCTATATTTATTAGAAAATCTGAGAAATTATTCACAAATGTAAATAATGAAATGCTTCCCTTTTTTATGGTAATAGTCTATAATTTTACTAATAAAGGTTTTCCATCCAGCATATTCCGTGTGCAACTTGCATTGTCAGAACAGGATACGAAATGCGCTCTATAAACTCCGAACCATAACGGTATAAAGTCAACTTCCGTGATATAAAAGTTATTTCATGTCACTTCATTTTTATTTCGTCATCATTCATCATTTATTTTCATTTCATTTTCAAATCAAAATTTAAAAGGATTTGCGTATTAAAACAAACGCAATGATGTTACACATGACTGAATATTATAAACGGCTGATAGTCGAACGCATGATGTAGATTGGATTGTTTCCTGTTGAATGCATTTTTACAACAATTTCCAGTTAAACTGAATTTAATGTGTATATTATTCATTGTAATTCAGCTACTTTTTTTTTTACAAAATGTTAAAGTTATGTTAGATTTCAACATAAATAAACGGTTGTACATTTACGCAGAATCGAGCAGATTTATCATGATATTACCAAAGCTGAAATTTAAAAATTAATGTCTCAGAAACACCGAGGGGGCTTGGGATTCCTCTACAAACACATTTCTACAGAAGCCGTATGTAGTCTAAACATGGGTGTGAAAGGTGTGAATTTCTGATGATGTCGAGATACACGGAGTCGTCCATGCGTGACGAGCGACCAGTTGACAAACAATTAGGCTAAGTAGAGCAGAAACTTGCCCCCATGTCGACATATACCAGGTACATTTTGCTCTTGGGACTGTGAATTTACGTCGAGATAAGCGAGGTAGTTGACATTACCGAGGTCAACATATCAGAATTTTTGCAATCATTTTTGTAAATAATGCCGGGACCGCAGACGGACATCGACATATCCCAGGTTGTCGACATATTCGATGACGAGATACCGAAGTTTACCTGTATGATTTTTTTTACTGGTAAAAAATAAACCCATAAGCAATGAAAGTATACATAACAAAAATTCTATTTTAAAAAGTCTGAATCATTCTGTTATAAATGGCCTTGATTTGAACTTTAACACATATACTGAACATGTGCTAATTGCTACTGCAACAACAACTTATTTATAGATGATAACACTGTAAGAAACTATGCAGTTACTATAATGCCATACCAGCTATACTCCTGTTTCCACTCCTCCAGCTTCTGTCTGATCGCCTGCTCACGCTCCTCTCGGTGCCGCTCCTCTATTTCCACCTCTTTCTTCACTTTCTGCCACTTTTGGACCAAATTAGACACGTTCTTCTTTTTGAGGTGCAAACCTGAGCCACTCATGGACTGCAAGAAGATTTGCATTGCATTATTTTTTTATCAATCTTTTTACATTTTTACATTTTACCCTTAATGACTTACATGACACAGGACAGTGCACATTTTTTTTTTCAATGTTCAACATTTCTTTGAAAGAAAAATTAATATATAATTTTTCAAATGTTCAAAGGTAAATTTCCAAATCATTACATTTGCATTTTCAACATGCAGTTCTCACAAAGACGTATACCTTATCTTTCTTTTTCTTCTTTTTCTCACTAGAGATCCCACTACTGCTGGGTAACTCAGGTTGTGCTGAAGTAACCTCCCCTGACACACTCTCAGGGACCGGCTCTGTAACAGACACTACTTCTGATGGCCCTGGTTCCTCTCGGGAAAACACCTGAGGAGGTCGAGCAATCACAACAGGTTCCTGCGAGACAGCGGGCTGAGCATCACTCCTCTCTGATGTATACGAGGATTCCACTGGAATCATGCCAACATCTGATGGGTACATACTGCTTGCCACACTGGAGTGTACCATAGGATTCCCATCTATGCTAGAATATGGCAAGGAATGGGAGCTAACTGCCATGGAGATACTTGCATCATAAGCCTCCATGGGGACATCACAGGCTTCCTCTGCTGGTGGGGGTGGTGGAGGGGGTGGGGCAGTCAGCAACAGATCAGATAGGTCAGTGCCTGGGGGCGGGGGTTCCCCCTTCATGATGGAGGCAGCAGCCACACTGCTAGAGTAGTTATAACTCTGGGACACTTGGGCCACACCTATGGAGGACACTACAAAGGAAAAAATGATAATGAATGTAAAGACAAAGAATAACATAATTTGTGATAATGAACCAAAGATTATCTCTAAAGTTTAAAATACCTGGTGTAGGATGTCCAAACTTTGATTTTCCCTGAAAGATAAAACAGTATATCCGGTTACCAAAAGAATACATACATGTATCTTATTATTGCACTAGCAACTCCAATCAAAATTACCGATGAAGATGAATTGTAAACATGACAGTACTACCATGAAGATTTCATCCATGACAGACGTAATGGATGTGGTATCAGGCAGGCCTGCCTCACTGGTGGGCTGGTTGGTAGAGCTGACAGGTTCCCCCTCATTACCCTGACTGATCTCCGGGGATTCCAACGACTGATCCTCAATATCCATGCTGTCAGAATTATCTACCACTGGCTTGTCACCATTTTTAGAATCTAGAAAACTCTCCGTTTCTTGAGAATTTTCTGTCATCTGATTGCCAGGTGTTTTTGATTTGATCTCTGTGTCAATGGTGGAACTGGAAGCTACTTCTCCATTGCGATACCCAACGTCTGATGCTCGACTTGCTTCATCATCCAGATCTTTAGGTGGACTGAAATTCAATAACAGCATTGCAAATCACTTCTTGTTCACAAGAACTTTAATATCACCTAAAAATTCTCGACTGTCTGCTAATGAAAATTTTATCCTTGACTATATATTTTCTTGATAAAGGTTTTTACCATATTACAATAAACGGAATTTGTAAAATTTTTGTTTTGCTAATAAATACCAAATACGGTAACAATTTCACAAATATAAAGTGCAGGTTTGGAAATGTACTTTCAAATTCATTGATAATTTTGTTATTACAAATCAGTGTTCGAGATACTGGAGTACAACTGTACTCAGATGATTATAATGGCTGACCTGTAGGATGAGGAGTGTTGCCTCCCTTTGTCTGTGCTGTCCTCCGTTTCTTCTTCCTCTTCCTCCTCCTCGTCGGGGTAATCCCACTGTGTCCTATTGGACTTCTTGTTCATGTAGAAGTACCGCCTGTAAGCTCTGTGAAGGGAGATCACCCAGCACAGAAAAAGGGACATAAATCAGTATCTGTCATTTATTGAGAGTTTGTGACAGCTTCTCTTCCTTACACTCACACTTTGTGTACCTTTCATACAAACCACTCGGCATTCAGGAATCGTGTGACTTATTTTCAAATTTTCTTTTTTCATTGCTGTTCAGAACTGGACAATGTTCCGAATAAAATATGATTTTTGCAATAAGAAAAAGAGGAGAGCAAGTTTCCATATTCAAAATTTGGAATTTTTTTGTTAAAATATATTAGCACTTTGACCAATAATATGTCAAATTTGTTTGAATACACAATCAGTCAAAAATAGTCTTTCAATTTCATTTTTTTTTTTTAAACAGAAATTATATGATAAACAGAAACTTATTTTTGACCATGATTCTTATATAATCTTGTAAACATTGATTTTGAGAATGAAATAAGTAAGTGTCATTTACATATCAAATTATTTTAATTAGACATGATTGGTCTTCTTCCATTTTCAAGGGAAGAACAACAACTTGATTTTTAAGCATATCAAACATCATTACACATACAAAGGAAAACATATATTGCATCTGAACCCACATTCATCAAAAAGCACATTTTATTCCAATTATCAAAACTGATAATGGAGAATGTAGCGTGAATTAACCAGAAGTCTTTGATGAGACTGTAGCCCTACTGGTTTATGAAAAGAAAAGGAAAAATTGAATCTTGAAACAACTATAAATTTTAAAAAATTATCATTGGTTTATTCTTTTTCTTGGCAAGATTTATTGAAATCAGATCAAAACTGTAAGGGGATTAGCCGTTTGAAAATACTATTTTTAGTAATGATGGCAACACTGTCCATCAAAATCAAAAACTGTTACATGTATATAGAATTATGTATCTTAGTATAGTCTACTATATGCCAATTCATACCGTAGATCTGGAAATTTTTGCTGTAGATAATTTTTTTAGTAAATTTGCATGTTCATTGCATTCGCAAAAATATTTTTCTTTAAAATTAATCAACTATAATAAAATGTATAAAAAGCAGTCTCATTCGCAAAATTTTGAAATGTAAATATTAATCAACAGCTACGGTATTTGACCCAGATACGCAAAATAAAATTGACGTAAAAATTTCCAGACTTATGGTATTGAAATCAGATTTTGTTCATCAAAATCAAACATCAATACTCAGAATTATACATCTTAGTGCAGTCTACTTGTGTGCTAAGTTATATTGAAATCAAACCAAAACTGTAGGAGGAGTAGCGTTTTGAAAAATTGATTACAAATAGACGGAAGGATGACAGACACCTTATTATCGCATTAGCTCTCGTCGAGCTAAAAACTGTCAGTTCAGATTTCTTAAATGCATTCTATTTTTTGCATTCCAATCATTTTTGTTGAAAAATAATTAATCACAAGAGTCAATACATTTCAATAACAATTTTTAAACAGAAAACAGTATTAGAACTGTTACTAAGTATTGTGTAATACCAATTGGTCTACATCTGGTATTAATTACTTGGTATTAAAACCATAATTTTAGATTCATCCCAAAATAATTATTTGGTATTAATACCACAATTTTTAGATGAAACTAAAAGAATTTGTCAAAGATATTTATTTTGAAGTCTTGACATCACTTCAAGAAATGTGTAAAATCTGTCTGTCAGCTTAATATCTGTACAAGGACTGCAATCCAATGACATTGTTCAAATAGCCATATATCTTTATCACAATGCCCAATCATTGGCATTGTCAGTATCACACGGATGATTCACATCCATTCTCTCTAAGGAGCTTGTGGACTCAAAACTGTGGCTTTCCAAAATTAGAATCCATTCCAATCATTGTTTCTAGAGTTATCACATGAGCATAATTTCTTTAATCTCATTGCCCAGAGCCATGACCTTGACCTTAAGTTGTGACCTTGAGTTAAGATTTTGATATATCTTTAGGCAATGGCCAACAAACATGGAAAAGGGTAAAATTCTTTTGATCAAAAGTTCAGGAATCAAGGTCCCAAACATGATTCTGTAAAGACAGAGAAAGCCAAGCCAAAACTAATGTCTCCTCCAGTAGGGAAGACACTAAATGACTCAAAATAGATAAATGACACAGAAAATTAATATTGACGTAATATTAAATCAAATAAATCAAAGTACTGGGTAATACTGAATCGAAGAAAGATATGGTGCAAGCTTATTTTAATGCATTTCAAAAAAAGAAATTAAATATTTGTATAATATAGAAAATTAAAATTCAAGAAAAAAGCATTTGAAATGTAACAAATAGACTTTAATACATTTCATTTCAAGCTGATGCTTTCTAATTTAAAAAAAGAAATTAAAAATTTATCTTTTTTTTTATTACCGGGGTATCCTTATTGCATAAAATGATTTTCTTATGGTAGATATAGCTCAATGACCACTTTAATCGATGATCATTTATCACAGTTATTGGATATAATTCAAAATTAATGATACATGTATAGGGGGGAAATTTAGCCAAATTATCTATGCAAGAAATTGAACATTATTTATTAAAATAAAAGACATCTTCCTGAAAAGGAAGCTTTGATTAATAGCTGAAAAATAAATAGCATTTAATATAACTGCACATTTAAAGACTTTATTAAAATAAACAAACTATGTAAACTTACATGTATATGGGTAAATATCTTGGGTTATTCATTTTAATCATATCAAGCTCAAGATAGAATTCAAAATAACATATGTAAGAATTCCAACACCTTTGATTAGCTCCAAAAACAATGAATTTATACCCATAGATAAAACCCCTATACATTAGTGAAAAATGTTCATCTTTATTGATTTATTCATAAATTTATGCATAAACATGTCTATTTTTGCTGAAGATAAAAATGAAATTTTATGCAACTCACAAGAAATATTCTTTGTCCTTACTCACCACAATACAACCAGAGGAAGTCCTGTTGACCCCAGTTTCCATGACAACCAATGTGACCTCTCAGAACTGGGACATCTTTCTCTATCTTCTTTATCACCAACTTTTCAGACAATTACTATGAGAATGGCCATATTTCCTACCCTTCACAGTCAACCATGATGTGTCTACTTGTCATACGTCAAATGTCAAAGATGGTCATGATTTCAAGCATGGACCAAAGTCTGTTCACTTCACAATACAGATTGGGCTTCATTTTTCTCTCGATTTTGGGGTATTTTTAGAAAGTCCTCACGTGGACAAGCATGAGATCATAAATGTCCAGATGAGTCCACTGATCAAATGTAAGGGGGGAACAGCTTGCAGGCAGACAGGTCCACGCTGGGGGGTACGAATAGTGCTACAAGATAAACGTACCTGTCCCAGTGGCATGACCATCCAGGTGGCGCTGCACTCTGCTCGTACTGCTGTAGCTGACGGTTGGCCTCCTCCAGCTTTATCAGGAAGTACTCAGTGGACAATCCACCAGACTGCCAGTCCTGTTGTCTTGTCTAAAGTGATAATTTAAAAAAATATTTTATCTTTTATCATAATGGGTACATATATATGTACATCAAAGCACAGTTATAAAATAGTTTGTAAACAATAACATTAACCATATTTTGTACTATTGGTATCTATCTAAAATATCCATATCTAGAGTTTAAAGTTCTAAAACTTTCAAACCAGAATTGTCTTTGCACATCAGGAAGACAAATTCCAAAATTTCCATTAGGAAATGAGTTAAACAAGACAAATTTAAAACAAATTAACAATGTCTTAGAATTTACCTCCAATTCTACCAATAAAATCTGCAGTTTGGAGAGTCCCTTCTTTGTGACCTCTAAGAATTCCAGTTTACTGAGTGCTAGTTCTACCAACTCGGAGGCCTGCATCTGGAAAAACAATGGCATTAAATCTAATTAACTTCAGTGAAATACTTAAAATAGTATAGAAACATGTAAAAGAGACTTATATAGATTTTGACATGAAACAATATCATCTCATGCAGTTCAGCACAAAAAAAATGACATATACATGTACCTTGAGATTGGCTAACTGTACAGCAGTCAGATGACTCTCCCCAAAGTTGACCCCCTCTGTCTTCACATCCGGTGGTGGGGGCTCAGACTTCTTTATGATTGGTGGTGGGGGAGGGGAGACAACTTCCTTCTTTGCCGAGTCCCCTATCTCTTTTTTGATTTCTGCCTTTTCCTCTGATCTTTCTTCAGATCCTGCCTTTTTGGTTGATTCCTTATCTTTCTTCTCATTTTCTGTCTTTTCTTCTTTCTCTTCATCTCTCTGCTTATCTTTCTTTCTATCCTTCTTCTTTTCATCTTTCTCTCTATCCCTGTCTTTATCTTTATGCTGCAACAACAGTCAATAATGAACAAATGAAATACTGTAAACCAACTATTATTCGCATCATCTTTTATTTGCTATTTGCAGTTTGAAATCAATGTGCAACAATTAATTTTCACGACTGATGAAACATTTCTCTTCAAATACTTGGCAAAATGATTGATTCATGGTGATTAATATTTGTGAATGAAGATAGATCATGGAACTCGTGGATATTTCTCACACACGAATAATAGTTGGTTTACAATACATCTTTCATTATTAATATCTATGCAAACCACAGCAAAATAAACAATCACAATTTCTTTATACTGTAAATCACTTTTTATTCGCGAGAACTTTATTTTCGCATAATTACGCGAGACGGTATGCTCGCGAAAATTTAATTCTCGCGTATAAAAGGATTTCTTAAGATTATATAGAGCAATGACCACAATTCGTGAAAATTTTGTCTCGCTAATAAAGAGTCAATGACTATCTCGCGAAAATAAGGTGTCACGAAAATTAAGTGATCTACAGTAGTTTATAGAATGTGCTCACACCAAGGAATTTTAGATTACAAGTGAGCACACATAAACATAAGTTTTCCTACCCTTTTCTTTTCATCTCTCCTTCTGTCATCATTTTTGTCTTTCTTCCTGTGTTCATCCCTTTTCTTATCATCCCTCTTTCTATCTCTATCCCTATCATCCTTCTTGTGCTTCTTATGCTCATCTCTCCTGTGTCGTGAATCTCTGTCATAATCTTTATCTGTACTATTCCTTCCTTGACCTGTACAACACCAATACAATGTACTCTAATCTCATTTAACTGTACATAATATTTTTCCACCTAAATATTCACAATTCACATCAAAAGGTAAACAAATAATACCCTCTACTTTTACTTTTCTATTCACAAAATTTCATTTATCACAGCACAAGATGTACAAATTATAGTTTCACTTTCTAGGAGAACACAAAAACTTACTGTCTCGTTCATCCCTGCGACTTCTTCTCCCGTGTTCATACTCCATGACTTTGGTTCTTTTACTGTCCCAGTCCCCGTGCAGTGAAGGGTCCTCTGGGGTGGGTCTCTTCCTGGGGGGACCCACCCTCCTCTCTAGCTCCCTGGCCATCATCTCCTCGATCGCCGCTTTCCTCCTTGCCTCCACCTCCTGTTTTTGCTGTACCTGTTCTCGCATGGCATCCACCAGGGACCTGGTTTTAGGGAGACTGGATTTCTCTTTCTCTGCTTTGGCTTCTGAAGATCTTCTCCTCCTTGACTTGTGCTCTTTGTGTGACTACAATATATATGTCATATAAAGTGGTGATAAAAACAGATGATACTGCACAAAGTGTATCCATAACAGCCCCTAAGATCAATGATTCAATTAAGAGTTGTAAGATATACATACATGTATGTTCTCATAATAAAATTTAGCATACAAACCTTTTTCTTTTCCAAAGCCAACTCAAGAGCTTTGTCAATATCATCAATGTCAAGGTCATCTGCGTCTTGGTCCTTACTACGTTTGGAAGACTTCTTTGTGTCCTCATCACTGTCAGAATCTTCACTGCTGTCTGTGCTGCTCTCAGCACTGCTTCCTCCATGATAGGCCACCAGCTGAAGAGTCTTAGATTTGCTGTTGGTACTGTCTGGAAGGATGGAGGCCGTGGATTCTTGTTTGTTCTTTAGTATCCCTGATTGAGCCTCCGTCGTCTCGGGAAAGACCTCTGAACTTGAGGAGACTGACTCCCCTGTTATGCTGCTCTGGGTTTCTGTTAAGGCAGTGGTTGTAGCACCAGTTGATAGGCTTTCCGTTACCAGTGTTTTAGGGGCAGGAAGTGCTGGGCTTTAAAACAAATGGTTCAATATAAATCATAGAAACTATAGGGACTGATGATAAAATCAAGATTTTCTTGTAACCAGTTCACCAGTTTTAAATTGCCATCCCTATTTACTTTGTATTTAACACATGCTGTAATAAAATTCAATAAAAATCATTAAATTCAAAGTGTGGGGCAAAAATTAAAATCGCAAAAAATAAATATAATTTATTCCTCAAAAAAGGCATTAAAAAAGATAATTCTGGAAAGTTTGCTTAAGGTTTAAACGAGTTATCTTCCCTATCCCAATATTACCTGGTCATCGTCCTTAATTCAACAGAAAGTAAACAACTTTCTAATCAATCAATTTTAAAAAATCTTGTTCCTTTTACTCTTCTTGTCAACAAAGATATCATCTTTAATAGTAGTGAAAAGTACAGGTACCATAAAATTTAAAAATTCCATGGTAGTGCACTCTTACTTGGATCATTCACCATGTGTCAAACCGTAATTATTTCCACAGTTTGGGCAAAACATGATATCAATATGCAAGTATTAGCAAACAGATACCAAAAAACCCAAAATCCTACTCCACCCAAATCAAACTCACCCCTCTGTTTCTTTGGCAGTTGTCTTAGGTGGAGGTTTGACCTTGCCCTCTTTCTGAAGTTTGGCCACCTTTTCCTCATAATCTTTGTACTGGAGAAGGTATCGCGTGTAGTCAGGAGGAATTTCCCAGGTCACCTCGTTAGTGACTGTGTTCCAGTAATAGTGGAAGCTTGTATTCTCGTCCAATGTCTGCTGCCACACTGTGGTAGGCTCTGATATAGAGGGAGAAAACTAATACTGTTACAAAAGCAAGTAGAAATTCTTAGACTTGTTATGATGTTATAGAATTTAACATTTTGAATTGTCCTAATATCATCCTAGGTATAAAATCCACATATTTAATCAAAAAGGAACGTGAAGTTTCATTAAAGTAACCCTGGAACATAAACATTCCATCAAATTAAAATGTTTAATCCTCTGAAATAAATTTGAACATTCTGACAACTTCTTTCTCTTTCTCAAGGATACAGGAGACATTACACCTACTTCTTATTAGAAATTTTTACGATAAAAGCAAAATATACAAAATATACTGTAACACCTGAAACTAGAAAACTAATACGTACCTTCAGGCCACTCAGTTTCCTCGGTAACAGTTTTGACAACCTCTTTCTTCTCCTTTGGTCTAACAAACTCAGACTCCCCCTTAACAAACATGCTCTTATAGGCATTCTTTGATTTCTTTGGGACTGGAGTGTCAGGTTCCTGAACTTCTTCTGCCAGAGACTTACTGGCATTCAGGGCAAAGGTCGGGGGAGGTATGACCACACCCCCTCCATTCTGGAAGCTGGGTCTAGCATCGGGATCTTCTTCTATCTCAGGTTCTATGGACTGGATTTCCTGTAATTATCAATGTTATTACTTTACAACACTTTTCATCAACGCACTCAAAAATCTAATATGCAGCAATGAACCGTTTTCAACACATTGATATTCATCTTGAAGGAAAAGTGTTGCTTTGTGAACTCATAAAAATAAAATACTTCGGAGATAGAAACATTGTATTGATACTAACTACGAAATACATGTAAAATTACTCAACAACTTACAGCAAGAAAGTCTGCAACCTTGCCATCAATATCAGGTGTAGCTTTGTGAACTTATAGCAAAATATTATTGAAAATGTTTTACATAAATTCTTAAAGATCAACAAACTTTCAAGTACCCTATATTTCAATGTTTTCATTTTTTTTTTGTGGAATGTTAACTATTACATTGTGTTGATAAAATTAAAATACTAACTTGTTCAGTTTCCATGTCAGATCCACTGTTACTAAAATGTAAAATATACTTTTTAGTCAACAACTTATCAGACATAACTTTCAATTTTATCAGTTGTTCTAATATTTTTTTATATAAATTGTTTTGCGACCTTGCCATCAATATGGCAGAAGAGTGAGATTATCATTTGAGGGCAAATTTGGTTATATGAATCAAATTTGATGTCCCAGTATAATTTTAATATAACCTATTTATGTAAATGTAGCTTTAGACAAAACTGATGCTGCATAGGCCAGCATCAAAATTTTCTTCACATCATATCTTAAGTAATACTGTAAACGTGGTTATATTGACGAGTTGAAAAATTTAATCACATCAAGAGTTAGTCTTAAGAAACAAAATTTAATTTTTTAAGTTTTATTTACAGAAAAAAATATGATCAATGAAGATATAATTTAAATCAGGTCTACGACAGGTTGATATACATGAACATGCAGTATATGGTCCTTGTACTCATCATTATTTTAATTTCAGTTTCCAAATCGGCAGATAATAACTCGTGTTTGTCAAAAGCTGTTGTAATAGCCAACGCTACCACTGTGGGCCATATTTTCTTCTAATTTTACCACGTGTAACCTGCATTATCATGCACATTAGTTTTTATCAACATTTTGGTTTTAAAAAATGATCCAAATATATTTTGAAGATTAGTACACATATGTTTTTCTGAAATCTTGGGTGCACTTGCACTCATCGTAATAGCATATAGGAAAGTCATTTGATAGAATTTTACTTGTTTTAAATAATTATATAACTTTCAATTTTATATACCAGTTGTTCGTGAAATAAAAACAATATTTTTTATATAAATTGTTTTATTTCAGAAGAAAAGTTAAACTTACCATCTTCATCCTGTCTGCTGTATCCATATTTGGCTTAAAAACAAACAAACAATATCATTGCTTGCACACCAAATTAACACTTTACAAAATTGGTACAACAAGATGAACTCTCTTGGAGAATTTTCAAATTGAAATAAAAAAGTTTTTACAGATTATACATGTATAATCTTTTTACATTTTGAAGTAGCATAAAATGTTATTAAAGATTAAAACAATATACATCTAGGCCTATATGAAAATAATTTTATTGTGGTTACAGAATAAAGAGAAAAATGTATATAAAACTGTTTTAATATATAAGGTATAGCAAGTTTGCATGAAAGTTATTATATGAATGAAAACAAATTTGATGTCCGGGTACATGTGTATTCAGTTCAAGTATTTTTAATATAACCTAAAAATAAATATATATGAATTTATTTCATTTTAAACTTATTAATAGCAATTTTATTTTTAAGATATTCAAAACTGCAACAAGCTTCCTCTCTCTCTCTCTCTCTCTCTCTCTCTCTCTCTTTCTCTCTCTCCCGAACGAAGCTATTCTTTTGAGAAAGGAAGCCTTAGAAGTTTCCAGCAGTTTCTACAATAAAAATTTTCGGTATCTGATTTTTACATCATATCAATATACCGATATACCGGTAATATTGCACACCCCTACTATCTAAGTGTGTAAGATTTGATTAAATAAATTGCCCTCAAAATTGAAATTTGTTTTCATTATAAGCGATCATGGAGTTCAAACACATAATAATTCTAGGTTACGCCTGTATTTGCCTAGTTTAGATTCAATGGTTTTAAAAATTGTGATTATATATCACTGTGTTTTCATAACTAATTACAAAGGAAATTAACAATAACTTTGATCTAGTTTTAATATATGTGTAGGGGAAACCCGAGAAAATTAAGCGGTCTGTTGTGACGCTATATATATGATATGAAGTTTGACGAGTGTAAATTTTGACGAGAAAGGAAAAATCGTCAATATAGTCAAAATTAGCACATCGTCAAAATTTCCATGTTTACCAGTCAGGGGCATAACTTAAACAAGTTATTTTCAAAAATAACTTGAATGAGTTATTTTTTTGTCTCAATGAGTTACTTCTCTTTGCTATGACCTACTTTTTCCAAGCCTTAATAACTCAAACACGTTATTTTTCCAAAATAGCTTCAATAAAATAATAACTTGTTTAAGTTATGTTATCCTACAAAGGACTGACAAAAACAAATGTTTGACTAAATTTAAACAATAAACTTGGGAAAAGTGGGGAATTTTTTTTATTTAATGATAAAAATTGGACATATAGGAGGATTATATCCACCTCCTCACCAACAGAACTCCATCTAGATAGGCAAAATGCTCTAGGAAACACAAAATTTCCAAGAAATCAATGTCCAAGTAGGATATAAAAATAACTTGTTATTTTTAAAAAAAACTTGTGTGTGTAAAATAACTTATTTAAGTTATTTTTTTTATAACTTGTTTGAGTTATGCCCCTGACTGTTTACAGTACTTTTTAATTTATAAATAAAGATCCACATGGATATTATTCACCATTGCCTTAATTTGCTTGTGTTTAATGTCAGTAGCAAATAAATTTTGTTTAAGGTACTGGTACATCTGTTCATCTTTCAATAAAATTACTGGAACAATAAAAGAATATTAACAGGATAGGCAACCCTTCAAGTCATATCTGAACGTCAAATTTAATTAATAATATCACTAATACTATCAAATATTTCAGATCAAAACCTTAGATTTTCTATCAAAAAATTATTCAAGATTTGTTTCAGCACTGATTATACTCCCCATCTTAGTAGTAATTATGTTTACTTCAAAATCAGCACATGCCCTGATCGGCCACATTTTCAAGAAAAAGTTGAGTTCAGTGTTTATTTTCTTCATATTTAAATAACATTACAACATATGGCTAAAACCTTACTAAAAATACATTGCAATATATAAAAGGAATAAATGACATTAATCAGATAACAGGCTTTTTACTGGTAATAAATGTAGTTTGAAAAATTTGTATTGTTGTGCGTGATGTTTTGGGTAAATAAACATGGTGATGAAGGAGTTGCCTATCCCTTTAGTATATTGGTCCCTCAGAGTTTCCGAAAACTATCGGTCCTACCGGCAAAACTGATAGAAAATCGAAATGTCCGATGAAATTTGCTAAAGTACCGGTCAGTGTGACCGACTGTGGTGAGGGCTTGTCCTGATTAATTTATTGTACTCTAATCTATTGCAGTATCTTCATAAATGAAAATTTTCAATGCAGCAAGCTCCTATTCTTCGTAAATATCCATAATCTTATCCATTTTGCAGTTCTACTTGACTTATTTACTTCCAAAAACGATCGTTTTTTTCCTAATCCGAATTTCCTCCATTCCTCTGTTATTGGTAAACACATACAGTATATGCAATGCCGACTGAGAAAACGTAAACATGGTAAAGATAATTTGAAATTTATTTTTATTTTGAATTTCTATCATAACTGCTATTTATATATGATTCAATTTTACAAGTGATCATGAGAATTAAACTTTAAATTTTAAAAAGAATTCTAGAAACAGTGAGTTTTTTTTCTTAAGAATTAACTTTTTTTTATAATTAGTTGTTTCTTTCCCCCAACATTTACTTGGGGCTAGTGACTTTATTGCTGCCACAAGCCTGTGTGAGCTGGTGCCATGCTTGAATAAATTATAGTTGTGTAATGGTTCGGGCTGTGGATATCGGCCTGGATAGCTCAATCGGTAGAGCACCTGACTAGTGATACAGGGGTCCCGGGTTCGATTCCCGGTCCAGCCATGCATTTTCTCCTTTCCTGTTACATTTGGTGCCGTGCCATGCCCTGGAACTGACAAGTGCATGAGAGGCTTGCCAGGGATGAGCCTGGTTTAGGATCTTTGGAGGGCCAAAGACCTTTAAGGAGGGAGGAATGTAATGGTTCGGGCTGTGGATATCGGCCTGGATAGCTCAATCGGTAGAGCACCTGACTAGTGATACAGGGGTCCCGGGTTCGATTCCCGGTCCAGCCATGCATTTTCTCCTTTCCTGTTACAGTTGCATAACCCTGGTATCACAAAATGCAGTGTTTGTGAGCCACAAATTTTTTTTACATATATTCAATGCCATTTTCTTTGAATTACATCTGAATGAAATATAAACTGTATATTTTAAAATTTATTCGGACTGATAGAATATGCATCGGACTGGTAGAACACATTAAGTCATCAGTCCGAATGACTGATAGAAATATTTGGTTTTCGGAAACTCTGGTCCCTGAATATACATGGTAAACTTAAATGTCAGACCTGTATAACTTTAAATAACTTACCTAGGTAACTCTCTTGGTTGTCGTTTAGCTGTAGAACATGTCTTCTACCCCCTCTTGTGCGACCCATTCCTAATAAATAAAGGCCTACATTAATAAATCAACATTGTCAGCCAAACATTGTCCTAAAGAAAGAGAATATAACACATGGTGTAAAGCATTTCGATACTAGATTTATAAGGTAGACAAACTTGTAAACATTCTGTGTGCTTTGCTCAATATCAACAGGTCCAGTCCAAAGACTATTTCTACCTACATAGCTATTAATAGCTACGTAGGTATTTAAACGTACCCAAAGTAGCTATTTTTACCTACTTTTTGTATTATCTGCATTTTGTGACCAAAAGACCAAAACGGCGCAACATGGTGAAAACCATATATTTTCATACAGTCACACAAATGATGAATATGACGAAATTTTGGCCAAAAAATGATTACTTTCTAAATCTTAAACTTTACATTAATTTCTATGCAAAATTGTTAACTTATGAAGTTGTCATTTTTTTGGTCAATTTTTTGTCATATCCATCATCAGTGTGACTGTATCAAGAAATATGGTACTCACCATTTTGCGCTGTTCAGCCACAAAATGCAAGTAAAGCAGAAAGTAGGTAAAAATAGCTACTTTGGATAAGTTTAAATACCTACGTAGCTATTACGTAGGTAGAAATAGTCTGTGGACTGGACCTGATCAAGCATTCTTCGATTTTTTTTATAACAGGCGAATAGTTTGCCTTGATAGATATTGTTATTTATGTTCCGCTTTTTTCTGAAGAAAACTCTGCGTGGGATTTCCCTCTTTCATATAAAAGTGTATAATGGTCGCATACATTATTGCATGTGTAAAGTACGTGATGTCGGCAAATATTGAAATACGACCTACACATTTTTTATGTTTCGAACTATTCTCGTTTATTACATTGGAAGTTGTAGATTAAGTTGTGTTATCTTACCTTAAATATGGGGAAAGTAATTCAAACACTGATTTAAATTACATGAATACAAGTAATTTGGGGGAAAACATATATTTTTATCATTCGAGAACAAAAGTCGGTCAGCATGTCAGCACCTAGCCTAGTTAGTACTAGTTATTGTTTTCTTTCACCGAATTTGATTGGTTCAATTCAAGGGAACAATAAAAGTCAGAACGATTCCAGTGAATATCCGGATAATAAAGCAGACCTTTTCGGGTCTTTCCGACAAGCTCGGAAAAATATTTTTTCCTCCAATCGGATTTTTCTAGCGTGCGACGGAAAAGGGCGTGGTGATCCGATTGCTTTTTTTGGTTGTCGGAAAGACCCGACTTTGAACCGGGAATCGTACCTTGGAACCAATGAATCCCTAATATTGAAATCAATTTAGGTCGATATATCTACGAACGATTAACATAAGTGGATCTATGAATGGGGTTCATAGGACCCCCCGGTCCGTCTCCCCAAGAGGGGTTCTGATTATTTTCCATGTAAAAGTAACTTTAAAAAACCAACAACAACAAACAGACTTAATTTAATTTGGTAGAAGAGCTAGGGGATGCTTACTCCTCATACGCACCTGACCCAACCACTGGAATTTCCAGGGTTAGTGTTTATGCCCCTTTCACTTTTTTGTATTATGATAATAGATTGATCATGCACTTTTCGTTCACCCTTTTCATCAGGATCAATAGCTGCAGATCTGTAGCCTTATGGTTTTATATATTTGTCTTTGACCATAACGCCACAGACCCCGTAATGCAAAAAATGTGCAATTTTAATACGGCGCAATATTTTTTGCGCACTTTTGGGGAGAATTTCTTCACTTTCTAGCATTGTTCAGTCAACTACCTTTCACTCCCTAATTCTAGGCACATTATTTAACTAATCTGTATATTTTATCCATCTCCCAAACCCTTTATAGTCGTCTCTACAAGTGATGAACTCGTTTGATTAAAATATTTGTTAGATTTCTGAAAATTCACTTCAAGCGAGTTTATTGCCTGTAGTGACAACTATAAATGGTTGAGAGGTGGATAAAATATACATATTGGCTACAGAATATGTCTAGAATTGGGGAGTGAAAGGTAGTTGATTGAGCAATGCTAGAAAGTAAAGAAATTCTCCCAAAAGTGCGCAAAAAATATTGCGCCGTAAGTTGCACCTTTTTTGCATTACGGGATCTGTAGCGTTATGGTCAAAGACAAATATATATAAAACCATAACGCTACAGATCTGCAGCTACAGGATCAATATATGAAAGATAAAATAAAAGAAGGCGAAAAAAGTGCGTAATTTACTTCATTGATTTTATTACAGGTATCATAATGTACGTATTACAAACTGATTAAGTTCATTTAGTCGCTCTCTTAGTTATTCTTTTCTTTTTCATTTTTATTTATGTTCAGTATACCTTTATTTATCAATCCAGGATTCTTGAGGAGGAGTATATACAAAGTTCAGATTTAAGACTATTACCAACTTTACGTAGACGTTGGAACAATGAACGTTAACATCCTGGGAAGTTTTTCTCTTACTTTAACCCCCCTCCCTCCCCCAATCTTGTTGTGCCTTGGAAGCCATACGATGTATGAAATATACAAATAATTGTCCATTTAGCAGTAGCACATCCGCTGCATTTACACTCATACATTTTTTTCTTTTAAAATTATGCATTTCAAGTTGCATATCAGTGATGAAAGCAAATCATTATGTACCCTGATCGATAAAGACGTCCCTCCCTCAGTGATACAAAAACCACCGTGAATTGTCTAAAAGAAAAACATGAAATCGTTTTTGACAAATTAAGTCCTAATCAAATTACAATTATAATCTTTTTTTTCCCTCTTTTTTTTTTTGTTTGTTTCGGTTCACTAAATATATTTACTTATAGCTATTAACATTGGTCTTATTTTAAGGGGTAGTTTTAAGGAAGCCCCAGCGGTTTCCCCTCCCTGAAATTGTACTATCCCATTATTGCTCTGGGAAATCTACATGTATTTACTATGCATGTTTATAGTTATTTCTAAATTAATATAAACTATTGATCCATCTTGATTCCTCTATAGTCATTATTATTGTAGGTGCTGGAAGAGAGAGAGAGAGAGAGAGAGAGAGAGAGAGAGAGAGAGAGAGAGAGAGATCAGTTGGTTCTTCAGTGTTTCACGTCGTAAGCTTTCAAACTGTAATTAAAGATTAATGTATCATAGCATAATCTACATTTGTCATAAGATTCGTTTTTCCCTTATTTTGTATAACAATGGGTGGGGATGGGGATCGGGGATCGAGTATCTTTAACGCGACCTTTTAAAAATGAAACATATATACCAGAAGATGTGACCTAAATGAGAACTTATCATGCTGCATTTTTCAGAAATATATATTATACAAATGTTATAAAGTTCGACGCCGGTGTACCATTCAGGTGTTGGTGTGAATGATTATTGATATGATAAAATAATAGATAACAACTGCAGTAGCGGACAGCCTTGTCTTACGCGGTCAAAAAGTGTACACTTTACCTTCGTAATTATGGTGTACAAAATTAAAACAATACTACTTCCGTAATATAAATATAAACACGCAGAGCATTTGCAAAATAATTAACGGAGCAGTATTTTCAGGAGAAATATCTCATAAAAAACGAAACTTTCAAAATTTTAGTACAATCAAAACTTGACTGCAAAAGTTAAATAATTCAATTGCAAATTTGTTTGATAACAATTCGTTATGAAATGTACCGTTATCAGTATACTACATGTATTTATCCTGTTCGATACATGAAGTAAATTTCTTACTGGTTTGTACTACACGGCAGATGAAATTTCTGGAAACTGAAAGATGTTACGATTTTAGATAAAGTGCATAAATTATACGAATGTATTAAACAAGATGCAAATAAAAACAAACAATTCAACAAAGGTATACTATAGTACTTAGTTAACGCGCGATTTTAAAATTTCAATCTTACATTTATAAACATGTAAATATAATTCAGAGAAACTATCAGAACTCAAAACAGTAAATGGTCATTTGCGAAGAAACTGAACTATATGCATTGAGGTCATTATTAATGAAAAGAGCGTAAATTATGTATACATTAGAATGGAGTCTCTATATCAAAGGTGTTTCCAAAAAGTTTCATTTTTTGTGTTTTTTAATGTTGTTCAGCTTCATTTGATATGGAGTTTCAAACATAACTGATATTTTGGACAAAAGGCAAAAGTCCAGTTTCGTATGGGAGAGGATATGAAAAGCGACCGGACATTCGGTCCGACTCGTTTAAAGTTCCGGGGGAGGGGTCGGGGCTAATATGATAACAAGACCCGCTCTTTGTAAGAAAAGGATAGACACTGAACTATCAGATCATGTACATGTACGTCACTTTCTATGGTCCAGGGGTTTACAGGAAAGAAAAGAAATTTTTAGCTGAATGACTTTAATTTTTATTACAATTTGTTGAAAGGGGGGGGGGGGTCGAACATGAGAAAATTTGGAGACTGATATGTAGATTTCATTTCCCATTTCCAAGGCTGCTTTGAAAGTGAAAAGCAACTATATAATATTGTACGCATTTTTCAATAATATCAGTTAATTTCAAAACGTCAAAAATGAAACAAGCGTCTTGCCCATTATGACCCCTCCTTTCTCAGGGGAGACTGGATGGATAATGCATCAGTGATTAAAGAAATATTGATCACCACATTGCATGTGTAGATGATGAACTTCGAAATCTTGATAGAGCCAGATAAATTTGAATTTATTTTCATATACAATGCGCAGTAAAGAAAAATATACACTAAAGATGATAAATGCGGGTGTGCATTACACAAGAAAACAGAGTGTATACAGTGAAAATTGTTATCTGTGGCCCAGACTTTGTTCGTTCGTTGATGTACCCCTACCTAGATAAGAGACGGCCAAGGGGAGTATATACTAATATCTCACCGGCTGTGACAGCCATATCTCTTTCTGCAGGTGAATCTGCTTCATCTTCTATTTGAATTTTTCTTCAATTTTGTTGTTTGGAGAAATCATAACACCGCAGACTGGAGATATTTAGATGCAGAACTTCGTTATAATCTTCTGCCTCCTGGCTGCTGGACTAACAGGTATTGTCAATTTAAAAATTCTTTTTGAAAGATCCATCTTTCTTATTAAGATCCATTTTTCAATGGATACCTCATTTTTGCATACATGTACAATGAAAAAAAAAAAGAAAAAAAAGAAAAGAAACTGAAGAAAAAAGGTGTTCGGGAATTAACTTTAAAAAAATCTGAAGAGTGCCTGAATATATGAGATGCAATCAAAATATAAACATTTAGTATAATTTCAGTTATAGTCTGGATTTTCATAGAATGATCATTTTGCAATTCCGTATTTACAATAATGTTCAATTACATGTGCATTTAGTTAATCCTGACAAAGTTTTTATATTCAATGAAATGTACAAAAGTACATAAAATAACTGAAAATAAACCACAATGAAGTAAATCGTAGATAAATTTTGCGATTAAAATTTCTTTTGAAAATTAACTTCTTCTAACTTTACATTACACACAACAGGCCCGTAGGAAACATATTCTTCACTGAGTTTTTTTGTGGGTGGTGGGATGAGGTGCTATTCTTAATTTCTTAGGGGGGCACTATCAACAAAAAGATTCCTTGAATAGCTGAAAAATAGTAATTAGATTGCAATCAAATTCATAAAACTGCGTAACCTTCAAGTAGATGTTTTCTGTGATTCTGACATGGAAAATTACGTTTTTCTTCTCGGGATCGAGATTCACAAAATCTGGCGCCTTCAATCAAATTCTTATGTTCTTATTCGTTTCACTCAAACGAACATAAAACATTTATGAAATAAACACAAACTCGTGAAATAGGATATGAAATGAAAGTGCAGTTTAATTATTTCACACAATACATATAATATCTCTTTGTCCTCATCAATGTAAACAAAATAGAAAATAAATATTTTCAACAAGGTATAAATCTAATATAACATTCAAAACTAAGCAATGGGCGGGTGGGTGGGACTAATAAGACTGCACGAAATAGAGCCTTCGAATGGCTTTCCCTATACAGAAAATTTCTTTCACGGTCAGTAATAGCCCGTGCTATGAATATTAATGTCACCTGACTAGGTGACCATTCTAACAGCCAATAGATGACAAGAATAAACAAACACAAACACGTGTTTGTGTAACATTAATAAATACGTTTATGTTCTTATTCGTTTCACTCAAACGAACATAAAACATTTATGAAATAAACACAAACTCGTGAAATAGGATATGAAGCGCTCTGAAAGTGCAGTTTAATTATTTCGAAGATAAAGAAGATTAGAACTGAAACGAATATCCTAAATGCCCAAATTCTTAGTAACTGAAAGTTTTTCAATTTGGTTTTCTTTAACATAACCATCTTTAGAATTTTCCGACCTCCACCGCCCATGCTTTTTAAACAGTCTGTCGCTAACACCTGCGGCGGCTGCGGAGGTAGCGCCACCTGATCTCAGACTGTGGACACCAAATTTACACTTGTCTAAACCAATCTTTTCAAGTGAATCCAATATGATTTCTCTTGCTCTTGTATAAGAAATTGGACGATTATCCGATCTCAGTTTATAAGTTTGGAATTTTTTACAAAATGACAGAGATCTAAACAAGAACAGAGGAGAATGCATGTCAGCATTTGACAATTTTAAAAACTTTTCCAACATATTTACAGGACAGGTATCACAAAATGTTCTAGCAATACAAACTTTATGACCAGTTTTATAAACATCTGTTTTACTTTTAACAATGTTAATTTCTACACAATTAGTCTGTATACAGATATCTGAGTAACGAATGTTAACTATTTCTGAAAATCTCAAAAATCCTGCAAAACCTAATAAGCACATACACAATGTTCTTAAATTGTATAAATTTCCATCCTCTCCAAATGTAGAAACCAGAGTTTTCAAATGTTCAGGCGTTATAGGCTCTTTTTTAATCACTGGTTTTGATGTCTCTCTAACTGCCCCTTCCTTAACAGTTTTTACCAAAGCTGAGTCACAAGGATCTATATAACCTGCTAGGCTATGTGCCCAACTGATGGCATGTATAGCTGAATGTATTGTGCCAGACGATTTACATTGTTTTGCTAAATGTATAATATATAGTGCAACGTTGTTTTCCGAAGCAGGAAGTGATTGAATCCCAGGGTTAAAGCTGCTACACCACTTAAAAAGGTATTAAAAGCGTACCTGTACTGTTTTGCTGTATTTCGGCCTTAGATGTTACACAATATCTGGGTAGTTCAGAAGCAATATAGACGATGATCCTGTAATCCACAATTAATTCCCGTCCATCTGCCCACTTTAAATATATCTGAAAAATGTGTTTTTTAAAGCAAAAAATTAGCATCTTCTAACTTTAACATATTATATGGTGTATCAGGACCTTCATCATCTGCAATACACCCTCTCTGATGTACCAGGACCACTTGTCATCTGCAATACATCATCTATACATTTGCCCAGCTCGGCAAAAATCTTTGTTTAAAGTGTACCAGGGCCTAAACCATCTGCAATACACCATCATAAACTACAAATTTGTAGCGTCTAAACGTACCACAAGTATTCCAGAGCCAAAATATATAGAACCAAATAGACAGTTCTTGTTCTTGACTGATTATCTCACTTGTATCTTTAAACAGTAACACATCTTTCACATACGCCTTATAAGACAGTTCTAAATCGAATAACATTGGCCAAAAAACAGCTGAGGGCCAGTTAGGTACAATCAAAATACCATATGCTTTGCAATCTAATAGATGTTTTATATAGAAACTATCAAATGAATGGGAACAAAAGTTGTTTTACCCAATTCTGTGTAAAACACAATGACTCAGGATTCCAAAATTTTGAGTTGTATCTAACAAGTTTACGATTGTTAAAAATTTCTACAGAGAAAGGACCAAACATAGAACTAATAAATTCAAAAAATTCATTAGTAACTTCCCAATCATCGTGATCAATAATTTTACTAAAAAAAAATCTGCCTTTTCATTTTCTGATCTCGGAACCCATTGAACATCAAGGGAAATTTTGTTTTCGGCACACATTTTGAAAATATTATATGCTAAAACTTGTAAGTGATGCTTCATGCTACCAGAGTGTACTATTTTCGCACAACTTTGATTATCTGTAAACCACTTTACTGTCATATTTTGTAGTTCTTTCTTAAAAGAAGCCAGCGCCAATTCTATGGCCTTCAACTCTCTCCATGTAGAACTCATAGTTTTATGTTCTTTCCACATCAAATGGAACATAGAATTAACTTCAACAGTATATGCACTAGATGCTGAATTACTTGCATCTGAATAAATGATTACGTTTTTTCTTTTAACAGAATGTAAAAATCTTGTACTGTCACAACGCATACATTCTACCCAAAATTTTATCAAACATTCTTTATGAAAAAAAATCCCATGATTCTTTCAAAGCAATTTCCATAGAAGAAAACCTTGTCATAATATTGCAAATGTTACCCATTACTGGAGTCATAGAAATGATCTTCCCCACTAATAAGACTGCACGAAATAGAGCCTTCGAATGGCTTTCCCTATACAGAATTTCTTTCACGGTCAGTAATAGCCCGTGCTATGAATATTAATGTCACCTGACTAGGTGACCATTCTAACAGCCAATAGATGACAAGAATAAACAAACACAAACACGTGTTTGTGTAACATTAATAAATACGTATAATGCATAAAACAGACGATTCCATGTTTGCGCAGCCAATGCATGCTGCAGGTGTTGTGCAAGCAAAGGTTAATTCTAAACTTTCGGATGACAATCCCTTGATATAAACTATGTTTCAACACCATGGATATAACGAAAACGATGCCTTGATTCATAATTTGTGAAACAAGAGGTTAAAAAAACGTTGGGTCATGCCAGTGCGGGATTTGAGTGTGAGTTTCAACTTGATATTTAAGAGGTTATATGACTTTGTTGTGTACATTAATACCGTAATGGAGAGAGAGCTAAACAGTAGGTGCGAAATAAATTTTAACAAATGCGTAGTAGGTGCAAAAATATAGTTATAACAGGTTAAATCGAGATTCCACTGACTCTTACCCCTACATCTTATATTGTGTCTCCCCTGGAGATGATTTATTCTGTAAAAATCAACCCAATTATGCATAAAATGTATCATAATTCACCATATAAACCTCAAGTTCTCTTGGGTTCTTTAGAGTTGTCTAGGGTTCTCTGTTTAGTGGGTCCGGTCTCCCCTGCACAAGTCACAATATAAAAAGCAGGAGTCAGAGGAATCTCGGATTAGAAGATAGTGTAAACTATTTAGTATAGCTGCAGAACCTTAGCTCGACTCTGCTTGAGAAAATTTGAACAGATATTGCAGAGAGCTACAGATCCATGCATTGTAAAAACCTTTGATGGGTCTATACAGCTCTCTGCTTTATCTGTTTAAGGGGAGACAAGGAACATGTCACATGACTAAAAAGACACATTACGTCATAATCGGTTATGATATACATGTTAAACGTTGTTAAAATCAACAGTTATTGTGTAATTTTATTCTAAATTCTAAAATTGTTTTTAAAACATTTAATTTTAGAAATTATTATTAATGAAAATTTTAAAGATCTTGCCATCATTTAGATATTGTGAGTTTCCACACATTTGCATTTTATGCATGTTTATAATTTGAATTACAGTGCAGGCATGTCATATATTTATTTCATAATAAACAGGTTATCATCCTAAAGCAGATTTTTTTAATTAATATTTTTTCGTGTCTAGTAACAGATATTCACTCTATTTAGATAATTTTGAATGTTTATGTTTTCGTGTGACGTCACAATTAATTTCCCGCACTCGGAAAATGCAAACGTGACGCGTTTTTATCATGCTTACGCCTAATTCAACGATGTCCTGTGCGATATTGAGGTAAGCTTCACCCTGTGATATTTATGCAGTAAATAATTACGATGGAGGGCTGACTTTAAATCGTAAATTTAGAAATATTTATTGACAGAATTTTTTCCAAATGAGTTTTTTGGACTGGAGCCAAATATTATATGAAATTAAAACAATAGGGTGTTATCTATCATATTTAGCGTAAAAAAGCTGGAATGGGCCTGTAAACATGAAGTATCTAAACTCCATACAAACTCTAAATAGGGCGGGTGACCACACGAAATCATGGCGTTTTAAAATGTTAAGTACATAATAAATTAGTACGAAAAAAATTCATTAATGTTTTTTTTAAAATCCTGTTCCTCCTTAAGGAGTATGAACATGTTCTACTGACAATCTGCATGGGAGTTTATTTGCATTTAATCATGTTTATAAAAAAATTATTGATTTTTTTTTATTTGTACACAGGGACAGACTAATTTTGCGTGTAACTTTGATCAGAACAATTTCTGCCAATGGACCAATGTTAAGAGAAGTTGTTAAAGAAGGGGTCAACAGCAACAACTGGAAGTGACCAATGCGTAATTGATGTGCTTTACTTTAAAATCTCATATTTTTGGGAGGGGGGATTTTTTGAGGTTTGAGAAAAAAATTATTTACATTGATACTTGGTAAGAGAAGGTGGAAATAATCATAAATTTTACATGTGAGGTGGTCTCTTCCTTAATACCTCGAAAACAGCAATAATTAAACCCCAATGAAAAATGAGTGATTTCACAGTAAATTTTGCAGTTTTAATTTTAATGTTGATTGAATTTTTTTTTTGAAGCAATCAAAATATTTCAAAATGAATTTCGTGTACATTCCACTGTAAACTTAATTGACAATATGTCTGATATTACAGGAATAAATGTTGTAGCAGCAAATGCCTATCAGAAAATATTGTCATACATACATTTATGAATCAAGGTGTCACAATATGTCACTTCATTCTGGGCTATGTTTACAGCAGATTAAGGATTTCTGCATCAGGAAAAATTCATTGCATATTAAAACTGATTCCTTGTAGAAGGGTACTACATATACTTGGAGTCAAGCTCAGGCCGGCAAGGATCAAAGGCTCAACTTCAGAGCCCCAGTCTGAGTCTGAACAGGGGTCAGACTAAATGCCTAAGCCTCTGGTATCACATGTATGGACCAAATGTCGGGTACCTGAATGTTTACTACAAGCGGAATGGCAATCTCAGGACCCCAATCTGGAGAAGGAATGGCAACAATGGTCCCCAGTGGAAGCATGCACTCATTAACATTAGAGTCAACAATAATAACAGAAATGGAAAGGTTTGTGAAAAATGTGCTTTCCATGCAATAAATATTTGAAATTTATGCCTATTCCTTTATTGTAATACGTAGATCACTTAATTTTTGTGACACCTTATATTCGCAATTAGTCACTGACTCTTGATAAGCAAGACAAAATTTTCACGAATTGTGGTTATTGCTCTATATAATCTAAAGGAATAATATTAAATGTGAGAATTAAATTTTTGCGAGTGATTTACAGTATTTTAATAGGCATATTTAGAACTACAGTTGTTATACAAGACTGAAGCATTTTTTTTTGGTTCTTGCAGATTGTTATTGAGGCAACAAGAGGAAATGGTGGGAGGGGTGACATTAGTGTTGATGACATTCAAGTCACAGATGGTCCCTGTAGCCAACAAGGTCTGTGACTGAAATAGAATGAACTATTTGACAACCAATTCTGATGATTTCATTGTACTTAGCTCTAACTCAGTAATGTAAAAATTAACTAAGAGAAAGGTTAAGAAAAGAACTGATGCAATTTTGTATGCAACACTTTGTGATATTCTACAGTTATAGTCCATGTAATAGCATTTCATACCAGCAGAATAATTTTTAATGAATCAAATTGAATTAAAATTTGTATAGTACATGGGATATTCTTTCATAGCATTGTACATTAAACTAAACACTTTTTTTTTTTTAAAAAAAGGTCAGACAACAGCTACCCCCGGAGGAACCCCCAGTCCTTCATCTGTCACTTGCAACTTTGAGTCGTCCAATCTCTGTGAGTGGAAGAATGACAAAACGGACAACTTTGACTGGGTCTGGAAAAGTGGGTCAACTGCCACGGCCAACACTGGTCCTACCAATGACCACACCACTAACACCGCATCAGGTAATAGATTGTATTTATTCAAAATCACCTCAATATATGAACCTGAACAATGAAAAGATGTAAAGTTTGAGTTTGATGGTTTTAAATGTTAATGATTTGTCCTCCATTGTCAATTTTTAAGGACACTACGTCTACATTGAGGCAAATGGACATCGTCAGGGCACAAAAGCTCGTCTGATTGCACCGTCCTACAGTGGAAGGTACTCCACATGCTTCCAGTTCTATTACAACATGCATGGTCAGAACATAGGTACTCTGAGTGTGTACAAGAAGACCTCTGGGGGGCTGGGAAGTCCTATCTGGAGCTTGAGTGGGGACCAGGGGACAGGATGGCAGTTTGGACAAGTCTCCATACCCAGAGGAACCGCTTACAGTGTAAGTATCCAGTAAAAAAATTCAAAGGAAGTACTCTTTTTCAATGCACATTGCACATAATGAATATCCCTAAGATTTGTTGTGCTGTTTTATTTAGGTTGTGTTTGAGGCAAGTAAAGGATCAGGAAATCAAGGAGATATAGCTGTGGATGATCCCAAGATGTTCACTGGATCTTGTCCAAAAAGAGGTGAGATGTGGTATAGATTAGGGAAAACATTCAGAGACAAGAAAGAAAAGTAATGATGTCAGAACAAAATAACAACTGATTTACCTGTTTTTCTGTTGCAGGTGCATGTAACTTTGAGAAGGACTTTTGTGGGTGGAGCAACAGTGTTACCGACCAGTTTGATTGGATAAGACACAAGGGGTCGACAAGTTCCCAAGGAACAGGGCCCACAAATGACCACACCCTGGGAAGCAGGGGGACTGGTAAGAGTAATTAAATATACTCTGCCTGTGATTTGGTTCCTGTCAATTTTAAATATATATAGACAATCTGGAGTTATAAGAAGGAAACACAGACATGAGGTGTTTGAGCTAGATAAGATTATTTTTAATTTGTACAATGAGATTTTTACCAATTATATTATTCATGTATGTTGTTAATTCTGTGTACAGGATATTACATTTACATCGAGGCCAGTAGTCCCAGGGCACCAGGAGATGCAGCGCAGATCGTCAGTGAAGTGTTCCCTCCCTCACAGCGCACATACTGCATACAGTTTTGGTAAGATATCACACATACAACTGGACTGTAATGGAATGTCCTTAGACCTTAGAACTTATTGTTTATGTTAAATTTTGGTAAACAAAAAATATTCTTCTATAGAAGTTCACCGCTAATTGTCTTGTAAAGAAAGAGGCAACTTATAAGTTTGTTGTAGAGCATATGAAAATGCATTTTGTGATTTATTTTTATCAGGTACAACATGAATGGGAATGCCATTGGTACCCTTACAGTGTACGCTGTTGCTAATGGCATCCAGACCCCACTATGGCAGTTATCTGGACAGCAGTCTGGGCAGTGGAACTTTGGGAGAGTCTCTGTTATGAGTCCCAAGTCTAATTTCAAGGTGAATTGTTATGTCTACTAACACATCAAAAACATTTGACAAAACCAGAGACTAAACAACACTATAGCTTTGAAAAGTTAATAAAATTGAATTTTACCCCTTTTTAGATGATAATTGTGCTGTATTTTATTTTTATTTCAGTTCATCATTGAAGGATTGCGTGGATCAGGAATACAGGGGGACATTGCTTTAGATGATATCAGTGTCACTCAGTCCAGATGTGCAAGTATGCACTATTGCTTTTTAGCTTCTTTTAACTAGTGAAATAAATAATTCAAACTTGAAACAAGCAAGTTCTTAAAACATTTGATGAAATTAAAAACTGAATATATGGATGAATTTTCTGTGATTTAGGACAGCCATCAAATGCTCGACCTGTCTCCCAAACTACCACTACAACACCAATGACCACAACAGTAAGGACAAGTTCAGGCCGAACCACGGCCACAGCCAATCCATCATGTAAGTGTCTAGACCCCCACCCAGCCCCCAAAAAGTGTTTTATGGAGCTGCATGTTTTGCAGACTTATGTTTGGGTAGATCCTTCAAACAGTAAGAATTTTCATGTTACAAGCCTGGAAAATGGAAGATGAATAAATGAGATCTTTGGGATTAATTACCTTCATTGCTGCTTATGTTAAGAATCTCTACAAACAAATCAAGACAGTTAAAAAATTATTTCAAATGGATTGGTGCATACTTCGTTGACATTTTTTTTTTACATCCAACTCTTAAAAAAATTTGTTGAGGTAAACTACAAATATAATCTTCAGTTCCACTGTGCTTTGTTTTTTTCAGCTATATCCTGTACATTTGAGGGAGGTTTCTGTGGATGGACACAGGTGAGGTCCCCCACAGATGATTTTGATTGGACTAGAATGAGAGGTGCAACAAGCTCCACTTTCACAGGACCAAGAGGAGACCACACATCAGGAAGTAAGAACTAAACTTTATAGCAAGCTGACTGAAAAGAATTATATATATGACCATAAACACATCCTGATCAATAATAAAAGATGTCTGAATGTGTTTATTTTTCATTATTGCTTGTATTGATCATAAATGTTTTTATTCTAGAGGGCTTCTACATTTACACTGAGGCATCTAACAGACATGTTAATGAAACGGCTCAGATCAAATCCCCAGCAGTAACGCCTTCTTCCAGTGGAAACACTCGGTGCCTGTCCTTCTGGTATAGTATGTATGGGTCCAGCATTGGAACCTTAAATCTTTACACCCAGACTCAGTCAATACTGGGAACTCCTATCTGGACACGCAAAGGAAATAAGGGCAACCGCTGGAGACAAGCTCGTGTAACTGTTAACGTGGCAGTGCAGTATAATGTAAGTCAATGTATTAATGATTATAGAATTTATTTACTTTTGTGTAAATATTTTAGATTTGTGACTAATTTTGTTATCAGATGTCAAGTTTGGAAATTTGCATATTAAATATTGTTCTCTTGTAGTTTGTATTTGAAGGAAGATTGGGAAATGGAATTAGAGGGGACATTGCTCTAGATGACATATCTCTGACAAATGGTGGATGTTCAGGTAAACTCAGTGGAATTTTCATCTACTTTAAATATTGTAAATCATATTGCAAATGTGACGTTCCTAACTTGAATCTTTCTTGGCTGAACACATGTACAGTGAACCCTCAGATATCCGGACGCCAGATATCCGGATGCTTCAGTATCCAGACGATTTTTCATCGGAACAAAATTTTTAAATGTTATTTTGTCTTGTTTAACTGGTGATTCAGATATCCGGATGCTTCACATATCCGGACAAATTGACTGGGAACCAAAGTGTCCGGATAAATGAGGGTCCACTGTATTTGTAAGGTGCACATCTTCTTCTGTTTGAATTGCTGGCTGTCTGTAAATAGTTTTATTTTTCAATGTGCTACTTCTTTGGCAGTTTTTATCTGATTAAAAAAAAACCAACTTTGATTTCAATAAAAATTGGTACAAATATAGGACACATCAAGATACAATTTTTTAAAAGATTAAACTAAAATTGTATGGAGGGAAACTTTCTCTTGCAAAATTTTAAGTAGAGCCACAGTCTTCTGTTTTGAAGCATTCAAAAACTTTAAAAGAAATTGTTATTCCATTAACTTCATATCATTCTACATGTACCATGAGATTTCCAAATATCTCTTCAATATGAAACAGGACAAACACAGGCCCCTGGAGTGTCCACTACCCCTGCCACCACGGGGGCTGTAAGAACCTGCGGATTTGAATCGAGTAGAATCTGTGGATACAGCCAGGACAGAACTGACAAATTTAACTGGTCATGGAAATCAGGAAGTACATCAACCACAGGAACTGGACCAGCAAACGACCACACCTATGGCACCTCTAGAGGTAGAGAAAAATTAAGGTTTACTGATCATCTTGTAAGGGAGATAACTTTCATTGGAATTATTGGCTTGTATTCCTTTTAATATTTTATTCTTGATTTAAATTTTTCAAGGCATTGAATAGGGAAAATGTTTGCATTTCAATTATGTATTAGATTTTCTGTTGGAAAATTAGTGTTGTTTAAGAAAAAAATCCAATTTGAGAAAGATGAGGAACCTTAAAGTGATTTTTATGCCCCGCCATGAGTATGGCCGGGGTATATAGTGTTTGTCATATCCGTCTTCCGTCCTTCTGTCCTTCCGTCCTTCTGTCTGTCCTGTCTGTCCTTCTGTCACACTTTACGTTTAGCTCTGTTCAAAGCTAAGTTTCAAAGAAACTATCCAAGATATTTTCATCAAACTTCATATGCTGATAGATATTGATGAGAGCTATGCAACTGCATCAACATTTTCTGACCTTGACCTTTCCTTTGACCTTGACCTCACTTATCTTTAATTAGTGTTTCACTCAGTTTTAAAGATACCATTCAAGATATTTTTTTCAATCTTCATATGCTGTTACATATTGATGAGAGCAATTCAACTGCATCAACATTTTTGACATTGACCTTTGATTTGACCTTGACTTCACTTTTATCAAATTGTGTTTAAGTCAATTTTCATTAAAGACATCATTCTAGATATTTTTATCAATCAGTTTCAAACTTCATATGCTGATACATACTGATGTAAGCAATTCAACTGCATCAACAATTTTGACCTTGACCTTTTATTTGACCTTGACCTCACTTTTATCAAATTGTGTTTAAGTAATTTTCATTAAAGACATCATTCTAGATATTTTTATCAAACTTCATATGTTGATACATATTGATGAGAGATATGCAACTGTATCAACATTTTTGACATTGACCTTTACTTTGACCCTGACTTCACTTTCCTTAATTGGTGTCAAACTTCATAAGCTGATAGATATTGAGGTAAGCATTTCAAGTGTATCATAATTTTTTACCTTGACCTTTCGTTTGCCCTTGACCTCACTTTTATCTACTTGTGTTTAAGTCAGTTTTAAAGAAACCATTTATAATATTTTTTCAACTTCATAACCTGATACTTACTGATGAGATCTTTTCAACTGAATCAACAGTTTTTGACCTTGGCATTTCCTTTGACCTTGACCTCACTTTTAATGAAATTAGTGTAAAACTTCATATGCTGATACATACTAAATGTAAGCAATTCAACTGCATCACTATTCAAGATATTCTGATCAAATTTCATATACACTAATACAAATTTTCATGTTGCTTTACTAATATACCCTCGGCGGGGCATTCTTGTCCTATGGACATATTTCTAGTTATACAAGCATTATTTGTAATGTTAGTAAGAACTGAAATTCTTTGGTTGGGGACTTGAACTCTTTTGGCAGCGGGGTCAAGAAATGTAGCTTTTTCTGATTTGAATTCAAATGATTTAAAAAATTTTCATCAGAATGAAACATATTATATGATGTTTCAATGATAAATTAAATGGAGGGAAAATGTAGAACAGTATGGAATGCTTTTATGTGCATTTACAAGGGTTAAAGATGTAAAATAAATATATGTCTTTCTTCAGGTCACTATGTTTACATTGAGACATCAGCCCCTCGCCGTCCTAACGACACAGCCCGCCTCCTATCCCCCAGCTATACAGACCGATCAGACATGTGTGTTCAGTTCTACTACCATATGCTGGGGAATGGAGTGGGAACACTCAATGTCTATGCAAAGGTATGAAGAAGTTGTATTAAAGGAAAATCATTAAGGCCTATAACTACTTGTTTAGAGATTTCTATTTTCTCTTACAGAATTTTATTTCTGTTGTTAGTAAAGTATGTTTTGTTTCTTATGTGCAGGTGGGATCCAGTTTAGGTAGTCCACTATTCACCCTTAAGGGAAATCAAGGAAATAGCTGGACCCAGGGACAGATGAGCGTACCCCAGAGTACAGCTTCCCAAGGATATAAGGTGTCTTAATCATTAAGATGTAGCCTAAATTAGATTATCACTTTAGGGGTAAAATGAATATGTTGTGAAATTTTGGAATGTTAAGGCATTGTCAAAATGACATTGCTTTCTCATTGATGATTATTTGGGTAAAACCGTAAAAGGCATGAAGGTTTTATTGAAATTTTTTGATATAGGTCGTGTTTGAAGGAATAAGGGGAACTAACTACAGAGGAGACATAGCCATTGATGATGTGTCATTCACAAAAGGAACTTGTACTACAGGTATTTATAACTGCAGATTTAAAATCAAGAATACTTGTATGCTTGTAGAATACTGTATAAGCAAAATATTTAGCGAGGATTTAATTTTGCCATTATTAGCATGGGTGTTAAGATTGCTTAAATTGAATATTGCTGAAATATACAGTATTTGAAATAGCTGCTTTTGTGAGCATTTTAAAATCAATAGAATTACATTTCGCTAAAAAAAGAATACCACTTTTTGAGAACCAATCGTTAAATTTGCCTCTCGCTAAAATTTCCACTTGGTGTTCGGGCATCAAAATTTAAGAAGAAAAGGGGAACAACTTACCAGTTTACTGAATAATTTTTTTTAAAAACAAAAATGTCTAGGTAAGAATACCAACAGAATTGATTTATTAAGCTTAAAAAGGGTTATTGACTACTTTTTCTTTACAGGAACCTGTGATTTTGAATCTGATCTATGCAGCTGGAATAACCCAGCGAGTGGTGATGATTTTGATTGGGTCAGAGATCAGGGAGGTACTACGACCACGGGCACAGGACCGACAGCTGACCACACCCTGGGAACTCGACAAGGTCAGGGTCATGCACCACTTCAAGTGGCATTTTAATAATTTTTTTCATTACAGAATATGTACTTTTACTGTACAGGTAATGCTTATTACTAGTGTGTCTCGTGAAAAAACAAAATTGCAAATTTTTTATGAGTGTTTCACTGCAAACATGCCTGCTTTTAAATTTTTGTTGTCTTCTACAGAACTTGATTTTTTTTTCATACAAATTTTTGGTGTAAATATCTAGACACTTTTTGACATACAGGTATTAAATGCTTACAATACTTTAATTTTAGGACATTACATATACATTGAGACTTCCGCCCCACGTCAGCCGGGAGACATTGCCTGGCTAGTCAGTAACACCATGCCTGCTACTACTGCTGGCTGTATCAACTTCTGGTACAACATGAAGGGAGCAGCTATAGACACACTCACCGTGTACCTGAAAATACCAGGTAAACAGTTATTCTGGTCACAGTCAAATAATCACTGGAAATATTGCATTCCAGATACTTGAATAGAAGAAAAAAATCCTTAAGATACATCATTTGTTTTGTTTATACTGTATGATTTGAAACAGTCAAACTAAAATGAATCTTTAGAATTCCTGTTTTTAATAGTTTGACGAATGTAAACAACCCTTTTCAATATAAATATTTTCATATTTGATATGTACACTGTATATTTACATGTATATATCATTTTACTTATAACTTTTTATCATATATCAGGTGGTGGAAATCGGACCCTGTGGGTTCTGCAAGGTAACCAGGGTAATCAGTGGCTAAACGGACAGGCCCCCATCTCATCCACACAGAACTATAAGATTGTATTCGAGGGACGCAGAGGACGGAGTTACACAGGGGACATAGCACTGGATGACATCAGCTTCTCCAACCAAAACTGTGGTTGTAAGGAGGAATTGTTTTCTGTCTATCTTTCTATATTTATGATAGTAAAGTTGTAGTATGATCAGGTTATGTGCTTAACCTAAGATTAAAGAAATATTGTTTATTGCTGTTGCAAATCACTCATAAAGAAAAGCAAGACATGATTGTTTTTGAATGTAAAATTAAGTTCACATTCCTTCCATTAATATTATAATATCATATTTATGCAGCACTGATATCGCAAAGTTATCAATTAATATTTTCAGTGCAACCTTCTAAGGCCAGCCCACCCCAAGTGACAGGAACTACACCCATGACTACAACTGTTGCCCCTAACAATGGACCATTTAACTGTCAATTCACCGCTGGTCTGTGTGGATGGACCCAGAGCACCACGGACGACTTTAACTGGACACGTAACAGAGGACCCACCGTCAGCTCTGGAACTGGACCTCCTAGTGACCACACCGGGGGTCAGTATATCTACTAAGATGTATAATCAATGGAAAATTATAGCTTCTGGCTTTCTTTATAATGTATCCAGCGAAGTTAAAGTTATGATATTTTTCTTCTCAGATGATACTATAGATTCCTGTGTATGTGTGAGGAATTAATAACTTCACAAAAAGCACCACTCACAAAATGAATTTACTTGCTTTTAATTTTTTTGTGCTGGAATCCATCTAAAATCTCTTGATCAACCATCCACTAGGGAATTATTGTTCTCACAATATGGTGTCTAAGAGCCATTTTGCAATATAAGGTACTTGCATAATATAAGGAATCTACAGTATTGTATATAGAAATATGATTTTGGTGCCTAATTGATAAAATTATGATTTTTTTGGTGCTTTTTAGGGGGCTACTACATTTATACTGAGGCTAGCGCCCCAGCTAAGCCAGGACACAAGGCACAGCTTATCAGTCCCAATGTCCAGCCTCCAAGCCAGGGCCAAATGTGTCTCAAATTCTGGTACTACATGTATGGACGAAATGTTGACAACCTGAATGTATATGTACAGGCTGGTCTGGTGATGCCCTCTCAACCAATCTGGAAGAGAAGAGGAACACAGGGCAGACAATGGAATTTAGCCTCCGTGGACATCAATGCCAAGAGTGTCTTTAATGTAAGAATGCTCAGTCAACTGCTGGAACAAAAAAAGGGGGGGGGGGGGTGAGATAAAGAAAAAGTAGATGAAACAGTGTAGAACTGTTATATAGATTAATCTATCTATCTTTAACAATTCTTTTTTGTGTTGCAATGATATAACTTAGAATTATTATACATGTATCAATTCCTTGAATGACTTTTTTATGATAGGTTATTCTAGAGGGCACAAGAGGAGCTGGGTATTTGGGTGATATTGCTGTTGATGACATTTCAATAGCTAATGGAACATGTTCACAAGGTATGATATCTCTAATTTAAATGCTTCTTTTATGTATATACACCACATTTCATACTCTAACCATATGCTGTGGAAATAAAAAGAACTGCTTTAAATCAGCACTGTTTTTTAAGTAGGTATAATCTTTACAGGAACAACTCCCTCCCCCACTACCGGACTCAGCAGCTGCACCTTTGAGGACAATAAATATTGTGGCTTTGTACAGGACACGACAGACAGATTTAACTGGCGGTGGGGCAGTGGTCGGTCCTCCTCCACTAACACAGGGCCCCTCAGTGACCACACCTATAAAACAGCAGCTGGACATTACATGTTCACTCAAGGTTCCTCTCAGCCCCGGGGCCGTAAAGCTCGCCTGATCAGCCCTATCTACCTGGCTAATGCTCAGCCAGTGTGTGTCAAGTTCTGGTACAACATGTACGGGACCGGTGTAGGAACACTCAATGTGTACAAGAAGGCCAGCGGTGTGTTAGGAAGACCTATCTGGCAATTGTCAGGTATTTTTTGCCCATCATTTTCTTTTATGAGATCTTGAAGTCAGTTTATAATGTGACTTAAATTAAAGTTGTAATCCATTATTTTGAAGATGCAAAGAGTTTTATAGAAATAAAGCTAATAATTTTCTAAAAATTTGCATCAGGGTCACAAAGTAGAGACTGGAGGGAAGCTTCTGTAACCATTCCGTCTGGGTCAGCATACAGAGTGGTGTTTGAGGTAGTGAATGGAAACAGACGAGGGGACATTGCTATAGACGACTACTCCGTGACACCTGGATCATGTGGAATCCGAGGAAACTGTAATTTTGACAATGGATTTTGCACCTACACCAATGATCATGCCTATGATACCTTTGACTGGACACTGGGTCATGGGTCCACTGCCAGTACTAATACTGGTCCCACAAACGACCACACCCAGGGAAATTCTAAAGGTACGATCATAATTGTCAGTGGAAAAAATTGAGTCAAATTCAAGTTTCTTTATTTAAAAGCTGGTAGATCCTTTATATAGCTAGAATTGTGGGATTCAGAATTGACTGACAAATCTGGCATTGTAGGTCAGTATCTCTATACAGCAAAACTCGGTTATAATGAAGTCACAGGGACCTATGAAATTACTTCGCTATATCTGTAATTCGTTATAATCGTATAAGAAATTCATTAAATTCATATAGCTGGGGATCCAAAAGGACTTCGCTATATCCGTGTTCATATTAAACGAGATTTGCTATATTGAGGCTTTTAGTCCTACATGAAGACACTCCGCATTGTAAGTATGTTTATGTTATTTTTCAAAGTAAAGTATATCATAGATTATAATTTCTGCTGTAGGTCAATATCTCTATATTGAGGCATCAAGACCCAGGCGCCCAGGAGACAAAGCTACTCTCAACAGCGAGATGCTGAGCTACACTGGCCACCAGTGTATGACATTCTGGTATCACATGCATGGCACTAACATTGGAATGCTAAGAATCTGGATCCTCCCCAATGGAACAGTGAATCCCATTCCATTGTGGGAGCTACAGGGTGAACAAGGAACTCAGTGGAAACAAGGACAGATCGCATTGCCCAAACAGACTGGAACATTTATGGTAAGACAATGAGGAGAAAAATTTTAATCTTTTAAAGTAATTTTATTAAAAACTTATAGAGCAATTTCTTCACTTGAACTAACGATTACATTCTAGATGCTGATTAAGGGAACTGTTGGTAATGGAGTTTTTGGAGACATTGCAATCGATGACATTTCCTTTTCTTCAAATGCTGGATGTTCACGTAAGCAATGTTCAGTAATTTCTTGAGCAGCATTAAATGTAAATTGCCCTTGAAATGTTTTGTAATGCTACATGTAATATCTACCTATTGTATGCTAATGGTAATACACGTGTATATACAGTCATATACACATAAATGAAAACTGCCAGTTGTTCTTCTTGATTTATTTTTAATATGCTGGTTTTTGATTTTTTATGTTTAGGTATGCCAAGCAATGCAGTCCCCACGGTGACTCAGAAACCAACCACAGTGAGCACCACCCAGACTACCAGCACCACACCATCAACCACCACCACCGCTGCCGCCACCACTGCCAAACCTACAGGTATATTGTACATGTATTTCTTGATAATAGATAAAAATAGAAATTATATATTTTTCAGGTCACCCTAGTTATCAAAGATGATGTAGGAAAAAGATATTTTTAAAGCCTTACTTATACTTCTCATCCAAAATTAGGGGGTCACTGGCCATAGGAAACAAAAATTCGAAATTCCTAAACTGCTTGAGGTAAATGTTTTATAAACTTTGGTATTCTCCGCAGGAGGAAACAGCTTTGCCTGTGATTTTACCTACGACTCTTGTGGGTGGACTCAGGACAAATCGGACAATTTTGATTGGACAAGGAAGAATGGAACAACATCGTCAGTTAATACTGGACCAAGTGGAGATCACACAACAGGAAGTAAGAAGCTGTTTTATTTCTCATTTAATTTTTTGGGTCGAAAAGGGTCAGTAAATGTCCCGAATGATTAAATTTATATCTAATCAATCTAAAGGAAAGCTTTTCATCCACAAGATGTCAGAAGGAAGTGTGATAAAAAGTGCTTCTTGATTTAACTTAGGCTTACAATAGGTTGAAACAATATTTGAAGCAAAATAATGATATTGCTTCATGTGTGTACATGTATATACAATATACATAGTCATTGCTTTCTTTTTTATACCCTTTAAATTTCTAAAAAGACACCTGTTGAAAATTAAAATTTGATCCTTACAAATTGATATTTCATTTGACTGCACAATATCTTCTTATTTCCTCAGATTACATATATCATAAGTATTCTTTTTGAAATTTGTAACAATAAAAATTTTATTTCTGATGAACTATTTTTTTTTATTAAACAGAGGGCTATTACTATTACGTGGAGGCCTCCGCCCCTCAGACCGCTGGTATGAAGGCCCGCTTTGTAAGTCCTACCGTCCAGTTGTCCGCAGGAAGTCAAAAGTGTTTCACCTTCTACTACAGCATGTACGGAGATCATGTTGACAATTTGAACATTTATGTGAAAAAGGGGAGTGCACTAGGATCAGCTGTTTGGACCAGAAAGGGTAACCAAGGAAGCCAGTGGAAGCAGGGTCAAGTCACCATTAATGGGCCTGGGCCCCTCAAAGTAAGTTTGATGGAAGAAGATTTTTTTTCTAGAAAAGATAAAAATTGCACCTACACATGTATATGATATGAAAAATAGTGAAGCATAACTTCAAACAAGGCTATTTTGTATTTTTTAATGGAATGATGAAAATTGATGGGTATTTTCAGGTGGTCCTTGAAGGCACGAAAGGCACAGGTTATAGAGGTGACATTGGTATTGACGATGTCAACATAACAACAGGAGCCTGCAGTGGTTTGTGCATTTTGTTCATATTGTTTATATGTGAATTGTACAATTTTATCTGTTGAATATAATTGTTTCAGCAAATAAATAGCAGTGTTTATGAACATTAGTTGCAATTTGAACTATATGTTTGAAATATTTTATCAATGTTTCACAGGTTTCAAATAGAAAATATTTTTATCAATGTGATTGTGATGTAAATGCTTAAGTCCCTGTTATACATGTATATCTAAAGCCCATTATCTTTTTTCATCTTAAGGTTCTCTCATTTTACAATTAAATTTGTACAGGGCAGAATTTAAATACCACAGCCAACCCAAACACCGCAACAACAATTGCCCAGTTGAGCTGTAACTTTGAGTCTCAGTCTATCTGTAACTACCACCAACTGCCCTCAGGGCTTCAGTGGAAGTGGCAGAAAGGTGGCACGCCATCCGCCAACACTGGACCCTCAGCTGACCACACCACAGGGACCGCCACAGGTAAATCATTAATATAACAAAGGGACTGCCATAGGTAAAACATAAATACACCTCACCACAGGGACTGGCACAAGTAAATACTGCACACACCATAGAGCCATAGGTAAAGCATTAAAACAGACCACACCACGGGGACTGACACAGGTTAAATACAATGACCACATACAAAAATATTTCTTTCCTCAATACGTCTCGGTCTTTTTTCTTTTTGAATTTTTTTGATTGGTTTGAAATATAGATTGAGGAGACAAATTAGTTGATCTTGAATTGTAAAACCAACTCATTTGTATGACAGATTATTACATGCTTGTCTATTGATTTGTTATACAGGTCATTACATGTATATTGAGGCCACTGGAGTAAGAAACCAAGTGGCTCAGTTGTATTCCTTACAAGAGACACAAACTGGACCCGCCTGTATAAGCTTCTGGTTCCATATGTATGGACAGAATATTGGAACTCTGAATGTCTACACCAGACAGGGAAATAATGGCAGTCCGGTGTGGAGCCGCCAACGAAATCAGGGCAACAAATGGAACCTGGCTCAAATCTCCATCAACCCCTCAAGTCCATACACAGTAAGAGGATAGAATTTTTTTCATTATTGACTCTTTGTTTTTCTTTGACAGTGTTCTTGTTTTAAAACATCTATGTGTCAGCCTTCATCCTTTAATTTTTGTATAACTAATATATTATTTCCAAAAATATGTCGAAGGTCTGCATTTAAAAGTGTACTGAATCTTATTCTAATTGCACTTTTTTTTAAATTGTGCAATATTTTGATTGTATCAAAACAAGTTTGTTTGCATTTTCAGATTTTATTTTTTTTTCCAGAAAGGTTAACAAAATTTTAAAATGTTTATTTTTTTTGCAGCTGGTGTTTGAAGCAAAGCATGGTACTGGTTACCAAGGAGATATTGCGATTGATGACATTGTAGCCAAACCAGGAAGATGTGGAGACCCAGGTACTGGTCATGTGTAACAACCCACCTTATTAATTTATCAAACATGCAGTGCACAGCACTATGTTCTAATTGAGGACTGTTGTCTTATACCACTTTGTTTTAATTGATGACTCTTGTCTTATTCCACTTTGTTACAGGCGCTTGCAGCTTTGATCAGCGAAATTTCTGCACTTGGCAGAATGTCAGAGGAACGGATGATTTTGATTGGTCGATTCATGGTGGGGGTACACCATCAAGAGGTACTGGGCCCTCCTCAGATCACACCCTCAGGAACAATAAAGGACTATACGCCTACATAGAGACCAGTGCCCCGAGGAGACGAGGGCAGAAGGCTCAGCTGATTAGTGCCTCCCAGGCCCCCACTGGAATCTCCGGCAAGTGCTTCAAGTTCTGGTATCACATGTATGGAAGAACCATGGGAACACTGAACGTGTACTCCTCTAAAAATGTCTCCTCTAACACCTTACTGTGGACTCTCAGTGGAAATCAAGGAAACCGATGGAACTCTGCTCAGTTATCTGTTTCCAGTACCCAGAGCTTCAATGTAAGTCAAACATAATCAGCTGGTCATGCTAGAAATGTTAATTGTAATAACTATATAATTTGGATAAAATATCTCTAAAACAACACTTAAAATAAGTTGTATCCTACTTTTATCTTGGAGATTCTTTAAATGAGTTTGATATTTCAGCTGATCATTGAGGGGATAGTTGGTAGCTCTGTATATGGTGACATAGCTATAGATGATCTGTCTTTCTCTAACGGAGCCTGCGGATTGTCCCCAGCAAAGGCTCGACCAAGTTCTGTCACCACGACAACAATACCCCCCACTACTACTCGGCTTGTCACTGCAACCTCAAGTGAGTCAATGGCATAGAAACTGATAACATTATAAATATTATCCCAACACCTTCAAGTGATTCAATGGCAAAGAACTGTTCCTGATTTAAAGAAGTACTATCACAACAAGCTCAAGTTAATCAAAGAGATATAAACTATAAAGCTGTGATAAACAAGATCACAGCAACTTTGAATTAATGTACATTCATGTTAGCTGGCTTTGAGGCCATTGACTTAAATGAGCTTACTTTTGATCTCAATCTTACTCATCCAATATTCTTTTGTAAAAATGAGCTCTTCTTATTTTTGGCCTTTGAGCATGATATTTTGTTGAAATTTAAGGTTAATTTTGATTTTTTTCAGCTGTGGGAGCTTTCAACTGTAACTTTGAGAGTAACTTGTGTGGTTGGACTCAAGGCAAGGGAAGGGACACTTTTGACTGGACCAGACATAGAGGGGCAACTACGTCAACCAACACTGGCCCCCCAAGAGATCACACCTCGGGAAGTGAGTGTGAAGTGTCTTTTTCTGCTGTGAAACACGATCAGTACAAAATAATTTTCAAAATAATTATATATTTTGTATCTATTGTATGCAAGGTTATTATTGTTCCATGCTATTTTAGCCCTTTCCTGCTTGAAAATGATTTAGCTATGTTTTAAATTTGCCTAAACATAAAGAAATACTTATGTTTTCTTTGAAATCACTTTTCAATTAGCCCTCCTGCGAGGAGGGTGAAAAGGGGCAAAAATAGTGTGGGGGCAAAAAATTTCCCGTGTATAGATATTTAAAGAGCCATCTTTACTTGATATTATGTTAATGTTACTCTGTTTTGCAGGGGGCTACTATGTATACATTGAGGCCTCAGCTCCCCGACGCCCTAATGACACCGCCCAGCTGGTCAGCCCTGCTGTGTCAGCCTCTAGCAACCCCCGCTGTCTCACCTTCTGGTACTTTATGTATGGAGCCCATGTTAACCGGCTGAATGTGTACATACCCGCTGGAGCTAATTTAGGTACACCTATCTGGACTCGGAGAGGAACACAGGGAAATAGCTGGAAGCAGGCCCAAGTCACCATCAACAAAAACAAACAGTTCAATGTGAGTGTTGGTACCAACTGTAGAATTATTTACTCTATATAAAGTAATACAAAACAACTTTACATCATAAAATGATTTACTTATTTGTACATACAAGTAGATTATTTTGTATTTATTCATTTTATTGTAAATATTGGATGACTGTCTTGTAATGTTCTGAATAGTACAAGAATCATTAAATGTTAATGTGGTGATCTATTTCTATGACACAGGTCATCTTTGAGGGTGTACGTGGTACTGGTGTCTTTGGAGACATAGCTGTAGATGACATTTCTCTGGCTTCAGGGGCCTGTGGAGGTCAGTGTACAAGGACTCTAAAACCAGCTGTAAAACTTCAGAACATTTCAATCCAAAAAAAAAACCTGTTTGTCAATTACTCTATCTTGCCATATTCTGATGTACATGTAATATGCTGTTGACGCATATATACCACTCAGTAAACCATATATTTCTTAGTTTTTCAATGCAGACCTGATTTTACTATAGGTTCTACAGCAGCTCCAGGGACCCTGCCTACCAAGTGTACCTTTGAGGATGTCTACATTTGTAACTACATACAGGACCTGACCGATAACTTTAACTGGACCCGCCAGGCTGGATCCACCACTAGCAGTAACACAGGTCCCTCCGCTGACCACACCTATGGTACACCCAACGGTCACTACATGTACATCGAGGCCTCGTCCCCTGTCCGACCCGGTCAGAAGGCCAGACTGTTAACTCCTGTGTATCCCTCAGTCCATCAGGATCAGTGCTTACAGTTCTACTACCACATGTATGGAAGTCAGATAGGCACACTCAATGTTAAGGTAGGAAGTCAGACAATGTAACTATTTAAAAAAAGTTATATATGCACATTCAATATTAAGGTATTATGTCAGACAATTTAAAAAGAAATCTTAAAGGCACTTGTTGAAAGTTGAAGTCGAGCAATAAAAATACACAGAAACCAGAAACAAAAATATTAAATGATTCTATTATATTATGGAAATCTTTTTTTCAGTTGATATTACCTACAAACAATGCTGTGGGAGCAAGCATTTGGACCAAGTCTGGGAATCAAGGAAACAAGTGGAATGTTGCTCAAGTAACTCTGCAGAACATCGCGATAAACACACCCACCTATCAGGTAAAACAAGCCAGACAATTTTACTTAAACCTCTTTTTATGTGTGTTAACATATATTTATACTATATATTTATTTTTAAACAGTTTTTGGACCTGCTTTATGCTATAATTTAAACTTTTTTACCTTTGTGTGTATAAGTACATCTTAATTTATGAAATTTATATTTTGTCGTTTTTAAAAAAAAGAAGATTTTTCGAATTTTAGCATAGTGATGACATTTTTTTGAACAGGTAGCCTTTGAGGGAGTAAGAGGAAGGGGATACCTTAGTGACATCGCTATTGATGATGTTTCCATTGTCAATGGATCGTGTCAAGCCCCAGGTGGGTAGTTTTACAGACGCTTAAATTTTCACGAAAAATTAACCAAAAAAATAATAATATTGAAGTTTTAAAGATTAGTCATAGATTAATATAAATTATAAAATGCATATCTTCAGTCTTTTTGAAGAATTACTGTAAAGTGGTAGCTTAAGTGTAATTAAGAATCATATTTGTTGGAATGTATACCCAGTTTAATTTTTCAAACTACAAAGTTTAAGGATTATACTTTTATGTTCCACATCCCTCTTGAAAGTTATATATTTGAGCATTGCATGATCTTGAATGAAAACCAACTTCACAAAATTGTTTAGAAATGCACCCAAATAAATCAGTCTCCTTCACTGTTATGTGTTTGTAGGGAGCTGTGACTTTGAGAAAGGTTGCTGTACGTGGACAGAGGCTCAGTCTGGTGATGACTTTGATTGGAAACAGGGGTCAGGTCGTACAACCTCTTGGGGGACAGGCCCCAGCAACGACCACACCTTACAGAACACTAACGGTTAGTCTAATGCTTTATATATAATTTGTGTACAGTTTATAAATATACATTTCAATTTCAGGCAGTCAATACATTTGCTTAATGGAGATCTGAAGCGGAAGTATTTCAAATACAAATCTGTTTTTAGGTCACTATTTGTACCTTGAGGCTTCTTCTCCAAGAACACAAGGAGACAAATGTTGGTTGGTTAGTCCTCGGTTCTCAGCCAATCAAAACAACTGCTTCCAATTCTGGTACAACATGAATGGACGCAGCATTGGTACACTCAATGTGTACATCCTGTATCCTGACGCAGGCACCAATAACACTGTGTGGTCGATCAGCGGAGATCAAGGAGACAAGTGGCTTCAAGGACAGGTGCCCATCAGTGCAAGGACAACATATCAGGTACGTGTCTACAATGTTATATCTGTATGATTGTTATCCCTTGCAGATCCTACTTAGGGCTACCTTTCCATCAACACTAACAGATGAATCAATTCTTGATTCCATTTGTCTGTTGTTAGATAAAGTGATGAAGAGTTGTTTATTCTATTATGTCAGACCGTACTAGCATTCTTTTTATTACTTTGTTTTATTATATTGTCGCTACATTAGGATACGTTAAATATATTTCTTATTCATTGCAATGATATTCATTTATATGCTGCCTCACTAAAAAGTGGCATATGATGTTGTGTAATGTCACAATGATAACTAATGTATAAATTGTAAAGACAATAACTATTCTTTTAATTAAATGATGAGTAAGCCAATGTTATACTTTTGATTAGGTTGTGGTGGAGGGAGTAAGGGGAAATGGATTTGCTGGAGACATTGCTATTGATGATGTTTCATTCTCTTCATCAACCTGTGGTAGTAAGTATTTCTGGATGACCACATTCAGAATTGGTCAACACAAATCAGAAAAAATTGTGTTTAGTGTTGGTGGTTATGACTTCAGTTTGGATGATGTTGGATTTTTTTTTTCAGTCAGTCCACCAAGTGCGACCCCACCAGGAGGGAACAATGTTACAACTACACCAGTTACCACCGTGGCCTCAACAACACCAGGTAGGAACAAGCAATTAAAACCAGGGATGTCAACCTAATTATCTGTATTCCATTAAATTTTTGTTTCAGAAGTCTTTAATTTTTTTTCTTTCAAGGTGAATTCATTGTAGCTTTATTTTCAATGTGTTTTGCTTTTGCTTGCAGCTCAAGGTCAGCTTGACTGTGACTTCACTAATGGACCGTGTTTTTGGACACAAGACAAAACGGACCAATTTGATTGGACAAGAAAGAGAGGCTCCACAGCCACTGTAAACACTGGACCACCGTCTGACCACACACAAAAAACATCAGGTGAGGAGTTAATGTCTCTTATTCTGTTATTGCCTTTTTTTTCTCCGTAATTATCAGCTGTTTGAGTATTTTGAACCAAATTATAGAAATTTACTCATTTGTGACTGCAGCTTAATTCTTTTTGTTCTGTATTTTACAAACTCTGTGTTTATTACCTGTCTTGTACAAGCCTTACCTGTTTTGTTACAGCTGGTTATTACTACTACATTGAGACATCAGCTCCTCGTCGCCCCGGGGACAAGGCTCGCTTCATCAGTCCTCAGATCACACTCTCACAGCCAGACAGTAAAAAGTGTTTCTCCTTCTGGTATTACATGTACGGGGATCACGTGGACCACCTCAATGTCTATATGAACTCTGGTAACGGCCTAGGACAGCCGGTCTTCACAAAACAAGGAACGCAAGGACAAAAATGGATTCAAGCCTCCGTAACTCTGTCTCCAAAAGTTCCATTCCAGGTTTGAGGAATTATTAGAGACTCATACATTAAAGAGGCTGGGTGGTCGTGGCCATTTTTAGACTATTTCGATCTCCTTTAGAATAAGAGCTCCATCTAAAGATATTATACAAAAATGATCAAATTTTAAAACTAAAGTGTATGAATTTTTTCTTTGTCAAATGATAGTTGACAGCTAAAGATATTTAAAAATTTTTGTAGGGCCCCGCATGGATTTGCGGGTGAAGTAATCACTCTGTCTGTCTGTCTGTCCGTCAAATATAATAATACAAATTTTCTGTTTTTTTTAACTTTTTTTATTGTAGTCCAATTAAGTTCAAATTTGGTATGGTAGTTCAGTAGGCAAAAAGACATATTTTGATGCTAAGTTTGTTTTTCTATGTCCTCTGGTTTGAGCTGGGTGGTGGGGTAGATTCCTTAACTTTATATAAGAATGAATTGAAAATGTTCCCATTGTAAACTGAATACTGCAAGGAATGAGTCCCTTGGGATTAATTAGCTTTCCTCCTGAAGAAAATCCAAAGCATTAACTTTATCTTTCACATTGAGATTAATTACCACCTCTGTCTGCAAATGAAGTTTGTTTTGAAGTTAAGTCCATTTGGAATGCTATGAACACTCTGAAATGTAGATTGAAGTATAAATGTTTTTACTTTATTTTTGTTGAGATACCCTACTTTATTTATTTATTTATTTATTTATTTATTTTTTTTTTGGCTTCATGAAAATTCAAGAATATTATTAATTTTTAAGGCAGTAGGATAAAAACCTCATATATATGAAAAAGTTCTTATTATAAATTAAGAATAAAATGATGAGAAAAGCAATTAATCCCTTGGGATTAATTATCTGGCCTGTGCAGAAAATTTAGAAGGCTTATCTTTTTTCACTTTTTAATGAAAACCTTTGTCTGCAACTGCTGTTTGTTTTGAAGTTAAGGTCATGTCTTCATGATATATATTTGCATTCATTGAAGGCTGGCATTTTATATAACACAAGCTCCATTATTGTTTAGATATACATTCGGTGTTGAGTTGTTCTTTACTGCCTTATGTAAAATAAATACAAGGATATTATTTACAGGCTTTTGGATATTCAGGAGTTATCTTGAAATTTTAAGAATACAGTTGCTGTTTCTTATTCGTCATATATTTTTTAATCATTCCATATGCTGCACCCTTATAACTCTACCCCATGGCGGGGCCCTTGCTGACTGGTCAGTTTTCTAGTTTCTTGTTAATTTGTTGACCCCCCAGCCTCCTTAAATAAAACATTGTATGATTGCAAATGTCTACAAGTTATTTTTATTCATTCTAATTCTGTATCTTGGAACAAATACAATAATTACTGGTTTTTAATAATAAGATGGTGATTGAGGGAGTTGTTGGGAGAAGTTATCGTGGTGATATTGCCATTGATGATGTTACTATGACAGATGGAATTTGCTCTTCTCGTAAGTTTCTCCTACTGAGAAAAATTTGAATTGATTTTTGTAATTTTTAAACATACATATACAGAAAATTTCATTTTTTAAAAGCAAAAAGGTGAAAAAACAAAAAAAAACAAAACAAGTATTGTAATTTTTTAATGAAGATTTTTTATTTTGCTCAGAACCGAATAGTCCTCTGAATTGTAACTTTGAACAAGCTGACCTGTGTAATTACCAGAACATCCATGACAACAACACAGATGTATTTGATTGGTTCAAAGCCTCCGGTACCACAGGATCACAGGGGACTGGACCCAGTAGCGACCACACATACGGAACAGCTGCGGGTGGGGATAATACTCTCCAAAAACTTATTGGATGTTTACAATTATAAAAGTTCTTATTTGTAAGATCAAAAGAAGTAAAACATGATTAAAGCCATCATAATGAATTTGCGCCAACAGCAAAGTGAATTTCATTCCTTGTACTTTTAAAACGTATTGTGAACTTCACAGATATACATGTATAACCAATTATGTTTACATTATATCACGAGTCAAAATGATTGGTCCCTAGTATTTTGCTGTATTAAAGTGTGTTTTACTGTTTGTGTTCATCTTGGGTAAAAATGACACATTTCTCCTGTATTTGTTTTGGTAGGTCATTATATTTACATTGAGGCCTCAGCCCCACGTAAACCAGGAGACAATGCCATGTTGACGTCTGGCATAAACCGCTCTCCTACCTCTGATCAGTGCTTTGAGTTCTGGTACAATATGTATGGGGTGGAGACAGGAACACTAAATCTGTACATCAAATATGGCGGCACCCTGGGAAGCCCTGTCTGGACAAAACAAGGTTAGAAAACATGCTTAAAATGTCAGACTGCAATAAAACAATGAAAAAGATGGGAAAACTTTAGCGATTAATGGCCATGGGACTTTTTACATTTTTTTCATGTTTGTTAAATGAGACTTTTTTAAATCATAAAGATTGAAATATTTAAGTTATAATTATGTGCTGTAAATGAAGAAAATAATTTACTGTATTGGTTTTTGTAATGTTTGCAGACTCTATACAAAAAGTCATTAATTTAAATGCAAAATTATTATTTGTATGAATGTGTAACATGGACAATCTGTTTGGAGAATTACAGCTTAATTTTATCCTCTTCAAAATCATGGGTATTTACAAATCACACATACTGATTTATACCAATTTAATGATTTAAGCTGCTATTGTAGCTGCTATTATATTGTAGCATTACCTTTATTAGCTCCTTTATATTTGCACTGCTATTATATGTTTACACTGCTCCTTTATATTTGCTAGCTGCTATTATATTGTTGCATTGCTTGAATTAGCTCCTTTGTTTCTGTAGGAGACCAGGGCCAGCGCTGGATTCGTGGCCAGTTTGGGATCAAGGCCAACAGTCAGCCGTTCAATATCGTGTTTGAAGGAATTCGGGGACCTGGCTACAGAGGGGACATAGCTCTAGACGACTTTAAAATCAAAAATGGACTCTGTAGCACAATGAATTCAGGTAAACTCTGAAAATTATATGCGCAAGTCTTGTTTTATGTTTTGTTTTGAATGGATCAGGAGAAAATTTTATAATTCTATTAAAATGGTCATTCTATATTGGCACAGGTAACTGTGATTTTGAGATTGACAAGTGCAGCTGGTCGGATGTACACTCAGGGGATGATTTTGATTGGTTGTCTGGTAGTGGCTCCACCACTAGTGCCTCCACAGGACCAAGAAGTGACCACACCACGGGCAATGCTACAGGTATTGACTGTAAACAATTCAAGTCATGGACAAACATCTTCAGATTCATTTTTATGTCTTAATTTAATAATATAGTCATATGTTATATTGTAGACTTGTTTGCAAGTAATTATGTGAAAAAGACATTTGCATCAGTAATGGGTATAATGAACTTGAATAAACTAAGTTAACAGTATCTCTGCAGAAATGTATTTTTGCAAAGAAAAAAGCTATTTGATTAAGAAATGTAATTATGTAATAAACTACTTTCAATAGGCAAGTACCTGTTCATTGAGACCTCAGCACCACGTAGTCCTGGAGATAAAGCTATCCTTCAGAGCGCCACCTTCCCTTCCACCACCGGACAATGTATGCAGTTCTGGTACAACATGAATGGGGCCACCATAGGGTCCCTTTATGTCAGTGTCCTAAGTCAGGGCTCCAGCACCCCCACAAAAATCTGGGAACTGTCTGGTGCCCAGGGGAGTCAGTGGAAACAGGGCCAAGTTAATATTGTCAGTAACAGTCCGTACAAGGTGAGTGATATTGGTGTGATAAAATGGAATGTCTAACAATAGGTTTATTTGGGTTTAGCTTGAAATATAAATAATTTTTTTTAATTGATTAAAAAATTTTTGTCAGTATCTATATTTTGCATCCAAGATGAATTGGATGGATGTAGAGCTGCACTTGTTAATCCATTTATCTAGAAACAAGGAAAACTAAAAAGACTAAAACTTTGGGTTACAATAACCAATTTTTTGAGTCTAAGAGATTACCTGAAAATTTATAAAAAAACAGGTCTTTTGTTAAGGACCTAGAGATTAAACTTTGAAGGCTAATGTGGCTTGTGACATGAAATGATTTTACGATTTGTTGAAAATGAATTGCCTCACAACTTTTTTTTAACAGTGATTGGCATCTTTATTTATTTTTCTCTCTGTATAAAGCTACTGATCACGGGAGTGAGAGGCAATAGTTACACAGGAGACATTGCTATAGATGACATCTACTTTGACTTCTCTATTCCCTGTACCCTGACCCCCCCTAATGCCGACCCCTCAGGTTACACCACGACCATGGCCACCACACAAGGATTGTCAGTTACTGCCATTCCAGGTAAACTTAACTGTGGCTACAGGGAATCTAATTCACAATTTTTTAGCTGAGATGAGGATGTTTAAATCTGAAAAATTCAAAGGTTTTTGTTGGAAACAATAAGGGTGAAATTGATCCCCCATTTGAAAATTTATTCTTGCATGGATTTGAATATATTCATTTAAATATATTTGAGGAGGTTGGATTGAGATGGACCTTCATACCCTTGACTATCAAAGATAACACATGAATATTTGAAGTAGATCTCAATATTTAATTAAATTTCAATCAAATCCCTTTCTCTTGTCTTCTATAGCTGGCTTCCCTTGTAACTTTGACTCGGACACTTGTGGCTGGACCCAGGACAAGACAGATAACTTTGACTGGAGACGCCAGAGAGGGACCACTGGTAGCCGAGGCACAGGTCCAACAACTGATCACACCACAAAAAGTACAACATTCCTCCATTATACAATCTCTCAACAATAATTCATCACATTGAACGCATATGAGTTAACGTTGTCTTTTCTGATCTATATCAAGTCTTGAATTACACATGCGTTTTATAATTAGACATCTTTTTCTCCTAGATGGTTACTACATGTACATTGAGACATCAGCCCCCCGTCGCCCTGGTGACAAAGCCCGCCTTATTAGTCCCCCGATCAATGGTAACTATGCCCAGTGTGTCAGCTTCTACTATCACATGTATGGTCCTCATGTCAAGGCTCTGAATGTTTACCTGGCTAGTGGAAACTCCTCCCTGGGAACTCCAGTTTGGACCAGACAGGGAACACAAGCCAATGCCTGGAGGCAGGGACAGTTACAGATATCAGGAGGCTCCCTTACTCAAGGAGTCACTAATGTGAGTACTTGTTTAAGATATTGGTGCTTTTTTTTTAAAATGAGAGCAATTCGCGAACATAATGTTTTTCAAATTACTACTGTATCTTCCTATTTTTTTTATTTTTAAAGAAATGTTTAGCTGACATTTTTATTTCTTGAAAAATAGTAGACATCTGAAAACTTTACATATGATTGTACTCTTTTTTTCTGAAAAATAGGTGGTCTTTGAGGGTGTTCGAGGCATCAGTTATCTTGGAGATATTGCTATTGATGATGTCTCACTCACAGCTGGAAGTTGCTCACAAGGTACTTTATGCTACAAACAGAAAGCTGGTATACTGTTTTACTAAATTTGTCAGAATTTCAACAAACTCATTTGATGTCTCTTTCAGTTACTCCATCTCCAAGTCCTGGTTCCACAGTTTCAATCATTAACTGTAACTTTGAAAATGCCAACATCTGTAACTACACACAAGACACGACTGATCGCTTCAACTGGACTCGTAAAACTAGAACCACTAACTCCAGGTTCACTGGACCAACAAATGATCACACCTATGGCACATCAGCAGGTAAGAAAATAAAGGCATTTTACTTTCTTATGCCATGATATATCAAGTGTAGCAATGCATTGTGCAATGAAATAGATGTTTAATATTAAAACAGAATATCTAAGTAGAATTTTATAGAGTATAGTTATATAATCTTCTGAGCAAAATTTTCTGTATTACTGTTAATATTGGATGAATGTGTTAACTTCAGGACATTACATGTACATCGAGACCTCAGCTCCCCGTCGTAGAGGAGATGCAGCCCGATTGTGGACCCCCAAATTTAACCCCAAGGCCGGTCAGTGTATCTCCTTCTGGTACCACATGTATGGCAGGACCATGGGCACACTCAATGTGTATGCTGCAGATCAGACATCAGCTAGCCCTGTCATTGGCTCCCCGATCTGGTCACTGTCTGGTAACCAAGGAAACGCCTGGATGCAGGAATACGTCAGCCTACCAACTCCCACAGTGGCCAGTGTGAGTCATCTGTTAAATATTTTATAAATGGTTTTTTTGAAAAGAATAGAAAATTAAACTTAGCATATGTAGTCATATGTCTTTTGTCAAAATTACTGTTATAATTATACTTAAAGTTTTTAAATATTGTACAGGAGGAATTCATTTTGTGTCCTTGACCAAAAAAAAGTCCTTTTCATACAGAGATAAACGAGTCATCAATGTCTGCATGTTGTATTGTAGGTTGTGTTTGAAGGAGTAGTAGGAAATGGTTACCTGGGAGATATTGCTATTGATGATGTCAAACTTGTGTCCAGCTGCCCAAATCCAGGTAAGTCTTCAGACATCACAATGCCCCTCTGTGTATTTTATTCTGGATTCGTCCTGTTGTATTGAAATCTTAATTCCTTTCTCCTGCATTTTGCTTTAACTCAAATAAGTAGCTCTTGCATTCCAGGAATGAAATTTTCCATTTTTGTAATCTTTGTTTTAAAAGTTTTATTCTTTTGTGGCTTTGGTACAATATGATGTAACTTGCTCTTCAAAACCTCTTTGTTTACGCATGTGGGATCTTGATGTTTGACTAACATTTTCAGAGTTGTAATTTGAATCGTTAAGAAAATAATTCAACAATAATTTCCCAAATACAGACAGCTTGGTTTACAGAGAAGATTTATACCTGAATGTGATATGAATAGTTGACATAGAAAATAAGTGTCTGGATATGGATGTATAATAGTTTAGCTTAGCTTTTATAAAAACCTCATGCAATTCAGCTGTCATGATGCCTTCTTGTGTGATAAATGAAGAAGTTGTCAGGACAGCTGTATTGTCTGGGGTCAGCTTGCTTCTGCTTGTTGTGTTTTATGTATATTTTATTGTAAATTGTCAGTGCTTTATGAGAAAGTTTGGTATCAGCTGTTTGCTTTATATGCCTTTTTCTAATGCTTTGTTGTGCTTTGATAATACGTTTTGTTGTAAATGCAATATCCTTTTGAAAATGTTTGGTATCAGCTGTTAGCTTTGGGATATGCTTCTTTCTAATACTTTGTTTGCTTTGAATACTGTAGAAGAACTTTTTTCCTCGTGGTATTAATTTACGCTTTGTATGTGGTCACAAATTTTCTGCAGAAATTTGTCTAAGCGTACTTATTATAAATTAAAGAATATAGTGTCAGACCAAGAAATCCGCGTAATTTTCCTCCCGTGGATTAAACAGAAATTCAGATTCTGCGGTATTATGACCCCATGGAAAAAGTATATCTACAGTAACAAATTTTGTTGTGAATGCCATAGCCTTTTGAAAATGTTTGGTATCTGCTGATAGCTTTGGTATATTGTTCCTTATTCAAATACGTTGTTGTATTTTCTTTTATAAATTCTTTTGTGAATGTTTCTATCCTATGAGAAAGCTTGGTTTCTACTGTTAGCCTTGGTGTTCCCTCATTCCAATCTCAAACAGGGATTGTTTTCTGTTAGTTATATTTTTTCTTAGAACAATTAGTGTCAACAATTTCTGACTCTGATCTAAAATCCTAACCTATAGGAATTTTTTTTTTAGTTTTTTTTTGCACCCTTTACATGACATTATTCTCTCCCTTTGTAGGGGATTGTAATTTTGAGAACACTATAACATAACATTACACTCTCCCTTTGTACATGTTTCTAGGGGATTGTAATTTTGAGAACAGTATAACATGACATTATACTCTCCCTTTGTAGGGGATTGTAATTTTGAGAACAGTATAACATGATATTACACTCTCCCTTTGTAGGGGATTGTAATTTTGAGAACAGTATAACATGACATAACACTCTCCCTTTGTAGGGGATTGTAATTTTGAGAATAGTATAACATGACATTATACTCTCCCTTTGTAGGGGATTGTAATTTTGAGAACAGTATAACATGACATTATACTCTCCCTTTGTAGGGGATTGTAATTTTGAGAACAGTATAACATGACATTACACTCTCCCATTGTACATGTTGTAGGGGATTGTAATTTTGAGAACAGTATAACATGACATTACACTCTCTCTTTGTAGGGGATTGTAATTTTGAGAACAGTTTAACATGACATTACACTCTCCACTTGTACGTGTTATAGGGGATTGTAATTTTGAGAACAGTTTAACATGACATTACACTCTCCCTTTGTACATGTTGTAGGGGATTGTAATTTTGAGAACAGTATAACATGACATTACACTCTCCCTTTGTACATGTTATAGGGGATTGTAATTTTGAGAACAGTTTCTGTGGCTGGAGGAACAGTAAGACAGACAACTATGACTGGGTCCTGATGAAGGGAAGCTACTCCGGGTCTTCTCCACATCCATCTGGGGATCACACTTATGGAAGAGGAAATGGTATGCGATGCTTTCCTCCTTTAAAGAAATCTTGATTTGAGTTGTACTCTGTAAATGTAAATAAAACAAGAGACTTCAATTACCAGGTAAACTGCTGACTTTGAAGAACCTTGTCTTTTAAAATGATAAACAGTATAACCACTACATTTACCTTAAAAGACTTACCACATGATCTTTAAAAAAATGTAAAAAATATTATCTAGAACTGTGTTAATTAGAATACTGAATACAATTAATCTCCATAAAATTCTACTATAGGTACCTATCTCTATATCAATGGAGGCCTGACCCTCCCCAAGGGAAGTCTTGCCCAGATTGTGTCCCCCACTCTATCAGCCACAAGTTCTAGTGGGGCATGTATGAGTTTCTGGTACCTCATATCTGGATCGAACACAGGAACAATCAATGCTTATGTACAACAAGTTAGTATTTTGATTCCTCAAGAAAACGGCAGAATTTGTTTATTATTAAAAATTGTATGTTCTTTTACCTGTTACTTAGTAATGGAAATTGAATATTTTCATATATAAAATTTAGATTCTTTGTAGGAGTTTAAGTTGTTTTTTTTTTTAAATTAAAATTCCAAAAGTTAAGTTCACGATTTAACTGTTTATGTTGTAGGGTAACAAAACAACTGCCTTGTGGACTATAACCTACTCTCGAACCTCTCAGTGGAGTCAGGGTCAGTTCCCCATCAGCAGTAGTACCCCTTACAGAATCATCATGGAGGGAGTATTTGGGGCCACCAGAAGGGGATTCATGGTAGTTGATGATTTTACTGTCACCAGTGGAACTTGTAGAAGTAAGAAAAATTATGATTGTTAAATAGCTAGACAAATAGATAAATAGATATAATAATTATTTATCTGTCAGTTTATGTAGTAAAACACAATTATAATGAAGTGCCAGGGCTGGATAAATTTGGTTCATAATAAGTGATTTGTTATATCCATCGAATATTCAATATATTTTGAAGTTAAGGGAAATAAAATTCCTTTCATTATAAGCATCATTTCAATATAAGCGTGTTTGTTAAAAGCCTGTTATACTATAATAATATTCATTATTTAAAAATTATAACATTTAAAAAAAAATTTTGAATCTCCAAATGTTGCTGTAAGCACAAAAAAGGACTTAAGTGTGGCAATGAGTTAATATTACTTCCTATTCTGTCTCTAGCAAACCCACCTGATGCCATGTCTGGTTCCACCCTGGCACCATCTCAGACTACCGCCACCACCACACCAGGGCCCACACAAGGTAAGTACCACAAATGGACACAACCACTTTATCAAGGATAAACTTTTATCAATATCAATATTTTAATTTAACAACAAGGGGATTAAATATTTGTTTTTGCTTGAGTGTGTTCGAAGTATCCTATGTTGAGGAGATTTAGGTATTGTAGATTTTTGTTGATATGTTTCAGTGCCCTCTCAGTGGGACTGTACCTTTGAGTCAGGGTTGTGTTCCTGGACTCAGGCTAAGGACGACCAATTTGATTGGACGAGAGGTAGAGGAAGTACGGGAACGGCCGGCACTGGGCCCTCCAATGACCACACAACAGGTGGAGTTATAAATATAAATAGATTCAAAGGGGTTGTGGAGATAGGAGTTATCTGATACATGTACCTAGGATATTTGTGATGATTTCTTGTTGGATTCTGATTAATTAATTCCTCTGATATTAAATTTGCGAAGAATTTATAAAGCATGCATCAGTTAGTTACCAGATGAAAAATCAGACCCACATTTTATCATCATGGTCAATACTTTTTGGTAGACAGTAAATATTTTAAAAAAAGAATTTTCACCATCACAAAAAACTGTCTTCTTGAAAAATTTAATGTTGACTATTTGGATCGAGATTTAATGATGTAATCATCTTTTTCAGGAAATGGTTATTATGTTTACATTGAAACATCCCTACCTCGTCATGTCAATGACACAGCCAGACTGATCAGTCAACCAATCAACCAGAACTCCACCATGTGTCTGAACTTCTGGTACCACATGTACGGTACCCACATACGAACCCTCAATGTCTACCTGAAGTCAGGTGGTTCCCTGGGAACCGCTGTGTGGAGTCGGACCGGGACCCGTAGCAATCAGTGGTACTCAGCCTCGGTGGACGTACAGGGCTCCTCGTCCTATCAGATCGTGTTTGAGGGAGTGAGGGGGACCAGCTACAGAGGAGATATTGCTCTAGATGACATCACTGTATCGATGGGATCATGTTCTGGTATTGTTTATTCTACTGTCTTCCAAACAAAATAACTTTGAGCAACGTTAATTGAAGTTTCTAAAAATTATTATTTCAATATATATTTCTGAAATATGATAAATGAAAAAAATTGAACAAAGGAGCAGAAGAAAAGTATGAAAGTTTTAAAAAGATAATGCTTTATTCACTTTTGAAAATTTGAAATATTTTGTTGGTTTTCATTCCATCCATGTAATTCTTAGGAACCACCTCTGCTGGTTTGTGTACATTTGAGGACAGAACTTACTGCGGCTACAGACAAGACAGTGCTGATGACTTCCAGTGGACGTGGACCAGTAGACGTACAGCTTCTAGTGGCACCGGGCCCACTAATGACCACACTTATGGAACCTCCTCAGGTAAAAAAAGACCCCCCCTCCCCAAGTAAATATGATAGACATATTTTATGTGACTAAATCACACCGGGCCCACTAATGACAACACTTATGGCACCTCCTCAGGTAAAGAAAGATCCCCCAAGTAAATGTGATAGACATGCACATATTTAATGTGACTAAATCACATCGGGCCCACTAATGACCACACTTATTCGACTTCCTCAGGTAAAGCAAAGGCAGAAGTGTGATTATAACAATCCTTATGGGCAGTATGAGAAAAAAAATGCATCTTTAGTGATATTAAATTTTTCTGAATTGAGAGACACATATATTGAGTTAATATTAATTTCTATTTTCCCTGAGAGAAACTACTGACTTTATTACATATACCAGAGTAACACAGTGGTTGAACACTGCACAAATTTTGACTAAATTGTACTAGAAAGAACTAAGGTCTTGCCAGATAGGAGAACATGCATTGGTACATGTATCATAAACTTTTCTATAGGACACAAGTTTTACCTTTTCTGTAGGGCACTACTTTTACACTGAGTCGTCCAGCCCCAGAAGACCCAGACAGAAGGCCCGTCTTATCAGCTCAGATAATCCAGCTACCCCCGGCTCCTGTGTCAGTTTCTGGTACCACATGTATGGAAACACCATGGGAACACTCAACGTGTACGCCAGGTCTGGTAATGTGCTGGGTAACACCATCTGGACCAAAACAGGAAACCAGGGAAATAAATGGTTAAAAGCACAGGTCTCTGTCATACAACAGGCAACATGGCAGGTAAAATTATTCACAATGGAAATATATATATAGTGTCATAAAAAATATTGGGTGATAGAACTCTCGTTACAATATGCATTGATGTTTTTTTTAATTTGAAACCATCAATTAGCAGCTCATTTCAATGTATGGATATTCTTTTTCATCATTATACCCATAAAGTATGAGATAATAAAAATATCTCAGATATTATTTTGTAAATTTTGATATTTTAAAGTAATCTAAAGAAGGAAAAAGTGAAGGTTTATTTTCCATGTTTTTTTGTCAGGTTGTTTTTGAGGGCATCATAGGAAATGGTTACCAGAGCGACATAGCCATTGATGATGTCCAGGTTTCCAGTGGATCCTGTGGAAACCCAGGGGACTGTAACTTTGAAAAGGACACTTGCACTTGGAGAAACACAAACCAAGGAGATAATTTTGATTGGCTGAGAAAACAGGGCCAGACCACTAGCCAGTTCACAGGGCCACAGAATGATCACACCCAACAAAACAACCAAGGTATAAAATTACATCTATTGGAATAGATATTTTAAAATGGAATCATATATGTAAGTTTGGTCAATATCCAGTAAAATACTGTTGTAACAACACTGACAAGAATTGATTTGATGTTTTAGGGTACTACATGTTCATTGAGACCTCCAATCCCCGAGTAGCAGGGGACAAAGCCTGGTTGGTGAGCCCTCAGTTTAACCCCTCCTCTGCTGGATGTATGTCATTCTGGTACCACATGTTTGGCAATGGGGTCGGTAGGTATTGTTTAGTAGAAAATCTTGTGAATTTCAGTTGTTAATAACCAGTAACCAGTTTATCTTTTCATACACATTACTGACAGACATTGCTTAGTACTGAAAAACAATTATTTTTCACAACTGAGGCAACATTCTATATAAATTCAAAGGTGAATAATTGGTTTGTGATGAGAAATTATCCCAAGTAAAAGAAGGTATTGAAACTCACAGATATTTCTCACTCGCGAATAAAAGTTGGTTTACGGTTTTCATTATACATTGATATATTAACAGGAAGTCTGAATGTTACATTGATATATTAACAGGAAGTCTGAATGTTACATTGATATATTAACAGGAAGTCTGAATGTGTATGTAAATGGCAGTAACAATGTTTTGTCCTGGACTTTGTCTGGTAACCAAGGCAATCAGTGGAATCAAGGACAGCTGCCTATTCCCAAACAGACCAGCCCCTATACGGTCAGTACAGTGTTCATTTTAAATAAAGAGCTTTATGACTGATACTGTAGGTTATGTTCATACCTTTAAATTTGAAAGATGTAGGTTAAATGTTAAAATTTTGCAAACAGTTCTCTGCATATTAAGAGTAGCTGCAGATCTGTAGCGTTATGGTTTTATATATTTGTCTTTGATCATAACGCTACAGATCCCGTAATGCAAAAAAAGGTGCAATTTACAGCGCAATATTTTTTTCACCCTTTTGGGGAGAATTTCTCCACTTTTTAGCATTGGTCAATCAACTACCTTTCACTCCCTAATTCTAAACACATTCTGTAGCCAATATGTATATTTTATCCACCTCCAAACCATTTATAGTTGTCTTTACAGGCAATAAACTCGCTTGAAGTAAATTTTCAGCAATCTAACATATAATTTTAATCAAGGGAGTTTAATTTTTCACTTGAAGAAATGACTATAAAAGGTAGGTAGATGGATAAAATATAGATTATGGAAAATATTCAGTAAATAAGAATTAGTAAGTGAAAGGTAGTTAATTGACTGATGCTGGAAAGTGGAGAAATTCTCCCCCAAAATGCGCAAATAATATTGCGCTGTAAATTGCACCTTTTTTGCATTACAGGATCTGTTGTGTTATGGTCAAGGACATATATATAAAACCATAACACTACAGATCTGCAGCTAAATTAAGAGATGACTAACTTATGAAATTCACACAATATCTAAATTTAAAAAAAGGGGGGGGACATAATTTTCTTTTTAATTTGGTATTCTTATTATTGTAAGATCAAGCTGTGTACCAAGATGAGAAGTTTATTTTAGAATTATGGAGAAAAAATTCTCATTTTCAATAACAGGTTGTAATAGAAGGAGTTCGAGGGACCAACTACAGAGGAGACATTGCAATAGATGACATCACCTTTACAAACACATTATGTGGAGGTTAGAGGCTAATAATAACAATCAAATTATTATTTTATGAGTCATTTATAAGCCAAAAAAACTACAGTCAAACTTCGTTATCTTGAACTTGATGGGACTGAGAAAAAACTTCAAGATATCCAATGATTCCAGATATCGAAGGTTTAATACAAAAAGAATATGTGATTGGGACTTCCACATCACTTCGACATATCCATGGTATTCGAGACATCGGAGTTATTTACACTTTATATTACACTTATTTGATAATCTTTATTGACAGTAATCCCATCACAAGCTGGCAATACTACCAGTACTACTGCAGCTCCTGCTACAACGACCCCTCCACCATTCGGTAAGTAGCCAGGGAAGAAATCTCTCTGTTAAGATGCCTTGTTTGTTAGATTTGTGAAGTGTACTGTAAACCAAGTATTATACACGTGCGATAAATATCTGCCAGTTCTGCGAGTAATCTCTGCTCGCGGATATTTATCGTCGCTAACTAGTTGTTCATTAAAATTCCCAAGTTATGATTAGAGTTACCTGCCCCTTTTTGAATACCGATCCCGACACTTCAAATCACGGATATGAAATCACGGCAGATATTTATTGCACTAGAAGCAGTTAAAATTTAATTACAAACATTCAGTTAAAAAAAAAATAAAAACGAATGGCAAATCTAAAACAATTTTCAAAAAATGATGAAAAATGTCAATTATATCAGCTTTTGTCATTATTTATTTAATTGTCACAGACGAGTTAGAGAGCCTCGTTACGGTAATAATGTTAATTACAGCCAATTATGGCCAAGCCCTGCTCTGTCCCAACCATTTGTAATAATTGCCCTTTGGCTTTCTAGATCTCGGAAAGCGTCGATTACCCAGTTGGCATAAGGCACTTTTACACTTGAGAAATACTTGTGGAGATGAAAAAAATGTGACCTCTTGTTCGCGGAAATAAATCGTCGCGGATTAGTTCTCTAACGGTCAGTCGCAAATAAAAAATGACGCGTATAATAATTGGTTTACAGTATTAATTCCTGCAGATGTAATTATTCCTCGTTTGACTAAGATTTGTAATATGAATGAATGGTTTGATTATTATTTATTTGTCTATAAAATTCGTGAAATTGATACATTTCTGTAATAATGTCTCGTTTGATTGTTTTTTTGTGTCTCAGTTCTGTAATAATGTCTGGTTTGATTGTTTTGTAGTGTCTCAGTCTCAGTATGATTGTGATTTTGAGACTAACCTGTGTACCTGGCAACAAGACAAGACTGATGTATTTGACTGGACGAGAGCTCAGGGACCCACAGGTTCCGTCAACACCGGACCAACCAATGACCACACAAAACAGAATGGTGAGTTAGTGACCACACAAAACAAAATGGTATTAAATTAAGCCAATGACGAGAGAAGACAAAATGGTAAGTCAATGACGATAGAAAACAAAATGGTAAGTTAATGACCACACAAAACAAAATGGAGAGGCAATGACCACACAAAACAAAATGATAAGTCAATGACCACACAAAACAAAATGGTAAGTCGGTGACCACAACAACAAAAAATGGTAAGTTAATGACCACACAAAACAAAATGGAGAGACAATGACCATACAAAACAAAATGGTAAGTTAATGACCACACAAAACAAAATGATAAGTCAATGACCACACAAAACAAAATGGAGAGACAATGACTACACAAAACAAAATGGTAAGTTAATGACCACACAAAACAAAATGGAGAGACTATGACCACACAAAAAAAAATGGTAAGTCAGTGACCACAGCAAATAAAAAAAAGTGATTATGTTCAAGATTTTAGTGTGTTTTATAACCCACAGTGAATGCAAGTCAGGTTGATGTCTCTAAGAAAAATCTTAAAAGCTACAAAATCATGTTCCCTGCATTGATATTAGCAAAATTTTAACAGACAAGTTAACAATTTATTCAACCTTGCCAGCTTTTTCCAGAGGGTGAATATTGAATTTTTACTTTCAGCACAAGGATGGTATGTTTTCATTGAGTCGTCCTCCCCTCGACGCCTGAATGACAGCGCTCGACTTTTGTCAGCTTCTGTACCTGCCAACAACCAGTACTGTCTACAGTTCTACTACCACATGTATGGAGCCAACATCAACAGCCTCAATGTTTACCTCAAGGTAAAGGGCTTGTCAAAGTCCTGCATCACAATCTGCTTCGTACACTTTACAAAAACATTACTTTTTAAAATATTTAACATTATTTAAAGCTAAATTTTAAGATAAATAACAACAATGCAGTTTACCTGTGAAATTTTGATTTATGAATGCTAATTTGAAATGAGAATTAATTTCTTTTTGTATGTCTATGAAATGGACTTTTTAGAAAAATGGACAACTGGGAAATGCAGTTTGGACCAAGCATGGAACACAAGGAAACAAATGGAATAAGGGACAGCTCCCGATACCAGCTCAGACAACTTCATTCAACATCGCTTTTGAGGCTCTGGTGGGAACAGGATACCGTGGAGACATTGGACTTGATGACATCAAATTAATCACAGGAGCTTGTTCTTCAGCAGGTGAGTGGCTTTTCCTTTTTTTAAAAATTAAATTTTGAATTAGATTAGAAAATAGGTTTAAGAAAATCATGTTTAAATAATCAGGTGGAATCCAGTGTTCCTTTGAAAGCCCCAGCCTGTGTGGCTGGACCCAGGACAAAACTGACCAATTTGATTGGACGCCAAAAGCAGGTCACACTACCTCTACTGGTACAGGACCCTCAGCTGACCACACCACAGGAACTGCCACTGGTGGGTCAAAATTTATCTTTTATATAGTATTACATAACTTTTAGAACTTTATTTTCGCATAATTAAAAAAATAATCATAAGATTATATAAAGTAATAACCACCGTGAAAATGCTATTTTCCACTGAGTATAACGTTTAGGTTAAAAAATGATAAAAACATGAAAATGAAACTGGGCTTGTATTTGATTCCACCTGACTTCAATCACAGGTAAATATATCTACATTGAGACCAGCGCTCCCCGTCGTCGTGGAGACAAGGCCCGTATTCTCAGCCCCGCGGTGGCTGGAGGGTCCGCCACATGCTTCCAGTTCTACTACCACATGTATGGACCACACATTGGAACTCTGAACGTGTTTGTTAAGTCCACTGCTCTCAACGGAACGCAGGTCGTCTGGACAAAATCTCTGAACCAAGGCAACAAGTGGGTCTTTGGTGAGGTGACCATTGACCAGGCCTTCACCAATTACCAGGTGAGTTATACTGCTACTTAGAAGATTTTTGGGTCCCTAACTTTAGTTTTTATTTGTTTATGAGTTACTTATTTAGTTGTGTGGTTGATTGACAGGTTGGCTTTGAGGGAATAGTTGGTAGAGGATATGCTGGAGACATTGCTGTTGATGATGTTAAAACTCTACCACAACCCTGTGGCAGCTCTCAAGGTAATATCATTAAATCAGAGTATGATAGGTGTAAAATGGTTAAATGAATAATATTTTAAAGGGTTTTAAAAAAAAAAAAATGATTATGTTTTAGAATTTTTATGTACATATCAGTTTTGTAATGATCAAGAGTTGTAATTTTGACAAATTTTCGTCAGGATCTTGTGACTTTGAGGGAACTTGTTCTTGGACAAATGCACAGACAGGAGATCAATTTGATTGGCTGAAAGGTCAAGGGGGAACAACAAGTCAACAAACTGGACCAAGCAATGACCACACACTTGGAAACTCGAAAGGTTAGGAAAACTATCAGTGTTGAAAATAAAATTTTTTGATGTAGCACCTATTACACATGTACTTAATTATTTTTGGATACTTGGAGAAAAATATCCAGAGTAAATATTATTTTAAAAGTAGCAAAAATGTATAATATTTAATATCACCATTACCTATTACAATGAAATATTTCACCATTATCAATAATCAAAATTTATATTATCTTTATCTGTTTACAAAATAAACCATAACATAAGTTCAGAACAATAGAAGATGGTTAGAAGATTTCCAGGTATGTAAAGATCTATAGGCTTCAGGTCAGGATAACACAAGAGGTTAAAGGTCATATTCAAAAGTTTACAAATTAGAAGCCTTGGCTTTTGGCATTGGGCTTGTTGTGAATTTGTGTATTTTGACAATTGTGTAGATTTATCACTTTGTTTTCAGATTGCTAAATGTAGGCATTGATCATAATGGTTCTATCATTGTTAGGACACTACCTGTTTATTGAGTCCTCGGCCCCACGCAGACCAAACGACAAAGCCCGACTGGTCAGTCCAGTATTCCAGGCTACAGCCACCAAGTGTCTTAACTTTTGGTACAGTATGTATGGGTCAGATATTGGTCACCTGCGAGTGTTCCTTCAGCTCCAGAATGGTACATCATACAGAATCTGGGACCTGTATGGAGACCAGGGCTCACAGAACTGGAGGCAAGGAAAAGTGGCTTTCTACAGTCCAACACCATACACTGTGAGTTATTTTTTCAACAAAAAAAAAAGGCTGTATTAGTTTTATTCTTTTTGAAAGTTGATAAAGCAGAACTGTAGTTCTATAATGCAGTCTGAAATGAATCTCCTAAGATGCCAGTCATTTTGCACCCTGAAAATTTTAAAAGAGTTATCTGCCCTTGATAAAAATAAGAAAATTTTTAATTTCTCAAATTTTTTGTGGTAAATGATTTATTTTATTTCATAATTTAATAATTTTCACAAAGAGATTTGTTTGAAATTCAAGTTACTTTAATTTACAATATCTTTAAAAAAATGTGCTGCCCATAGAGTTCAGTGTAAAATTCAAGGTGCAATTAATTGGACAATAATCAGTATTTCGTAAATTCCTTTGGTGGAGCATTTTATTTGGTAACACCTTCAAAATGCTACCATGATTAAAAACATCGGACTATTCATTTATTAGTTACAAAATATGGTCTTTATACATTGAATACCTTAAGCATAAACTGACTGAAACCAGGTTATGCTCAAATAATTTGGCCAAGATTTAGAGGCATTCATTTTTATAATGTGATATTTAGCCAAATTTATTTTGTAGCCTTTTGTTTATATTATATAGAAAGGCATACTCAACACCATTCAAGTATCTGTATATTAGAGCATATCAACTGCCCATATTTTTATATCATTTTTGTGTGTGTGTGTATTTTTTGTGCTTTATTTTTTATTGTATACTTGTTTGTAGTTGATAATTGAAGGACAAAGAGGAAATGGCTATAAAGGAGACATAGCTATTGATGATATTTCTATTACTGACTCAAACTGTCCCAGTAAGATTTATCAAGAAATAGAACTATACTATACTTACACATATATAAACCTTACTCTACCCACGCAGGCCTGAAAATGATTTATCTGCCAATATTGTAAAATGTAGTTTTCCTGCTGATACAAAGTATATCTGCTTAGTCATCACCTAAGCACAGCACCTTTGCCTCAATCTGCCCTCACACTTTATTAACATAAGAAAAAAAATAAAGGCACAATATTGCTTGTATGTAAATTAAACACAGATTTCATTCTTTTAAAGGGCTTTGAATTTTTTTTTCCTCCTTCTCAGTTTAACTCAAATGAGTCAAATACAATGTTCTTCAAACTGAAGTGTATCATATACTAAGTACGTCATTTTCTAACTTTGACAGTAACACCACCCGCAGCATCTACTCCACAATCCTTTACTCAGGCGCCGGTCTCAACAACAGTTGCTACCACTCCAGCAGGTAACACAATACTATCTATTAAGTATGTGAAGGTAAATGATTCAGATTGTGAATATCATATACCAACTCAAGTCATTCTATGCATGAATTTTTGTATTCACTTTTTAGCATCAGCGTCGCCATTTGACTGTAATTTTGAGAGTGGAATCTGCTCCTACAATCAAGATAAAACTGACCGGTTTGATTGGACCAGAGCGAACGGACCAACGGGAACAGTGAACACGGGTCCCTCAACTGACCACACCTTCGGGAATGGTAACCAGAACCTTGACTAATTTCTTGTTTAAAAAAAATAGTTTTAGAAGTCAATCAAATCTTGCTATTTTGAACTCCAAGAGATTATTATTAAACTTCAAGATATCTGAAAACAGAGGGAAAAAGTGATTGGGACTTCCGATTCACTTTGATATAACCCATGTATTTGAGATTTTAGTGTCTGAGATAATGAAGTTAAACTTTATTTTACTGAGCATGCTACGTATAACATTTCAAAATACATTACAGCTACTGGACACTATATGTTTATTGAGGCGTCCAGTCCAAGGCGGCCAAATGACACCGCTCGTCTGATTTCTCAAACTGTGACCAGGACCACTGGAGCGTGTCTGCGGTTCTGGTACCACATGTATGGAACACACATCAACACTCTAAATGTCTACACCAAGACTGGTGGTCAACTTGGAAGCCCAATCTGGAGCCACACTGGTGAGAAGACAAAATATTTAATACAGATACATATTGTATTTCCAGCTTTTATTATGTGCATGAATTTTAACAGATGAAAAATTGCATTGTACTGATATTATGATTCTTGAAAACTTTGCTGATTGGATTAAGGACTGTAAATCTATGATATGAAATAATTTCTTAAATTTTTTAAAAAGCTTTTCTTAACAAACTTTATAAAATATGCTGGCGTGAAGTGATGTAGTTTATGTTCTCATGAATTCTCAAAAGTTAAATTCATTTCTTAATTGAATAGGAACGCTTGGAAACAAGTGGAATCAGGCTGTAGTGAAGATAGCCAGTAACCTGAACTTCCAGCTGGTGTTTGAGGGAGTCCGGGGTACCAGTTACCGTGGTGATATAGCCATTGATGACATCACATACTCCTATCAGCCCTGCCCAACAGGAACAGGTGAGAATTTCTTGTTGTACACGTATGTTAATAATTATATACATGGCCTTTTTCTAGTAATGGGTATGTCTAACATGCATTTCATTTAAATTTTAAAGGTTACAGTTGTAACTTTGAGGATACAAAGATTTGTGGCTTTCACCAATGTGCGTGGTAATGACACGTTTGATTGGACCAGATATGCAGGAAGAACAGGCAGCTCTTTCACAGGACCACTCAGTGACCATACCTATGGAACAGCAAGAGGTTTGTTTCTTGACAAAATTTTCAGTATTTCATTGAACTTTCATTTAGTGTAAGAATTTGCCTCACATTTAGATAACAGTCATCAAGTTGAGCTTTGTAATCTTATAAAACACAATTTCAAAGACGTTGATCAATCTTATTAACAGGGGTAAAATTAGAATGTTTCATCTTAGTAATATTTCTATTTTGACAGGCCACTATATGTACACTGAGTCTAGTGCCCCTCGTCGCCGTGGAGACAAAGCGTGGCTGGTCAGTCCAGGGTATCCCACCACCATAGGATCCTGTCTCAACTTCTACTACCACATGTATGGCAGCAACATTGGAACGCTCAATGTGTATCTAAAGGTAAGACATCAACTTCTACTACCACATGTACGGCAGCAACATCGGAACGCTCAATGTGTACTTGAAGGTAAATCATTATCAAATGTCTACAGTACTTTCATATGAAATAGCACTTTGTCATATGTGGTTAAATCAATTCTTCATTGTAAATCTCTTCATTTTGGACAATTTCCCTTTTTCAGACTGATTCTGGTTCCCAAAAGCTTTGGAGTAAAAATGGTAACCAAGGTAACAAGTGGTTGCTAGCGCAGACAACCATCCAGTCGCCAAGCAGCAATTACTCGATTACTTTTGAAGGAATCATAGGAAACGGTTACCGAGGAGACATTGCTATTGATGATATGTCTGTTGTCCCGGGAACATGTACACTACCAGGTGCGCTTTATAAATACATGTAAGAAAATGAATATTAGCCATTTATTGTGCATGGTAAGTTTTAGAAATGTAAACTTGTAATTTTATTTTAGGAAACTGTGACTTTGAGGGGAAGACATTCTGTACCTGGGTAAATTTACACAACGATGATTTTGATTGGTTGGTGGGAAGTGGTAATACGGCCAGTGCTCTGACTGGACCCACTCAGGATCACACCCACAATCAGGACACCTCTGGTCAGTAGAGAGGCCTGTTTGTGTGTGTGTGCATGATTCAGAGTTAGAAAAATGTCAGTCATTAAATGTTCGGATGGAAGAATATAGTAATAATATATTCTACACATATCTTGGAAAGGATAGATAAACAAATAATATTTACTTGAAAAATATTAAAGAAAAATAATTCCTATCCTTTCCAAAATTATATGATGCAATTTTATTTTAGTTAAAAATAATGGAGTGCAGCAAAAATTATTGATGAATAACTTAAATTTCATTGAATACTAGACATTCTTTAATATCAGTAAATCTTCAGTCAGTACTTGTTATAGGTCACTATACTGTCATTGAGATCAGTGACTATTCAGTCAGTATTTCTTTATAGGTCACTATACTTTCATTAAGATCAGTGACAATTCAGTCAGTTTTTGTAACAGGTCACTATACTTTCATTGAGATCAGTAACTATTCAGTCAATACTTGTTTACAGGTCACTATGCTTTCATTGAGGCCAGTGCTCCCCGAGTACCAGGGCATGTAGCACGCCTCCAAAGCTCGACGTTCCAGGCCAGCTCTGCTCGATGCCTTCACTTCTGGTACCACATGTTTGGTTCCGGTATCGGTACGCTGAATGTCTATGTTGTCACAGCCAATGGTAACAAGACGGTGTGGTCGCTGTCTGGAGATCAGACCAATCATTGGTATTCTGCCCAGGTGGCTGTAACCAGTAACGTACAATACAATGTAAGTGTAAATGTTCTGCTGGTACATTGTTGATATATTTTAGAATTATAAGTCTGTACAGCTAAGCTATAATGTCTTCTACATCTATCTTGAATACAATGGAAGTGAGATGGAAATTGCAACCTCTTTTTCTTTTTTAACTCATACGTAAGATATTTGAATATTTTCAAGTTTTGAGTTTGAGATAAGCAGGTAAGAGTTAAAGAGTGCATTATTTTAAACCTGGCTTGTGTAATTTGTAGGTTATATTTGAGGGGATCCGGGGATCTTCGTACCAAGGAGACTTGGCTATAGATGATATTACCTTCACCAGCGACAACTGTGCTTGTAAGTCGGATATATCAACATATATATATAAAGTTAAACAACATCTTCATCACAATTAGCATGTGTTTACTGTGAAATTGCTAATTTTTAGGGTGTATATAAATTTTGTTGATTTCTTAGTGTGAAAAAAACCCTTGAATTCATGTCAATGTCCCATGGATTCATATCAAAGATCAATCTTTCACACAAGAAATTGAATCCCCTGGAACCAATATTCCTAAATATGACCTCATGAAAATAATTGATTTCTTAGTGTATGATAGAGAGAACCACTGACATTTACTTTATTTGTTTAGTACAACCCACCAAAGCTGATCCAACAAAACAGAGCACCACTCCACAACCAGTGACCACCACCACACCTGCAGTGATTACACCAGGTGAGCATTACTGCCGCAACAACCACTGTAACACTTCTGGCTAATGTTAAGTTAAATAATTTGTAAGGTTTATAGGTGTTAATCACACCAAGTGAGCATTACTGCTGCAACAGCCACTGTAACACTTACTTCTGGCTAATGTTTAGGTTAAATAATCATGAAAGGTGTATACTTGATAAATCTGTACTTGTCTCTTCTTTCAGCTCCAACTGTATATGATTGTAACTTTGACAAAGACCTGTGTAAGTGGACTCAGATTGTTACTGGGGACCAGTTTAACTGGACTCGGGCTCAGGGTCCCACTGGCTCTGCACTCACAGGACCCACTAATGACCACACAACTGGCAATCGTAAGTAGGATGGAATAAGGTGGTTTAAAATATAAAAATTATTTAACACATCTTTGTTTTGGTAAACTTACACATTTTGCATTGATTTAATTTTTACACACACACCCTATTCAAATGCATCTTTAAAATGTATGTGGTGAATCCAAAACAAATAATTATCAGTTTGAAATGAAGTGACATGTCACATGTTTAGGATGAACCATGTGTACACTGTGTTGAATATGTTTCCTGATTTTACGACAGGTACTGGCTGGTACCTGTTCATTGAGGCCTCTGCTCCCCGACGACCAGGTGACAAAGCACAACTGGCCAGTCCCTTGATCTCAGATGGTCAGTCTCGCTGTCTGAGTTTCTGGTACCACATGTATGGCACCCACGTCAACACACTGAATGTCTACGTCCAGAGTGGGTCTCCAGCCTTAGGCTCTCCTGTGTGGACAAAGAAAGGAACTCAGGGAAATAGATGGATCAAGGCCAAGGTCACCATAACACCCACCATGGCGTACCAGGTCATCTTTGAAGGGGTCAGGGGAATCAGTTACCGTGGAGATATTGCCATTGATGATGTCAGACTGTCCCTGGGACCTTGTCAAAATATTGGAGGTGGGAAAAAACCGTCTACTTTCAAAATATATTTAAGACTTTGTAAAATAAAACTTATTTGCTAGATATAAACTGGAAATTATCATTTTTTTTATATTTATTACACATAGATTTTTTTTTGAAGCAACAAACATTTTAATGCAGCACAATGGCTATCGTAAATATCTAGACTAGTAAAGAAACTTCCTTTGATAAGACATGTTGTATTTGCAGTTGACCCAATGGCTTGTAATTTTGAGACAAGCTCTGTCTGTGCCTATCTTCTGAAGTTACCCACAGAGAGATTCACTTGGACTTGGCATGCTGGGGCCACAGCTTCTGCAGGGACTGGCCCTAAGGCCGACCACACACTGGGGACCTCCAGTGGGCACTATGTCTTCATGGAATCCTCTGCCCCTATGGCCCCCAACAACACTGCCCACCTTATCAGTCCCCAGTACACTCCCCAAAATCCTGGATCCCCCATCTGTTTGACCTTCTACTACCAAATGTATGGACAGAATGTTGGAGCTCTGAATCTTTATCTGACCAATGGTGGCACCTCTCCTGGAAGTCAACCAATCTGGAGCCGGAACTTCAACCAAGGACAACCTTGGCACCAAGGACAAGTGACACTCAATCCAGCGGGAACATATAGGGTAAGACAGAAATTCATCAGTACCGGGTATTATAAAAATAAAAAACAAAGGATTTGATGTAATTAAAATACTGTAGATCACTAAATTTTCGTGACACCTTATTTTTGAGAGATAGTTATTCACTCTTGATTAGCAAAACAAAATTTTCACAAATTTTGGTGATTGCTCTGTATAATCTCAGGAAGTACTATTATATGCGGAATAAAATTTTCGCGAGCACACTGTCTTGTGTAATTACGCAAAAATAAAGTTATCGCAAATAAAAATGATTTACAGTATTTGTTCTGTGTCATGATAGAAAGTCATAAAACACATGTATATCAGATTTCCTTGCTGCAAGGTTTCTTTTTTAATGAATCTGGGTAACACAGATTTAAAGTACAGCAAAAATAGCTTTTTTGAGAATTATTCTTTAACTGGAGTAATTTTTTTTTACAGGTAATATTTGAAGGAGTAAGAGGAAATGGATACAGGGGAGACATAGCTATTGATGACATCTCTAGTTCACCAGGAGCTTGCCAAGTTCTAGGTATAGAAAACATAAATGTTTCCATATAAAATGGATGAACTTAGGTTTAATTTTCTTGTTCTCCATTATAGTTTTTAATTTTTCATCCATTTAGCTGTATAATTCTTGTGACAGGTGCCTGTGACTTTGAATCAACCTGTAGCTGGTCCAACACTCAAGTGAATGACAACTTTGACTGGCTGGTATCTAGTGGTAGGACCACCAGTGGATTTACTGGTCCTCCGTTTGACCACACTTTCCAGAACTCCTCAGGACACTACATTTTCATTGAGACAAGTGCCCCGAGAGTTCAAGGAGACAAAGCTAGATATGTCAGTCAGGCCTTCCCTGCCCAAACTAATGCTGCCTGTCTGAGTTTTTACTTCTACATGTACGGAGCAGACATTGAGTCACTTAGTGTGTACGTCCTAACCAACACCACCTCGGATTCCACGACCAGTGAAGCACGACTGTGGCAGCTGAATGGACAGAGCGGAAACTCGTGGCAGCAGGGTCAGATGAATATTCCCAGTCAGTACTCCAGTAAACCCTTCCAGCTGATGTTTGAAGGCGTGCGAGGGAAGGGCTACCGAGGGGATATAGCCGTGGATGACATCACAGTGGATCTGACGTCAGGCTGTATAACTACTCCAGACATTGCAGTAGTGGGTGAGTTACTCCAGATAAATCTCATTTAATATTACTGAAGACATCATGTTATTTTTAACCAATGTTTCAACTTTTAGAGTGTAAAACTTGCTGACAATATTTAAAAAAACACTTAAAAGTTTGTTGATCGATCTGCCAAATTTGAGTTAAATTTACACTCAAAATGTTTTCTTATTATATAAATACTTTTTCCAATTCTCATTTACACTGTAGTTATTTGGAAATGAAAAATAAGGGGTTAATAATTCATATTTTTTAATTACCTGGTACATCTCAAGGATATGATGTTGCATGTAATTTTGACTACAATGGCATCTGTAACTGGAAACAGAGTACAACTGATACATTTAATTGGTCACTTAACAATGGCACCACCCCAAGCCAGGGAACTGGGCCCTTAACAGACCACACCCAGAATTTGGGTAAGGGACTACGAATGATATCACATAGAACAACTGCAGTTAAAAAAACCTGATAGATATGGTATGAACATTGTAGGAGAGATACTTAATTTTCTTAACATTTTCTTTCTAGATCCAAATGGTGGAAGTACAGTTGGTAAATATCCAATACATGTAGTAATATCTAAAAAAATCTTTTCTAATTTTTTTACAGATAATTTTCTCAGTTTCACTTCCAACACAATTTTTTTTATCATTATATCACATTAATTTAAAACAATTCTTGATTTTGCAGGAAACTACCTTTACATAGAGGCCTCTGGTCGTAAATACTCAGACAATGCAGTTCTCCTCTCCCCCATCATTCCCCCCACTGGCCTCTCTGGCTACTGCTTTTCATTCTGGTACCACATGTTTGGACCACAGATAGGGGTTCTCAGTGTCTACAGCATGATAGGGGGCAAGAAGATCCTGCAGTTCACCAAAGGAGGGACCCAGGGCAACCAGTGGAAACAAGCACTGATAAATGTCAACAGCACAACAGACTTCCAGGTAAGTCAGATCTCGGAAGGGGGAGGGTGGAAGGGACACTGTGTCCAATCAAAAAACTGAATACTGTAGATCATTATATTTTCGCGACACCTTATTTTCGCGAGATAGTCCTTTACTCTTTATAAGCGAGACAAAATTTTCACAAATTGTTAATATTTCTCTATATAATCTTAGGGAATACTATTATACGCGAGAATGAAATTTTCGCGTGCTCTTTGTCTTGCGTAATTACGTGAAAATAAAGTTCTTGCGAATAAAAAGTGATTTACAGTAGCTGTGCAAGTTTTATTGAAAGTTTATAAGTGTGTAGTTGTCTATATTTATTGAGATGTTACAGAACCATCTGCTGAATGCATGGTGCTCTTTCCTCTTGGGGTTTATCTAGAATGATACTATTCTGTTACCAGATTACAATATTTTGTTGTCATTGTAGCTGATGATCCAGGCATTTGTTGGTAATGGCTGGGCGGGAGACACAGCAATAGATGACATTCAGTTTGACAATAAACCCTGTCAAAGTGTCGACACCTCAAGTAAGTAATAAAAACTTTATACACTTGTTCTACCCAGATACAAAGTCTATTGGAATTTCATGTTTTAATTTGATATATGTGGTTACTTTGGAGATTTCTTTTTACCGATTTATGCCATTATTCTGTATATGTAAAAAATTCCTTCAGCTCATTGTGACTTTGAAAATGATACTTGTGGATGGATGCAGGACACATCGGATGATTTTGATTGGCTGAGACACTCCAACAAAACAGGTAGTTTCGGCACAGGGCCAGTAGGGGATCACACTACAGGAGCAAGCACAGGTGGGTCAAGGTCATTTAAAATTGAAAAAAGGACATAGGAAGGCTTTATACTTGGTTCAATATAAAACTGATGTCAGATTTGTATCTAACTCTTGGAGTAATGCATTTAATGGTGACACATTGCTTTATTTTAGGCTATTACATGTATATTGAGGCCTCTCCACCAAGGACAAGTGGACAAAAAGCTCGCTTTGTGAGTCCTGTGCTCCCGAGCTCCAATGGAGAATGTCTGACATTCTATTACAACATGAATGGTAGGACCATGGGGACACTCAATGTGTACACACAGACTTCAGGGTCACTGGGCAGCCCAGTGTGGACAAAGTCCAGGAACCAGGGAAGTAAATGGCTGATTGCTCAGGTCACTCTGACCAGCTCCAGCCAATTCCAGGTAATCTAACTTCAACCATTTTTGTGTATTTGTAGTGCATGTATCATTAAAGAGAGAGTTTGGACCCCAAAAAATGTTTTCCCTTCAAGAAAAGATACAAGAATTAAGAAAGAAGACCTATACCAGAATCTTGTTTCTGGTTATTGAAACATTCAAAAGAATTGTCTCTTTTCCCAAACAAATAATACTAGTATTTCACAATGTCTCGAGTTTTTATCTTTTTTTTTCAGTACTAATACTTGTAATAGAGAATTCTTTGTAAACAATGAGAACTTGTATTTGCAGGTTGTGTTTGAGGGAGTTATTGGCTCCTCCTACTTAAGTGACATTGCCATTGATGACGTTTCCATCGTTCCTGGTGCTTGCCCCGCCCCAGGCTCCTGTAATTTTGAACAAGGCTTGTGTGGCTACTCTAATGTCCAGGGAGATGAATTTGATTGGACAAGAACCAAGGGACTGTCCCCCTCCTTTTACACTGGCCCTACTGTAGACCACACCACAAACTCTGGCTCTGGGTACTACATGTTTATTGAGAGCAGTAATCCTCAGAAGCTGGGAGACAGAGCCTGGCTGAAGAGTTCCTCTCTGTCCCCCACCACGGGAAAATGTCTGCAGTTCTGGTACAGCATGTATGGCAGTGGTAAGTGGGTCCATCAAAATACAAATATCTTTTAACATGAAAGAGAAGTTTAAGAACTAATTTACTTTTTAAGATAAGGCCATTCCAAGTTTTTTCTATGTTTAGCGTCTGCGTGCGCCTTGGTTTTTGACACCCAGTATCAGAAAAAACAAACAAAATCAGAAGACCTGATATTCATTATTCTGGTCGAAATCTTTGAATAATATCATGTCCTGTTATAATCTGTCTACAATTTTTCATATTTGGTATATTTTGAACATTTAGTACATGGATTTTGCTAAAGTATAGATCTATAAAAAGAGAAAAAATATTTTTTTGAAATCAAATCCTTTGAAAGACGTTACTTTTATGACTATAAAGTCTGTTTTCTTTTTTGATCTGTGTGTTTTTTGCGAATAGGTAGGTAGGTTTTTGAAAGATGGGTGGACGCTAAACATAGAAAAAACTTGGAATGGCCTAAATATATATTATATTTGTTTCTCCTACATCAAATTGAGTGGTCACCACTTAGAGCCATATAAGTCCCCTCAATCAGATTTGCACAGAAATTCACACTCTAGAGCATCAAGGATATTTTCAAGTCAATGTTCTTAATAATTCCTTGTATTGTTAGAATGATTTGTAGATGCAGTAGAATTTTGTTATTTATCTTATATCCTGACAGTAAATTCTGTCTCTTTATTGCAGGAATTGGAACCCTTAACATATACTTAGTTTCTGGATCAGCCAATCGGACAATATTCACAGCCTCAGGTAACAAGGGCAAAGGTTGGTTCCAAGGTCAGGCCACCATAACGACGAACTCTGCTTACAACATTGTGTTTGAGGGAGTCCGGGGAACTGATTACCATGGAGACATTGCCCTGGATGATATCAACTTATTGGACGGAACCTGCAATCTACAGCCTAACACTACAACCGTGTCCACTCCACCCACCCCTGGACCTACTGCAGGTAAAATACTGTTCAGAAATAAATATTTAATAGACTTTATACTGAAGATCAGCAATTGTCTGGGTATATCTTTTATTGCATTAGTGATATTGCTTCTTATAAACCTACCAGTAATTTTAGTGAAGATACATGTTTAAATAATAGTATTATTGTTTTACTAAAAAACCTTAATTACAGGTACAAGTTTTGTATGTTGCTTTCTAAGTATTTGGTGTTTTCAGATCATTCCTTGTAATACATAGACTTTTACATCATCTCTATTCTTCTGCTGCAGCTCCTCTGTTGACTTGTAACTTTGAGAGAGACCTTTGTAACTGGCAACAAGACAAAACAGAAAACCTGGACTGGACCAGAGACTCAGGGGGTACAGCATCCAGTGGAACAGGGCCCTCGTTTGATCACACAACAGGTGGAAAGAGTGGCTACTACATCTACACAGAAGCCAGTGTAAATAACAACAAGACAGCTCGTTTGTTGAGTCCTCCTCTGTCTGTTTCCACGACGGTCTGTGTGAACTTCTGGTACCACATGTACGGGGCTAATATCAACAGGATTAACCTGAGACTGAAGCATGCTGGGACGCTCGGCCAGCCACTGTGGACAAAGATCGGAAATCAGGGAAATCAATGGTTTAATGCTAAAGTAGATGTACTACCTCAGAATGGAGACTTGGTGAGTATAATATAGCACATGTATATTTCAGATCTTACACTTTACAAGTTTATTATAGGAGCATAAAGGTGTTAATGCTACCTTCGTGTACGTGAGCATTTGTGTGGAGAGCTTGATTTTAAAAGCTTTTCAAGTCTTTGGAAAATGAGACCAAAAATAAACAGGCATATAACATTATTCGCCAGTTTATCACAAAAGTTAGTTCCCCTTTTTTTATATTTCTGCTGAGCATGCCAATTTTCAGCTTTCTTGCCCAACTGCTGACTTATTTAGGAAATGCAAACTGATCAAGACAAAGACATCTGTATAAAATAACCCGTATATTTATATGGAAAAATGCAACTCAGTTTTCAAAATTATGGTGATAAAAAGTGATGAGAACAAAATCTATCCACAATTATTACAATTTAAGGTAGTTTCCCAGTCATTCTATGTTAAATAAAGCTGATAGCTGTTCAGTACTTGGACATTCTTTTGTTTATTTTGCTCCTTATTTCACCCCCAGGTTGTGTTTGAAGGCATCACAGGACGTGGTTACCAAGGAGACATGGCACTGGACGACATCTCTGTTCTCAATGGACCCTGCAACAACGCTCTCTCAAGTAAATATCTGAAAGTGTTCATATGCATAGATTGTTTACGATTAGTGAGAGTTCCATGATCATCTCTGTTAAACTTCACTTTATTACATGTACCACTTATCGTGATCTGATTCAAATGTGGAAATGTTGACTTTTGAACCAAAATTCCAAGCTATTGAGGTCACAAAAATGTTATATTATGAATAATCCTTTTGTAAAAAGACAAATATAACTTTTTAAAAAAAGAAATTACGAAGTTTCAAAAATGTTAATCTTCGTTAATAGAAGCAGATCTTGTGCAATATGTAGCTAGATCATGCTTGAAAATGTCTACTTTTGCTTGCATTGATTGAAAAGAAAAACCAGAATCTTATTAGGAAATTCTACAGGAATGATTATATGTTGGATAATTTTTGTTTTTCAGCCTCCTGTGACTTTGAGGATGCCAACATTTGTAACTACCAACAGGATCCTACGGACAATTTTGATTGGACTAGACAGGCAGGAAGAACCGGCTCCACTGGAACAGGGCCATCCAGCGATCATACTTACGGGACCATAGCTGGTACATTTTAATATTTGTATGAATGTCGTTAAAATATGGTTTTACAATGTTTTCCAAAATTGTAATTCTAGCTGTATCTTTAGATCTAAAATTCTTGATGTTGCTACAGACCCAGAGTCTCCTGTCTTGTTAATCTTTTTATCAAGGGAATTTGTAGTGTTACGGTGTTAATGTTGAACTATTTCATCTCAGGCCACTACATGTTTACCGAGTCCTCAGCACCCCGAGTACAGGGAGACAAGGCTCGACTTCTGAGTCCCCAGTACCCCGCCACTAATGGCCAGTGTCTGACCTTCTGGTACCATATGTACGGACTCTCCATAGGAACCCTCAATGTCTACACTAGCTCCTACAACAAACTTAGTGCCCCTCTCTTTACACTGTCTGGTGACCAGGGCAACCAGTGGCGCCAATCTCAGATAACAATACAAGTACAGGGAGCATACAAGGTAATTAGAACACAGCAATGTGAAAGTTGTTATAAAATTGGTAAATATGCTTTGTAAAATTGTATTTTTTAATTGTTTGTTCATTTCTACCATGCATGTGTGTTTTTTTTCAGATTGTGTTTGAAGGAGTCAGAGGAAGTGGTTATAAAGGAGACATATCCATTGATGACATCAAACTGACCCCAGGAGCTTGTCAAGGATTGGCTAGTTGTGACTTTGAATCTGACCTCTGTGGCTGGAACCAGAGACGAGATGACAAATTTGATTGGATAAGACGTTCAGGCCACACCCCTTCATTACTGACTGGTCCAGGAGTTGATCACACCATAGGATCTTCATCAGGTAATGTTCACTTCAGGACACTGAATCAGATCATACGAGGGAATTTTTGAAAGAAGGAGACAGATTTGTGCTATAATGTTTTTACAAATATCTGGCCCTGGGGCCATAAAACTTAGACAAGCTCACTTTTGATCTCAGTCTCACTTTTCCACCATATATTCCTTTTGTAAAAGTGAGACTGAGATCCAAAGTGAGCTCATCTTAGTTTTATGGCCCCGGAGCCTGTTTTGTAACAAATTTTGAGATTCAGAGGACCATTTTTTTTCTAACCCTAAATTATTTTACAGGTTTCTACATGTATATTGAGTCCAGTTCACCCAGAAAGGCAGGAGACAATGCGATCCTCTCCTCCCAGATCATTCCTGTGGCCCCCTACTGCTTCAGGTTCTGGTATTACATGTATGGAGCCAATGTGGGTAGCCTCAATATCTCTCAGGTCATGTCTGGAACCCCTACCTACAAAAATCAGGTGTGGAGTATCAGCGGGAACCAAGGCGCCCAGTGGAAGCAGGGCAACGTCAGCATGAGTAATGCTTATGCACCTTTCTATGTGAGTAACCATTTTATGATATACTGTATACAGGGAAATTTTCAACCCTATCACTCTCATGGCAAATGGTCAGGTTTAAAATATAAGTGAGAAAGCATATCCTGAACTCAACTGTTTCTGGGCAAATTGAACACAGAGCAAAATTCTTTTTTTCAAAAATTCAGTGCAATTTAGATAAGTTCAAAAATTAGATACAATATCCCAATCAATTTCCAACAATTTTTCCTGAAGTTTTGTTGTTATGATTTATGTTTATGTGGTAGTGTTTAAGGCCATGTCATGAGATATATTTTATATTTTTTGTGGTGGTGTGTTAGATCTATGTGGAGGTGATATTGTCATGAAATACATTATATATTTTTTGTGTCCTAATTAGATCTATGTAGAGGCTGATATTGGTGATGGTAACCAAGGTGATATAGCAGTGGATGATTTCATTCTAGACAATTTCGAATGCTCTGCAGGTTTGTGACATGAATTTTATTGATACCAATACATGAGTTGTACAAAATTGAATTTAGCTGGGTAATATTGAAATTCAGCAAGCTTATTATTGATTAGTCCAGTTGTTTATGTAGCCATGTCACTATTTATTGTACATGTTATGCACTGTGTAAGATTTTGTACATTTGAACAGAGCCTAACACAAATGGCAGCTACTCATGTAAAGATCCTCTGAACACAAAGATTCCACAATCCAAAGTCTGTAACTTCATCAGGGACTGTTCCAATGCTGCAGATGAATCAAATTGTGGTATGTGATTTAAATAAAACCATTTTCTAATTGTTTGATTTGTGGAATATATTGGAGATGTTTTCGATGATAATTACTTGGAAAGAAAGAAAGATATAAGGTAGTGATAACCTCTTTCTTTGCTTTATGACAGGTGCCTGTGACTTTGAGCAGGACCTCTGTTCTTGGGTAGCCTCAGGGACAGGGTCATTTGGCTGGAGCCGAGGGGGAAACCAGACTGCCACAGCAAATACTGGACCCAGATATGACCACACCATTGGAAATTCTGCAGGTAATTACACTTCACCTCTCCCAATCAATGAACAACCCTTCCTTTTTGGATCAATTTATAATGTTTATTTTTTAAATTATGACAGTCTTTAGTGTTTACCTTTTGTTTTTAATGCCCAGTGTTGGTATTTCTCTTTGACAGGACATTATCTGTACATTGATGCCAGTCTGGGGTCCTTTACAAGTCAGGCCGAGCTTATTGGACCCACACTACATGCCTGTAGCTCCACCTGCCAATTCCAGATGTGGTACAACATGTATGGCACAGGTTAGTGACCGCTCACCCGTAACAAAATTATACTCACAATCTGAGTTTTTAGTGGGTAGTCTAGATCTCTCAGATCCATAATTAATTGTTCTTAATTGAAGTTATTCAAATTTTACTAACTTTTCAATGATTTACAGGTATAGGTAAATTACGTGTTCTGATAAGAGAAGGCAACAGAGACACAGAGATTTGGAGACTTCAAGGTAACCAGGGACGAAACTGGAAGAAAGCAACCATTGACATTGGACGTGTGGATAGAGCATTCACGGTACTTGAGAGTCAGATACTTGTCAGTCAAAGTCAAAATCTATACTTTACAAAGTATCAACAGCTTCTTGGTTTCCTTAATTAATATTTAACATACATGAAGTTCTATATGTCTGTATAAGTGAATACATTTGTTATTTCCTCTCAACAGCTTGTGATACAAGCCACACGAACTTACAGTGTCCAGGGAGACATTGCCATCGATGACCTTCAACTCATCAACTGCAATTATCCAGGTTATCTATTGAAATTAATTGAATTCTAATGAAAGCATTATATCTTATTGTATAAATGATCATTGAATGATAATCGAAATCCAGTCAAGCCTTGATAAAAAAAAACGATGAAATGGCACAGGTTGGACACCAGTCACAAAGTGCTGTACATATGATAAGCACTTTTAAAAAAAAAAAGAAATTCTATAGAAGGTAAATTTTCTTTTTGTTTCTGCAGCCCCCCAGGCGTCCTGTCCCTCCCCCTACCAGTTCCACTGTAAAGTCAACAAAGGATGTATAGCCAACAACCAGAGGTGTGACTTCAACGACGACTGTGGAGATGGCTCAGATGAAGATCCCGCTACGTGCTGTACGTATTTATAAAAAATTCTGAGTAGTGATGATATTATTACAAAAATTTAACTTCAATATCTCAAACACTGATAAATCAAATTAAATGGATGCATTGTCCCAACCACTTGATCTTTAAGTGTTTTACCACTGATATCACAAATTCTTCAACATTTAAAGTTTTTCATAGGTCCAGTAAAAATTTGAGATAACTAAGTTTGACTGTAATAGAGTTCTTTATGAAGTCTATAAATTTTTCTGCTCTCTTTATAGCAAACTACCCTGCCTCCTGTAACTTTGAGAGCAGCCTCTGTAGTTGGATGCAGGATAAAACGGACAAATTTGACTGGATTAGAGCAAACGGTCACACCGCCACCTACGGAACAGGTCCCTCCAGAGATCACACTCGGGGTACAGCCTCGGGCTATTACATGTTTATTGAGTCCTCAGCACCACGAAGACGAGGAGACATGGCCCGTCTTATAAGTCCCCTGTTTAAGGCTGTTCCTCCCAATAATAATCCAAACATCTGTGCTGTAAGTTCAGTGTGATTATTATTCAAACTCAGTAAAGAAACTGTAAAATGTAGTTCAAGAATAATTAAAGTCAGTAAGGTACTTGCTGTTTATTTGTGTGCAAAATTAGCATGGCAGAAATATACCATTTTAAGGTATCTTGCTTGATATTTTAAAGTAACTAAATTTTGACACCTCGCGAGATAGTCATACTGTTAGTAGACAAAATTTTACATTGTGGTTATTGCTCTATATAATGTAATAGCAGGTTTTTTGTAAAATGATTTACAGTATATGAACATGTATAAGCAGGTTTTTTGTAAAGTCACCAAAAGTTTTTGTGTCCAGTAATCTACATTAATTTTACAGACAAAAAAACTGACACATGTTTAAGAGAAGTACATTTAACTGATTTTTTTTTCTCTGTTCAGATTCGATTCTTCTACCATATGTTTGGTCGAGGCATTGGTTCACTGAATGTCTACACCAGAGAAACTGTGACAGGACCAAAGAACAAAATATGGTCAAAATCCGGAAATGTTGGGGACTTCTATGAAAGAGTTGATCTTGTAATCAATGAGACCAAACCATTCCAGGTAAAAAATAATAAAGAATTTCTTAATGAATCAGATATATCATTGAAACCTATGTCAGATTAAGAGAAATGTTAGTATGAGTCTCTCTGTGTGCAGGTTGTGATTGAGGGAGTTGTTGGCAGTTATTTGGGAGACATTGGAATTGATGATGTTTCTATGACACCAGGCTGTATTCTGATGAATGGTAAAATCATGCACTCACTTTAAATATTGTCAATGTTGAAATTTTAATGCTGGTAGAAACTGTTTTATTTGTGTCATTATTGTTCTTAAAATAAACCAAGAGAAACCAATCATAAGTCCAAAACTGATGTTTAATGTATATTTTCTTTTTAGATCATGATAATGCATACTAGTTCAAGTTATATAGTGTTGAGATTTTCAGACTTTATTTTGTGGATTTTCAAACTTTATTTTGTCCTCAGGAGTGAACACCCTCCCCTCTGGGTCTCCTCCCCCTGTAACCACACCTAACCCCTGCGGTAATAATAGTTTTGCCTGTACCTCGGGAGCCTGCATCCCGTCCTCCCAGGTCTGTGACTTCACACCTCAGTGTTCTGATGGATCGGATGAGGCCAAGTGTGGTAGGTGGTCATTTTATTTGTGATCAATTTACTGAATACAGTAAAACATGATTCAAGTGCCAGGGACAGATAATTTTGTTGCAATATATGCATTATTTGTGTTAAGATTTTAATATGTTTTAAAGTCACAGGGAAGTTGTAAATGTATTCATTTTAACTTTGTTTTGCTGTACAATTTTATTTTGGAATAATGAGACACAGAGTGTAAAAAAGGATGCCATGTCTTAAATATCTTAGCTTGTTAATGGAATTTTTTGTGTATTTGTGCTATAAGTATTTTGTCAGTTTTGATTACAAATGCATTCATTGTTGACTAGGAGAGATGATTTTTTTTTTACAGGTACATGTACCTTTGAGAATGGTCAGTGTGGCTGGACCGATGTCAGCAGTGGACGCTATAACTGGCACATCTTCCAGGGGTCCTCCCCCGGTACAGGTGGACCCAAGACTGACCACACCAATGGCACTGCCGCCGGTCACTACATGCTGGTAGAGGGAGCCTCGGGAGTGTTCTACAGCCGGGCCCGCATGGAGACACCACCTCTTGGAGCCACAGGACCTAGCTGTCATGTGACCTTCTACTACCACATGTTTGGACTTGGAGCAGGTAAATAAATTTTATAAATATTTTTTTTTCCTTGTAAAGGATTTTGAAGGAAAACTAAAATAGTATTTATTATTGCATTTTTTTTTTTGGCTTCTGTGTATAAAAATTTGAACAAAGACAGTATTTAATTTTGCATCCTTGTATTTTTTATTTTGTCAGGTAGAATCTACAAATCCACACTCAAATGTATGACGTACATGAATCTGTTCAAATTAATGAAAAAATATCTTTGAAATTTTCAGGAAACATTCGTGTTTTGGTTGTCAACACCAAGAATCCAACTGATAAGACCTACATTTTCTCACAAAGTAACAACATGGGAAATGGCTGGCAGCTGGGAAGAGCAGATATTGGTCAACTTCCTGCAGGATATAAGGTATAGTAACTGTTACAATTTGTCTTAATATTACCTAAAAAATTATAAAGTTTTTAACTACATATGCAGAAATACTAAAATGTGAAAAGTGTTCCTTATTATTTTTTAACAAATTTGAAGTAATAACACTTCAGATGTTTCTTAAAAAATAACTATTATGCCTTTGGTTTTGACTGATGTCCTTTGAATTATTATATTTCCTAGGTTCAAATTGAAGCCAGTCCGACTAAATCATTTGCACCAAATTCTGGTATACCTAACTCTGACATGGCCATTGATGATGTGGTTTTCCAGCAATGTAATCCGGTCACCATCTTCAATGCATCAACCAACGGTAATCCATATAAATCTTGTTGATTTAAAAACAGCTTTATATTCATTATATATATTGGGTATTGATATTTTATTTTATATTGACTCCCATAGAGTGTCATCTTTATAATTTGTACTTGACATTAACATTGTACATGTACAACAACATTATTTCAAGTTTCGTGATATTTGACATCCATTTCTTTAATATCCTTAGGATGTTTAGGTTCCTTGTCATGTCTTTTGTAGCTCTGAATTGTACATTTGAGTCTGGATGGTGTGGATACACACAGGACCAGAAGGATGATTTTGATTGGACGAGAACTAACATCAGTTCCCCCACTGTAGGAACAGGGCCTGATCGGGACCATACGTCAGGAAAAGGTAACTCTACCATCGGATCAAATCCCACAATAATGACAAAAGATTAATATTAATTGCTTTCAGCCATTAAAAAATTAAAAAATGAACAGATTACAAATTTTTTAACACGAGAAATGTCTCTGTTCGTAGGATTCTACATCTACATGGAGACCTCAGCCCCTCGCCGCCCGGGTCAAAGGGCAGTTATCTCGTCAGGTATAAACAAAGCCACGCCTCTCACTGGAATGTGTCTGAGATTCTGGTACCACATGTTTGGAGCTCACGTCAACACGCTGAATGTCTACCAGCAAACTCCCAGTGGGAACCAATCTCTGATCTGGACTCGATCTGGAACCCAGGGAAATGTCTGGAAACAGGGTCTACAAACTGTCAAGAGCTCTCAGCCATACGAGGTAATGACTGCTGGATTATTTATTCACTCTTGAGGTCTGTTCTAGGAGCCGTAAAACTTAGACGAGCTCACTTTTGATCTCAGTCTTACTTTCCCACTATTAATTCCTTTGGAAAAAGTGAGACTGAGTTCAAAAGTGAGCTCATTATGGACCCCAGTCCAGGACTTTAAGATAAATCTGATAAAATAAACAATACATTTTACTCCTCCACCAAAAGAAAAATGTAATTTAAGTATATTTGTACTGTATTAAGGGATGTATATAAAAGTATTTAGAAAAACTAAATAATTATTTGAATTTTGTTGTACATATAATTATGAAGGAATCAGGAAAATTACATTCTAAAATTAATATATCATTCTTCTTCTTACAGATTGTTTTTGAGGGGGTTGTAGGAAGTAGCTGGCAAGGAGACATAGCATTAGACGACATCAGTGTTGTCACTGGACCTTGCCCCCCTAAACGTAAGGCTTAATTAGCATACTGAAGAAACACACTGATATTTTGCTTGATTGAACCTAGGTTTTCTTAACAGTGATCATGATGATTTAGTGAGGAATATCTCTGTGTTTTAGGAACCTGTGACTTTGAGGCTGGATTCTGTGATTGGACACAGGACTTCAATGATCAATTTGATTGGACGAGACAGAGAAATGGTACGCTGTCTAGATTTACAGGCCCTCCTTATGATCACACCACAGAGAGCCAGTATGGTGAGTGTCAACGTCTTAAGTACTGTAAACCAACTTTTATTCGCGACGACTTTATTTCGCGATTTACCACGGATAAAGTAGTTCGCGACGATTTATTTTCGCGATCAAGCCTTTTTGGATCTGTTGTTAATAGACACATACACTCTAAAGACCGGTTCGCGGCGAGAAATATTTGCGATGACGAGGCTCTCGCGAACTTCGCGAAAATTTCTCGCATGCGAATAAAAGTTGGTTTACAGTAATCTTAGGAATTTAGGAGTAACTCATACAGTGTAAAACTTTTCAATGTTTTAAAAAATTTTAAAATTTGTCAGATATCTAGTAAAATTAGTTAAACTTTTAAAGTGAAACTTATTTTTTGTGGAAGAAAGATCTGAATGTTGAGGAGTTCTCAGTTCCATACTTTCTATTTATTTGTAGGATACTTTATCTACATTGAGTCCTCTGCCCCCAGGAGACAGGGGGATGCTGCCAGAATTGTCAGTGGTGTTTTCCCTCCCACCCCCAATGGAGACTGTCTACAGTTCTGGTACTACATGCAGGGTAACAACACAGGGAAGCTGAATGTCTATCTCCGTCCTAACGACGGTTCCTCCGACCGACTGCTGTTCCAGAGGGTGGGGAACCAGGCAGTAGAACTCTGGCTCTACCAGTCTCAGACCATCTATTCCAATTCTGTGTACCAGGTCAGTTTTATTATGCTTGTATCTCTAGATTTTAAAACTTCAGGCAAAAAGTAGTAATCACTCAGCATGTTATTACAGTCAAACTTTGTTATCACGAACACCAATATGTCGAATAACTTAGATATGTCTATGTGATTTGGAAGGCTTGACCAATTATTCTTTAAGTATTTTACCCTCAATATCTTGAATTCTCAGATATCTCGAAGTTTTTTCTTGGTCCCATCGAATTCGATATAACAAAGTTTGACTGTACTTTTTAGAATGCTATTGCAACTACCGTATAAGTGTAAGTTTTAGTGAGACGCAAATTAAGCAATTTGCCCTTAAAAACTGGTGACTTATATTTAGCGAGATGTTATTTTAGCGATTTTGAAATGTATATTAAAGAGGCTATTACAAATAAAATGCAATTAATTTTTGGCGATATTCAATTTTAGCCATTTCGGCACCCTCGCTAATAATGCCAAAATTAAATCCTCGCTAAAAATTCTACTAAATATACGGTATTTTGTAAAATACATTTGGCCAATCCACAAGAGTTTGAAACAGTAAAACAATCATTATGAAAGCTTTTGATTGTGACAACAGAGCAACAAAACAATTCATTCATTGGTATTTTTTACAAATCAATCTTTATTTATAGATTGTGTTTGAGGGAGTTATAGGTAACGGGTACATGGGAGACACTGCTCTGGACGACATCAAGATTCTGCCGGGTAAATGCTCCCCACCTGGCTACTGTGACTTTGAGACTGACACCTGTGGGTACAGTAACACACGAGCAGGAGATGATTTTGATTGGCTGAGAAGTGCCGGTGCCACCCTGACAGCTAACACTGGTCCCACTGTAGATCACACAACAGGCTCAGATAGGGGTCGGTATAACTACAGGAAAACATGTTTACACTGGACAGGATTATACTGAATAACTGCATAATAGGATGTCAATTTTGTCATCAAGTAATGCAAAAAAAAAACCACACACACTCCATGAAATATAAAGCAGGATTTTCATTTAAGTTCCCTTTATACACTGGTAAAATTTTTCTTTTTTTTACTTTTAGAAAATTATTTATGGTATTCTATTTTATATCAAATGGCGGGTCATTCTAACTACACAAAAGTATCCTGAATTTAGGGTGTAATGTAGAGGGGGTCCATGAATGGGGGCAATGTTATTTGTAACTGGGATTTGTTGTAAATCTTTTTAACGGTATGGGACACAAATATACGATTGGTCAAGTAAACAACACTAATCATCATGCAGTTCTTTCCATCATGAGTGAAATATTGAAACAAATGCAATATTGTTTATATAGGATTCTACATGTTCATTGAGACAACTGGTAGAAATCGTGGCCAGAGAGCCTGGTTCTACAGTCAGTATTTCCCACCAACCACCAGTTCCTGTATCAGCTTCTGGTATAACATGAACGGACCAAGTAAGTAGTCATCTGAAATCAATGAATCTTAAATATCAATACAGCAATCTTGAACCATGAGATTTAATTAATAAAATTAAGAGTTCAAAGCTTTTTATTCAGACAAAGAAATGGTTTGATATGATTGGACAATACCTTTTAATTATTGTCACTTCTCTATGCTACAGATGTGGGTGCCCTTCGTCTGTACAAGCCAGACCCCACCAGGACAGTAATGTTATGGAATGCCACAGGGAACCACCAGAATATCTGGCTACACGCCAATGTCGATGTCAAAAGCTCCACATGGTTCCAGGTAGGGTATTATTTTCTATGATATATCACTGACGTGTTAAAAGTAACACATCACTAATAATTTTTTCCTAGCTTTACTGTCAGTATATGACTTAAATTTTTTGACTTTTGCTGTATTGGATTGAAATCCGTATGCATATTTGTTAAGTTGGATTGAATTCTGTAGAAATACTGTTGTGGTAAGCCTGAATTCTATATTTTTTTGCTGTATTTATTAGATCACTTTTGATGGAGAAGTTGGAAATGGCTTTGCTGGAGACATTGCTATTGATGATGTTTCAATCCTGAATGGAACATGTGCATCACAAACCACTGCCATGACAACACCAATGATAGCATCTACTGTGTCCTATCGTGAGTTTCTTGTACCATTTTTCTAATAATGATAATTTCTTAGTCTTGTTTTGTGCACAAAATTGCTCCATGAAATAATGAAAACATCTAAAAAAAAATTTTTAATCCAAAACAGCTCCCTCTATGTATGACTGTACATTTGATGGCCCCCACCCCTGCCAGTGGACCCAGGAACATAATTCTGACATATTTGATTGGACGACTCATTCTGGGGGAACCTCCTCGGGTTTTACTGGTCCCAAGTCTGACCACACTCTGCAGAACAATCAGGGTGAGAATCCTAGAGGAAAATATAGTTGTAGCAAAAAAGTTAGAAAATAGCTAGGTGTAAAAAATGATTCAGATACAAAATTACCATAAGGAAACAGTTAAAGTCTTTAGATAACACTATTGAAGCTACATATAGTTGTTTACAATCTTTATTGTGATAGAATATTTTTTTTTATTTCATTTAAGGGACACTTTTGTTGGGGGATATGTATGTGAATCTTAATTAATGAAGTGTTTCTTTGTAACACAGGTCATTACATTTATATTGAGACCAGTTCCAGACATCCCAATGACACTGCCCAGTATGTGAGTCCACAGATGTCTGTAGACAATACCGGATCCTGTGTCAAGTTCTGGTACAATATGTATGGATCAGACATCAACAGACTCAATGTGTATGCCAAATTAAGTAAGTGTACAAATTTAAAATTGAATTTTTTACTGAACAAATAAAAAAAAAAGTTGTTGCTGGAGAAAGACCAAACTGAGAGGGGTTGTTTTGTTATCTGTGGAAAGTGCAATTTATAATGTCAAGTTTTAATGCTTAGATGGTAATCTGGGAACACCCGTTTGGACAAAGATTGGAGATCAAGGACCGCAGTGGAAGTTTGCCTCAGTCTTCATCAACTCAGCTGTGCTGAATCCTCCCAATCCATCAACCATAAATGTAAGAAAAAAAACCTAAACTATATATATGTACATACACTGTATTATATAGTTAAAGTATATAATTTATATAAGGAATATGCTCTTTGCAAGGGGATGCTTGACTTTGCAGTGCCCTTGTTTTTGCTGCAATTTTTTTCCATTCACATAAGTCATTATTTTTTGTGCTTACAGGTGGTATTTGAGGGCGTGGTAGGAAAAGGTTACAAAGGAGACATTGCAGTAGATGATATTTTTGTCAACACAGGAGCTTGCCCACCATCTGGTTAGTACAGATAAAATTCTACGTGCTTATTAACTGATTTCAAGGGGTATAAGATGGAATAAAATTTTGAGAAAAAGAATAAAATTCTGTTGTAGTTGTTGATATGAAACCATAAATGCTAGTTGAAACATGACTGACAATATCATTCTTAGTATTGTAAAGGATAGCTAATATTCATTTGTATTATCAATTTTAATATTCAGAGACTTTTTTCCTGTTTTTACAGATACATGTGACTTTGAAAACAGTGATTTGTGTGGATATAAACAAGATAAAACCGATGATTTTGATTGGACAAGAAATACTGGTGGAACTGGATCAAGAGGCACAGGGCCCAGTTCAGATCACACTTATGGAACAAATGATGGTAAAATGTTTTGATGATACTTAGTTTGAAGATCTCAACTTTAATACAGGACATGTTAGGTCTCAGTATTAGAATGATGGCAAAGTATATTTATATGATGTACAATTTGTACTCAGTGGAGGGTCCTGTATCTTCTTTGTTGCTAAATTATTACTCATTTTTCAGTCTTAATATTTAACTTTGATATAAAACACAATTAGCTTTACTGAATGTTTGTTTTCTGAAATTTATGTTTTTTTAACATTGACAGGTCATTATATGTACATTGAGACCTCGGCCCCCCGACTTCCCGGTCAGAAGGCCCGCCTCCTCTCCCCCACCTATCCCCCCACCACTGGACGCTGTATGACCTTCTTCTATCACATGTATGGTGCAGTAGGAACCCTCAATGTTAGACTCTTCTCCCAGGGAACTCTACAACCTGCCATCTGGACCAGGTCACGCAATCAGTACAACATGTGGAGAATTGGGCAGGTTACGCTCAACAGCAATTCCCCCTATCAGGTCAGTGAACGGGACTACAAGTGTTTCAATTAAAATGAATTAGGTAGTACTTATTATTTAAAAAAAAAGATTATTCTATCTAGAATTTGCTTCCCAGTACGAAGACTTAAAAACTCTTAAGTAAGAAGACTTAAAAAAACACATCTTTTTTGATGTGGTTATAGCATTGGTAAATAAGTGTTTGTGTATACTCAGGTTACATTTGAGGGAATCAGAGGAAGGTCCTACTTGGGAGACATAGCCATTGATGACATCAGCATCAAAGATGGAGCCTGTCCAGCACCAGGAAGCTGTAACTTTGAGACTGACTTCTGCACCTGGACCAACACAATGACAGGAGATGATTTTGATTGGTTGAGAAACAAAGGAGCCACTGGTAGCTCCAGAACTGGCCCTTCTGTTGACCACACTGTAGGAAATGCTAATGGTAAGTGTTCAGGCAAAATAACATAAAATTCAAATTAGTTTCCAAGAACTCAAAATAATTTCATAAAACAGAGGAGCAAGGAATGCATCAACTTTGTACTTTTCTAATAAGAAAAATATTTTTTATGTAATAATTACTTTTTCAGGATACTATGCCTACATTGAAGCCTCCGCTCCAAGAAAGCCAGGTGACAAAGCAGTTTTACAGTCCACCACCCTGAGTGCCACCACTGCTAGCTGTTTCTCCTTCTGGTACTTCATGTATGGAGCACAAGTGGGGTCTCTCAGCCTCAGAAAGGAATTTTTAGGCTCCACCCAGTACGGCACTGCCATCCCTCTTTGGTCGATGACCGGCAACACTGGACAGAAGTGGATCAAAGCCAGTGTCAACATTACCAGTCGAGTGGAGTACATCCTGACCTTCACAGGGGTCGAGGGTCAAGGGTTCACTGGAGACATTGCCATTGATGACATCAGCCTGACATCTGGAGTCTGCTCTGGATCAGCTGGACAGATATCCTTCAGTTGTGGGGATGGAACCACCTACACACAGAGTCAGCAGTGTGATTTCAACAGGGATTGCACCAACGGAGCAGACGAGAAGAACTGTGGCAATTGTACATTTGATGGAAGCTCAGGACTTTGTGGCTGGTTTGATAACAGTGCTGGCTCATTCCGCTGGGAAAGACACAACAATGGTACAGAGACTGCTAACACAGGACCCTCAAATGACCATACCTACGGAGATGCTACCCATTATTACATGTATGTAGATGCCAGCTATGGAGTTTCCAACTCAAGAGCTGCCTTGAGAGGGCCCACTCTCCAACAAGCCGCTGACACCTGTCAGATGACATTTTACTATCATATGTATGGCACTCGCATTGGTCGATTGTACGTCTATGTGGTCACAGGAGGAGCACCCACACTCCTAGCTAACATTTATGGAAATCATGGCAACCAGTGGAACAAGTACACTGTCAACATTGGTCGTAGAACTGCTCCCTTCAACGTTGAGTTCCGAGCCTATCGCAGCTACACTGTGATTGGGGACATAGGAATTGATGATGTGTCTTTTGTGAATTGTGGACTTCCTCCAGTACAGAGTTCTTGTCCTTCCACCCAGTTCACGTGTCAGCGTGGATCGTGTGTGGATATGTCCCGAGTCTGTGATTACACTGACGACTGTGGAGACAACTCTGATGAAACCGGACCAAATGCTCACTGTGACCAACTCCCAGCTCGATGCGACTTCTCCACTTCCCTTTGTGACTGGGTACAAGATAGAGGAGATAAATTTGACTGGAGCCGAAGGAATTCTCCCACTCCATCAACAGCCACTGGGCCTACAAGAGACCACACCACTGGACTCAGAACTGGAGGGTTCATCTACATAGAGTCCTCCAGACCCAGGAGACGAGGTGATAATGCTGTACTTCTCAGTAGTATGTACAACACAGCACAAACCCAGGACCAATGTAAAGTTACTTTCTATTACAACATGAATGGCCGTACCATGGGAACTCTGAATGTGTACACAATGGACACCAACAACCATCTCAGTAAAGTGTTCACTGTTTCTGGAAATCGTGGAGATATTTGGGTCAAGACCACAGTCAATCTCGTCAGTCCATACCCATTCCAGGTTCTTCTAGAAGGAGTGGTAGGAAGTGGGTACTATAGTGATATTGCTATAGATGACACTGTCTTCAGTAAAGGATGCAAGAAACTGAATCAGACTTTTGCCACTGCCATTACAATCCCTCCAACTGCTCCAACAGCCAACCCTTGTGGAAGTGGACAGTTCTCATGTGCTGACAGGTCTACCTGTATCCCAGCACAGAAGGTGTGTGACTGGAATGTCGACTGCACAGATGGATCGGATGAAGCCACTTGTGGACCCTGTAACTTTGAGAATGGATTGTGTGGATGGAGAGATCTTAGCACTGGACGCTACAACTGGACCAGGCACTCAGGCACACAGAACAGTGGGACTGCTGTAGGACCTGTCACTGACCATAGCACCAAAACATCTGCTGGCCATTATGCTTATGTGGAAGGAACTTTTGGAGTCTTCCTCAGTAAAGCTGTGCTTCAGAGTCCTGCCCTCCCACCTGCAGCAGACACCTGTGAGATGTACTTCTACTATAACATGAATGGAATGCATGCAGGAAGCTTAATTGTCAGTGCCCTAGTCAACAACACTAAAACATCACTCTTCAGAATCAGTGGACCTCATGGATCAGCCTGGCAGAAAGGAACTGCTTACATTGGCAAGGCCCTTGGAAAGACAACAGGCCAGTTCAGTTTGATGTTTGAGGTCCTCCCATCCAGAGGTTTCTCTCCCTCTCCAACTGATGATATAGCTATTGATGACATCTCCTTTGCCAATTGCTACCCACTTGCTCCACCTCCAAACTTGGCCTGTGATTTCTCTCAAGATTTCTGCAACTGGAACCAAGCTCCTGATGATGACTTTGACTGGACCAGAACAAATGGTTCCACCAAGAGTGTTGGAACTGGACCAAGATTTGACCACACCACAGGGTCAGGGAAAGGATACTATGCATACATCGAGACGTCTGCACCCAGACATAGAGGAGATGTGGCTATCCTGGACAGCAATCCCCTGCCTCCCACTCCATCACAGGGCCATTGTCTGACATTCTGGTACTACATGTTTGGAAACAACATAGGAAGTCTCAATATTTACTTGGTGACAAGCACAAATAGAACTCTGTTTTGGTCAAGAAATGGAACCCAAGGAGATGCCTGGAAAATGGCTCAGAGACAGATTATTTCCAATACAGATTTCAAAATCTCTGTGTATGGAGTTGTTGGCAATGGGTATCAAGGAGATATAGCTATTGATGACTTCAATATTACCACTGGTGTGTGCCCACCAAAACCTGGATGCGACTTTGAAGATGGAACCTTCTGTGATTGGAAAAACTCACTGATGGATGATTTTGACTGGACAATTGGCCAGAATGGCACAGCATCTATTGGAACAGGTCCACCATTTGACCACACATTTGGATCCAGCACTGGTCACTTTGCCTACATAGAAAGTTCAGCTCCAAGACACCCGAATGATCAAGCCATTCTCGTCAGTAGGTTCTTAGATGGCAGTGCTGCTAGATGTCTCAGATTCTGGTACCATATGTATGGAGCCAGCATTGGTTCCCTAAATGTATACCAAGGAGCTAATGGCTCTCAGATTCCAGATCAAGTCTGGACAAGAAATGGAGATCAAGAGAACATTTGGAGGAGAGCCACTGTCCCACTGAAGCAATTACCAGGCAAGCAGTACCAGATTCTCATCAAAGGCGTCAGGGGTACAGGATACCGGGGAGACATTGCTATTGATGATCTGCTGATAACAGATGGTCAGTGCCCTCCAGATGGATCCTGTGACTTTGAACAGGACACTTGTGGATGGACTAATGCATTGGCTGGAGATAACTTTGACTGGCTTAGAGATTATGGAGGAACACCATCTTCTACAACAGGCCCCCAAGTAGACCACACTCTAGGAACTAAAGCAGGTTACTACATGTACATTGAAACCTCTGGAAACAACAGGACAGTTGGAGAGAGAGCTTGGCTGATCAGTGATATTCTAACAAGAACCACAGGGAACTGTGTTTATTTCTGGTATCACATGTATGGAGCAGGTGTTGGAGCATTGAATGTATACAAACAAGACTTCTTCAATAAGCAGAAAACTTTGGCCTTCAGTCTTAGTGGAAATCAAGGAAATGCATGGCAACAAGCCTCAGTCAACTTTGCCTCTGATCATGAGTACACTGTAATATTTGAGGGAGTCTATGGTGGAAATTATACAGGAGACATTGCCATTGATGATATCCTCATTACAGCCAATCCATGCTCTGCCACCACACCAACACCAGCCATTTCTATGGCAACGACTCCTGCAGTGTTCCCTAAAACAGCTGTGGACTGTGACTTTGAGACAGGACTCTGCTCTTGGAACCAAGATGTTGGAGATGATTTTAATTGGTCAATAAAGAATGGAACAACCAGCTCTGGCAACACTGGACCTACAGCTGACCATACACTGCAGAATAATCTCGGTCATTATATTTATATTGAAGTATCAGGAAAGCTTCCAAATACAACAGCAAGAATAATAAGTCCTTCAGTTTATGTCAAGTCTGCTGGTGTGTGCTTGAAATTCTGGTACAACATGTATGGTGCTCACATCAACAATCTCAACCTTTATGTCCAAAATGTGTCATCCACCAAGAAACAGATACTGTGGAACAAGCATGGAAGCCAAGGTACAGACTGGAAGTATGCCCAGGTCCATCTCCAGAGCCAAGGACAAGTCAAGTTTGTGTTTGAAGGTGTAGCGGGTGTCAGCTACCAGGGAGATATTGCTCTGGATGATATCTCACTGAACCAAGGCCTGTGTCCAGGGTCCCCAACTTGTGACTTTGAGGATGGCATGTGTGGATATACTCAAGATGTCTCTGATCAGTTTGACTGGACACTGCATTCCTCTCGTACAGTAAGTTCAAGCACAGGACCAGCAAGTGATCATACATATGGCACATCACAGGGCCATTATGTGTACATTGAATCATCTGCTCCCAGGAGAATGGGTGACAAAGCAAGAATTGATAGTCCTTCCTTCCCAGCTACTACAGGCACTGGATCCTGTCTTACCTTCTGGTACAGTATGTATGGACGTAGCATTGGTTCACTGAATGTCTATCTCAAACAAGGAACTTCCAGCCAGCTTCGGGCTCCTGTTTGGACCTTGTCAGGAAATCAAGGCAGTAGTTGGAGAATTGCACAAACAACTATTAACAGTCCAACATCATTTAGACTGACTTTTGAGGGAACGGTGGGCAGTGGATACCAAGGAGACATTGCTATTGATGATATCAATCTGGTCAGTGGAGCCTGCCCACCTCCAGGAAGCTGTGACTTTGAGAAGAATCTGTGTACATGGACCAATGTCCGAGGTAATGATACATTTGATTGGGAGAGACATAAGGGAAGAACGAAAAGTTTTGGTACAGGACCATCCACAGATCACACACTGAAGACCATCTATGGCTCCTACATGTACATTGAAGCTTCTGCTCCAAGAACACATGGTGACAAGGCATGGCTAGCCTCCCAAACGTTTGAAAGCTCAAAGACCCCTGTCCGCTGTATAACTTTCTGGTACAACATGTATGGTACTGGTATAGGAACCCTGAATGTCTATCAAAATTTCTTCATGTCTAATCCAAAACAAGTGTTCACACTCTCAGGCAATCAAGGACAGGGCTGGAAACAAGGAAGCGCTGAGCTGACATCTACCAATGGTCAAGACTACCTGATCCTTATTGAAGGAGTAGTGGGCAGTATCATGGGTGACATTGCTATAGATGATATTTCCATCACTTCAGGACACTGTACCACACCAACAGTGAACCCCACCTGTCCCTTCCAGTGCTCCAATGGACAATGTTTGAAGAGCATTAATAATGTTTGTGACTTTAACAGTGATTGTCCAAACGGTGAAGATGAATCAAATTGTGGCTTTAACTGTGACTTTGAGAAGAATCACCCAACATGTAAATGGAATAGCACATCATCAGGATTCCAATGGATGACTTCCAGTGGGTCTTCCTCCTCTCAAAATACAAACAAACCCAGCACTGACCACACAACTCTAGGACCAAATGGCTACTACATGTATGTGGCCCCCAAGGCTGGAGTGTATAGTCGATTAGCTGATCTAACAAGCCCTGTTATTGGTCAGTCATCAAGCACCTGTCAACTGTCTTTCTGGTATCACATGAGAGGCAGCCAGTTCCTTCGAGTTTATCTCAAAGAGTTGAGTGGTTTTACAAGAACTCAAATTTTCTATCTGTATGGAGACCAAGGAAATGTTTGGAAACAGGCTATTATTCCCATCGGGAGAGTGCATTCCCAATTTCAGATCATAATCTCAGGACAAAGAACCTACAGTGGTGTGGGTGACATTGCAGTGGATGATATAAATTTCCAGGGTTGTGCGTTCCCAACATCCACTGCCTGCAACTCGTTTGTGACATTTAAATGTGCCAGTGGAGCCTGTGTAAACCAGAACCGAGTGTGTGATTATTCCGATGACTGTGGAGACAACACAGATGAAGCAAATGGTACTTGTGCTGGATATAACAGATGTAACTTTGAGAAAGGACTCTGTGACTGGACTCAGCTTACAGATGACGACCTAGACTGGACTCTCCGCGCTGGTCCAACTCCATCTGCCGGTACTGGGCCTACCAAAGATCACACTCTGAACACAAATACAGGACATTACCTCTACTTAGAAACCTCCAGGCCAGTCGCACAAGGACAGAAAGCCAGAATCGCAAGTACAGCCTTCCAGCAGTCCTCATCATCACCGTACTGTCAGTTCCGCTTCTTCTACTTCATGTATGGCAAAACAGTGGACACCCTTACAGTCTATTACAGAAATCAGATTTATGGACCACTGTTTAAAGTTTTCTCTGTACATGGCAATGTTGGTTCTTACTATGCCAGACAAGTGGTCAACATCAGATCCTCCTCTCCATTCCAAGTGGTGATAGAAGCCACAGCAGGAGCAAGCTATCTGTCAGATATAGCCATTGATGATGTTTCCTTCTCCTCCAACTGTCAGGTGTACTACGGGAACTTGCCCCTGGGAACTCCCGCCACTACTGTCCCCACTTCTCCTGGCCCCTGTAATGGAGGTCACCAGTGTGGGGATTCTAGCTGTGTGCCCTGGTACCAAGTCTGTGACTTCGTTTCTCAGTGCTCTGATGGATCAGATGAAGCAGCCTGTGGACAGTGTAACTTTGAGAAGTCAAGCTGTGGGTGGATTCCTATCCCTGGTGGAAGATACGCCTGGAAGAGACACAATTCCTCCACTCCAACCTCTTTCAATACACCTCAAAATGATCACACTTACGGAACAAGTCAAGTTGGAAACTACATGTACATTGATGCCTCCTCAGGTTCATATGCAACAGATACTAGATTAGTCTCCCCAGTGTATGGCAATCTGAGCTCCACATGCAGTATATCATTTGCTTACTACACCAATGTAGGGCCTTTCAGCAGACTTAATCTCTACCTGTATCCTCCCCACTCTGACCCAACAACTGCTAGCAGCAGACTTTTCTACAGATTATGGACATCCTCAAGCCTTGTGGGCCGTCAATGGCAGAATGCCACAGTAGGAATAGGAAACCGAGACCCAGGCTACAGACTCGCTTTTGTAGCAAGAAACTTTGACAGAAATAGGGGAGGTATAGCCATTGATGATGTGGTCTTTAACACTTGTGCTCTACCAGCTGTAGGACAGTGTGCTTCCAATCAGTTCAAATGTCGTAGAGGAGCTTGTGTGGACATGACCAGGAAATGTGACTTCTCTAATGACTGTGGTGATAATTCAGATGAGGTGGGATGCAGTAGCTATGTTGAAAGATGCAACTTTGAAAGTGACATCTGTAACTGGCAACAAGACATCAATGACATGTTTGACTGGACCTGGAAACAAGGTGCCACAGCCACTGCAGGAACTGGACCAAACTTTGACCACACCTTTGGAAACTCTACTGGACATTACATCTACATAGAGACCTCATCCCCCCGTGTACAAGGTGATAAGGCACGCCTTTTGTCCCCAGTGTTCCAAGCCAACTCCCAGGCTGGTCAGTGTCAGATGAGATTCTTCTATCACATGAATGGAATAGATGTTAATGCACTGAATGTATACCTAGAAAATTATGAAATGGGACCAAGAACAGCAGTGTTCCAGAAGACTGGTTCTCAAGCTGATATGTGGCTTCGTGCTATGATTGATCTAACCAGTAATCTTCCTTTCAGAGTTGTGATTGAAGGCATCCGTGGAAAGGGTTATCATGGGGACATTGCTTTAGATGATGTATCCTTCACTAGTGGCTGTAAAGTGGCCAATTCATACCATCTTCCTCAAGCTCTCACCACCATTGGTCCATGTGGAGCTGGAAAGGGCCAGTGTAGCAATGGACAGTGTATCAAGGCTACCATGTTCTGTGACTTCAAGGTAGATTGCAGTGATGGAAGTGATGAACAGTCTTGTCCCAGTACATGTAACTTTGACAATGGACAGTTCTGTAACTGGCAGAATGATCTAAACACGAACACCCTTAACTGGACAATAGGAAGTAACAACAACCCAGCACCCAGTCCAGCAACAGACCATACTTCAGGTTCTGCTGCAGGAAAGTTTGCTCTGGTCCAAACTCAGTCTTCAACTACCAGTCGCAAGATTGCTCGACTGGTAAGTCCAATGTACTACCAAGCAGGAACAGCTTGTACTTTCACAATGTGGTATAACTCAAATGGAACAGGAATCACTCATCTTGGAGTTTATTTCACTCAAGGAGAAAGTTACAGAAATATATGGACCATGACTGGCACTCAACTCAGAGCCACCCAAAGAGTTTGGACAAAAGCAACTGTGGAACTACCGAAATGTCCAATGAACTTTAAGGTAACCATTGAAGTGGCTACATATGGAAGACAAACCAACTATGTAGCCATTGATGACTTAGCCTTCACACAGTGCCACTATTTGCCTCCAACTTCCTCATGTTTGCTTGGACAATTCACCTGCAGTTCAGGAAATTGTGTACCACAGAATCTCAAATGTGATCTCCAGACAGACTGCTGTGATGGATCTGATGAAAGTCCAAGCACCTGTGCAGGATATCAACAATGTAACTTTGAGTATGGACTTTGTGGATGGCAACAATCCACTACTGATCAGTTTGATTGGCTGAGACACCAAGGACCAACCAATTCTTATGGCACAGGGCCATCAGGAGATCACACCTATGGATCAAGGACTGGATACTACATGTACATTGAATCCTCCAGGCCTAGACAAGCAAATGATACAGCTCAGCTGATCTACAATTTGAATGTCCCAACATCCCCTTGTGCAATGAGACTTTGGTACCACATGTATGGTAAAAATGTTGGTCAGCTTAATGTCTACATTAAAACCTTAAACACGGGGACACTTCTTCTAAAGAGCATTTCATCCAACCAGAACCAGACCTGGCACAGACTGGAAGTCGCTCTTCAAAGCACAACACCATACCAGGTGGTGATAGAAGGAAAGGTGGGAGTAGGATACCTTGGAGACATTGCTATTGATGACATAAGCTTCACTCCAGGTTGTGGATCCGTCATTCAACCGTTCACTACCCCAGCAGTTTCTACACCAAATCCAAACACATGTGGGGATGGACAATTCGCTTGTGGGGATGGTACCTGCATATCTATATCCAAGGTCTGCAACTTCCAATCAGACTGTAAAGACAACTCCGATGAAAACCAGTGTCCACTAACATGCAACTTTGAACAAGATACTTGTGGCTGGCATGAACTTCCTCTAGATCAGTTTGACTGGACAAGGGCGAATGGAGTATCTACATCTTCTAACAGGAGCATGGCTCCAAACACAGACGATACATATAAGAATCAAAATGGCTATTACATGTACATCAACGATCAAACAGGTGGACAAACTAGTGGACTTGCAGCAGGGCTCCAGAGTTCAGCCTTCAAGTCAGCTAATGCAGACTGTAAGATATCCTTTGCCTACTACACAATTGGTTCAAAGGTGGGAACTCTATATTTATATGTAGTGGAAAATAATGCCTTGACACCTCTATGGAGAAGGCTGCCCTACCCCGCATTGGATGATCAGTGGCATAGTGTTACTGTTGGAATTGGCAGAAGAACCACAGACTTCAACATGCTGTTCAAGAAGGTTGTGACAGGTTACAGTGGTACTACAGCCATAGATGATATCAGCTTCACAGACTGCAGGATGAGGCCCCCTGTCACCCAGTGTAACACCGTCACCCACTTCTGGTGCTCCAACAAAGTGTGTATCCCCAAGAACAAGCAGTGTGACAATGTGGATGACTGCGGGGATGGAAGTGACGAGGGAAGTCTGACTTGTAATGGCTACACACGCTACAACTTTGAGGTGGGAACCGGAAATCTGATCCAGGGACAGAATGGGGTAGACGATGACTTTGACTGGAGCTTGTTTGCTGGACACACTCCATCTACCTTCACAGGACCCCAGTGGGACCACACGTACGGAAACAGCACTGGACATTACCTGTATATGGAAGCCTCGAAACAGAAGTTCAACTCCAAGGCTTGGATTCTTACAGCTCCATTCTACCGCACTAATGGCAGGAACTGTGTGATGAGGCTGTATTACTTTATGTACGGACTCTATGTCAACCAACTGAATGTGTATTCCAGAATGTACTCGTCTGGTCCTCCAACTCACACCCTCTTCTCAAGGTAGGCTTCATAAACTGTGAATATTAATGACTTTTTACTGGAAATTTCTCTTTATAAAAACCTTGTTTGTGTTATTATGCCATTTAGAGGGAAAGTTGTACATTATAACAGAATATTGGGAGAGTTTTGGTACTGTGTTTCAGGTCTGGTGAACAAGGTGCTTATTGGCAGGAGGTCATTCTTCCTCTGAACTACTCTACAGACTTCCAAATCATCATCGAGGCCAAGGTTGGAGATAACTTCCTGGGTGACATTGCCATTGATGACATTAGCTTCACCCCAGACTGTCAGGCCTCTTCCAACACCCTCCCAGCCCCACCTGCTGGTCAGTCTACAGTCCGCCCTCCCGTTAGTACTGGACCATCAAACTGTAACCCGACCAGTCAGTTTACCTGTGTGACAGACAGAAGCTGTATCAGTAAAAGCCAAGTGTGTGACTTCAGAAAGAACTGTGCTGATGGATCAGATGAAGCCCAGTGTGGTACGTACTATAAGATATTTTAATTTTACCCAAATTGAACTTGCATAGAATTTCTTGTGAACTCTAAGAACATTGAATTTATTTTAAATCCAGATAAAAGGAATGCTCTTCAATATTATGTTTGCATATAAAGAAGGTTTTATTTAGAAAAGTTTCAAAAGAATTTAAAATAAGATGACTATCATGTGTAATTTTTTTTTGCTTACAGTGCCCACATTCTGTAGTTTTGACAACGGCACCCTGTGTAACTGGAGAATCAATGCCTCTCACTCTACGGCCCCTGATCAGACCTACAAATGGAAGGTGGACACGGCCGGTACAGCCGCACCAGGAGACTACAGACCTACAGAGGATCAGGCAGGATTCAGTAAGTTGTCATGTAGTGAGAGAGAGAGTGGGAGATTTTTTTGTGACCATCTTATTTTGACATTATTTGCAATGGTCTTGGCAGTGTTAAAATTCAATTTAAAAAGTTTTCCAAGAAAACAAGCATTCTGAGAGTATTGCCTTAGCAAAATTAGTCCCTTACCTGCAAGTGTAATCTGGTTCCCTTTTAAAATTGAAAATACATTGTGTTTTCATTATTTTGTGTAATCTTGTGCAGCAGCCAGTCACATCTCTCTTTACCTCTTAGTTCTGTAGTATATTATTTTGTTGTTTTCAGGAGGAGGTTGGTATGTGTGGGCTGACAGCTCCCCTGGTTCCTTCAGAGATACCACTGAGTTGTACACACCCATGATAGGACAGACCGGTCCTCAATGTAAACTAGTTCTGTATTACTGGATGCAAGGCCACGCCAGACACTCCATGGAAATTTATGTCAAGATCAACAACAAAACAGAGCATCTCTGGGCAGGAGAAGGTGAGAAAACATGACATTTTCTTAACACCATTTGTATTTGAACATACAAAATTGATAAAAAAGTTGGAACATTTTTGAGAATCATACAGTTTGCCAAAATTAATTATTGTGTGTGCATGTGTGAGTGAAGGTGATTAATATGATTGTTAATTTGAGTTCATTCATATCTCGCAGATGACCATGGCAAAGAATGGCAACATTTGGAAGTGTTCATTGGACCACGACAGAACTTTAATTTAGTCATTCAAGCGCGACGAGGTAGATCTTACATTGGGGACCTCTCGGTTGACAGCATTAACTTCCTCAACTGTCAGCCGCCTGTGGCTCTCCCCCAGGGCTGTCCCGCCAAAACATTCCAGTGTAACAACGGCTACTGCGTCAAACAAAACCTCAAGTGTGACTACTCCAACGACTGTGGAGATAACTCCGATGAAATTGTGAGTACACTTGTACTCTTGTCATTCATAAAAATGGCATAATGTAAACCAACTTTTATTCATGTCATCTTTTATTCTTGATTCATCGATTTAAAATCAATCCGCCACAATCAATTTTCGTGACTGAGGAAACATTCTCTACAAATACTAAGCAAAATGATTGGTTCACTGCCATTAATATTCGTGATATGAAGTAGATTATGAAACTCTCGAATATTACTCACACATGAATAAAAGTTGGTTAACAGTATTCTACATGACCATATACAATCCATTATTTCACAAAAAGAAGGCCAACACTGAAACCAGATTTTCATTGCTTGTACATGTAAATACTAACATTGAAAAAATTATTTAATATTTATTCATTTGTATTTACAGTACTTTATTCAGATGAATTCGTGACATTTACCTTATGACTAGACTTTTCTTTAAGTAGACCTCTCTGTTTGTAGGCCGTTGAATGTGATCAAACCTATAAGGGTCGGTGTAACTTTGAGCATGGGATCTGTCCTCAGTGGCAGAACGACCCATCTGCCAAGTTTAACTGGCAACTCTCATCAGGTCGTACAGCAAGTGCAGGAACTGGTCCCCTGGGAGACCACACAACAAGATCTCAATCAGGTATATCTCACAAATTTGTGGGACACTATTAAGTGATATGTTTGTCATGTTGTTGAGTTATTTTGGAATACTTTGTAATTTTTGAATTCCTTGAGGTTAATTTTGGTGGATAACCAAAGTTTTACTGGTTCATTGGAATAAAATTTCAAGGGGAAACATTTCTAAACCAACATGTTAATGACTTGAGAAGTTAACAATGTTATGATTCTTGAGGACTGAAGTTTTATTTTAACTGTGACCTGTGAAATCCATGAACATTTTGTGAATACAAATACATGTATTGCATTTCAAATTTCAGGAACATATCTCTACATTGAAAGTTCAAGCCCAAGAAAACCAGGTGATACAGCTCGACTGAACTCAGCCACCATCAAGGCAGCATCTCGAGACTGCACAGTAAGTTACTTGTACACAAAACATTAGCAGGAAATGTATTTAATGGACCATATTTAACCATCCATGCAGTGTTACTATGTCCGAGTTAAAACTAACACTTTTTTTTTAAACTGTAGCTGAGATTATACTTCCACATGTTTGGAGCCAACATGGGAACGTTCAACATCAAGAAGCGATACAGCTTTGTCACAGAAGATCTGGAAATGCTCTACTCCTGGAGTGGTAACCGTGGAGATTTCTGGTATCGATTTGAACAAAACCTGACGACCAGTGATCCAAGAGACAGTGTAAATCACTTTTTATTCCGTGTAATTAGAGACTTTCGCGATTCTCGCGTATAATAATATTCCTTAAGAATATATAGCATAACCACAATTCGTGAAAAGCTAATGTAATTTTAAATATTGCAGTAATAAATTGCAAAGAACAAATGAAGTAGATTTAAGCAATTTTCAACTTTTGCATTTTGATTGCAGATTGTACTTGAAGGAATTGTGGGTAATGGTTACTATGGAGACATTGCCATTGATGACATCTCCTTGACCCCAGGTTGCCAGTTTGCAACCAGTGAGTATAAATGTCCTGAGTTGTACTATTTTGTTACAGTATACATGTATGTGCTCTCAATGTTGAATAACCTCCAAGCTGGTTATTAACTAATTAAGGAGAATAAATCTTGTTCAGAGGATAATACTATTTATTACATTTTTACCCGATAAATACTGTAATTTATTCATTGAATAAAAATGATATCCTGTCACAGTGTATATCCTGTCACAGTGTGACGAATATCAGAAGTGCGGGAAAACTCTCGATTTCCATTCCCATAACGAAGTTTGCTGTAAAAAAATCTTCCTTGACCTAACATAAGATAGATGGAAATAAATAAACCATTCTGACAGCGAATAAAACTGTCAAAATGACCAAAAATATGTAGCTAAATCCATGTTTACAGTGTTTTCACTTCAACTCTCAACAGCCCAACTAATCACGAGCCTATGACTGTATTACAAAAAGACAGAGGCAAAGGAAAAATCAAAGATTTTTTTTTAAAATGTGAAAATTCAATGTTTTGTAAGATAATACTATAACCTATATCATTTTACAAAACATTGAATATCCTCTATAACCTATATCATTTTAGCTCAAATCCCAGGAGTCCCCACCCCTGCTCCTACACTCCCTGGAGCGTGTGGGGCCAATAAATTAACCTGTGGTAACGGAAATTGTTACAGCCAGTCACAGAAGTGTAACTTTAGGGATGACTGCGGAGATAATAGCGATGAAGTTAACTGTGGTCAGTATATTTCTTATAAATTTGGGTTAAGTGTACTTTTCACTGCCATAATTTTAACCTTTTATTGTGCAAATTGACCTTTCTTTATGTGCTTTATACAGCATTATTTTCCTCTCCCATATGGTTTTTGCCCAAATCTAATTAAAAAATGGAACTCTGTTGAGTTTGCCTCTTTAAAAGAAAATAATACACAAAAATTCCCAGTATATTATATCTCTAAATGCTGTGATAACCAATGGGGGAGTTAGAAGAATGTATTATAGAGAGCAGTGTTTGAAAGTTTGTAGCCTAACTTCTGTAAATATCAAAAATAAATTATAAAATTTTGAATTTGATTTCCAGGCACTTCCTGTAAATTTGAGTCTGGTGCTGGACTCTGTGGGTGGCACAACTCCCTCAATGATAACCTGGACTGGAAGCTGTTGTCTGGCCCTACCCCCAGTAAAAACACAGGTCCACAAAATGACCACACCCTAGGAACAGCATCAGGTAATGGAGACTAATGTCATAGATAAATGTACTGTCAAGGACAGTGACGTAGACTAGAAATCAGGAATAGAAATCGTAAATTAAAAAAGTAGCAAGAATATATTTCATGTTTAAATGATTTTAAGACAAAATATTGACTTTGTTTAATTTGTCAATCAAAAAGTTTTTCCTTAAAAATCCTTTTACCACATGATTGTCTTCTTCCTTGTTGAAATTATTTTATGTACCCTTGCACTAAAACTAAGTGTTTAAATCAATATACTCACTCATGAATTAATGCCCTTTGAATTTAAGGCCATTATCTGTATGTGGAGAGCTCTAACCCAGCCCACCCTCAAGACAAAGCCCTACTGGAGAGTGCTGTGTACTACCAATCTGGTCCACTCTGTAACCTCACCTTCTGGTACAACATGAACGGTCAACAGATAGGAACACTCCAGGTCCTCCTCAAGACCAGCATCAGTAACCAGCTACTGACCCTCTGGCAGAAGACCGGGAACCAAGGCCCCGCCTGGAAACAGGCCTCCATCCCTATTCGAAGTCAGAGCCAGTTCGCCATCATCTTTGAGGCCAGGACAGGGTTCGGATACCTGGGCGATATTGCTATAGATGACATCATGTACACTGGCTGTGATACAGGTAACCTGAGGAGGTTTCTACTAGAATACATGACTTTTTTCGTGGAATTGGAATGCTAGTGATTCTAGAATGTTGATTTTAATTTTTTGGTATTATCAGGTCAGAAAACTGCCAGTTGTCTCCCCTCCCAGTTCATGTGCACTGACCAGACAATGTGTATAGACAGGAGATACAGGTGTGATGAGAAGGTGGACTGTAGTGACGGATCCGATGAAGACAACTGTAGTATGTACTCTTAAATTGCTCCCTATGTGTGCAGTGATTATGCAACTTTTCTCTCACAGTAAAATTGAATGTATAGTCAAACCTCCATTTTCTCAAATCCAATGTGACCATGAAAATTACTTTGAGATTTCTGAGGCATTTGGAATATCAAGGTTACAAAGCAAAAAATGCTAGGGACTCCAAACTTGCTTTGACAAATCAATGGTATTGGAGATATGTGTTTGAGGTATCAGAGCTCAACTGAACGTGAGGTAATTTGTCTATTGTAGGACCATTTAATGGTGACTGTAGTTTTGAGACGTCCCTTTCTCAGTGTGAATGGACACAGAGTGATGGAGATGATGGAGACTGGACATTAGCCCAGACCACAATTAACGGTCCAAAGAGGGACCACAGAAATACTGCTACAGGTAACCGGAAAGATGGCCAAAATAGGATAAAACCTAATCAAAAAAGATAAATTTTTTAATAACTTACAATTTCTCAAGTCTGAATGTCCTTTATAGAAAGAAGAAATGCTTCTATATACTTAACTTTCACACTTTATAATTTTATTTTGTATTCCAGGTCACTTCATATTCATGGACAGCTCTAAGCAGAATCCAGGTGACGTAGTTAGAATCCAGACTCCGTTCTTCCCAGCCAGCCATGGAGTATGCTACATGAGGTTCTGGTACTATATGTTTGGATCACCCAGCATGGGACCTCTTAAGGTTTGTAATGCTCATCAGTTGGAAAATCATGAAAAAATGAAAAAAGTTTTTATATACCACAAACGACTTGAAATTATATGAATGATTTATGCATTTTCCCTAGAAATTGCTTCAAAATTTCTTTTATTTAAAACATAATTTTGCCTGGTTATTAATTTTCTGAACTTGTTTATTCAGGTGTTCCTGCAGAACAGGTACGGTAACACTACAGACTTATTCTGGGAGATGTCAGGAAGTCAGGGACAGAAATGGAAGAATGTCAACATCCCGCTAGGAAGTGCCCAGGACTTCTCGGTCATCTTTGAAGCCACCAGAGGAGATCAGGACCACTCAGACATTGCCATTGATGATGTGTCCTTCACCCCAGAATGTGAAACAGGAGGTCAGTAATAATACAGGGGAAAAGGGAGAAAGTTGAAGAATAAAGATATTTCTGACTTTGTCATGCAAAGTGTAATATGATGTGATGCCTTATGCAATCTGGAAGTTGAATAGCCACCATGGTTGATGTCATATCTGAAATTATTTATTTTAGTGCCAGCAGTGAATCCCAGCCATACGGTTTGTTACCAAGGAACATTTTACTGTGCTCCCAAGAAACAGTGCTATCCCAACAGCTGGAAATGTGACGGAGTGGCAGACTGCCCTGATGGATCGGACGAACCAAGCACCTGTCCCGCTACCTCCCCAGCCACGGGGCCCACCCAGCCACCAGTTACAAAGTCACTCGTAACCACGCCGGCACCACCCACTACCACCACCCAGAAGATAAAGAACACGTGTGCTCAGGGCAAGTTCCAGTGTAATGACGGGACCTGTATCCCTCTACTGCTGCTGTGTGATGCTGTGGCAGATTGTCCGGACGGCTCGGATGAAGTCCAAAACAACTGTCGTAAGTTATCTATATAGCTACACCTTTACTGTTAAGGAAAAAATAAGGGTAAGGATTTACAAGTTTGATTATAAATAAATTATTAAAATTTTCAAATTTAAAGAATTTGGTGTTTATGGTTACAGCTATCCAGAAATGTGATGTTGGATTTTACTACTGCAAGCAACAGAGACAATGTATCAATGGAACACGATGTGACAATAACGACGACTGCGGAGATATGACAGATGAAAGTGTTTGTGGGGCTGGTAAGGATTTTAGACTTTATATGATAACTTAGTGACATTTAATGCATATTCAATGTATGCAGCTGTCACAGAGATATAGTAATAATTCACTCCTATTTTCAGCTTGTCCACCCAATTTCTGCCAGAGTGGATCAGTATGTCAAAAGACTGGTGTACAGACATTGTCCTGCAGGTGAGTGACTACTTTCAGTTTTTAGTAATTTATAGTTTTCTTGTTTCATGTAGACAGTAATACGTTATAGCCAAGACCCCAAAATTTTCAATTTCTAAGCATAATGCAAAGTTTCAAAGATAGTAATATTTTTTTTAAGTTTTTATATTTTTTTGGTTACAGCTGTCCTGCTGGTCTGACTGGTATCAGATGTCAGTATCAGAAATCCTCCACACAGAGACACACAGGGAACTCCCCATCCTCATCATCATCTTGTAAGTTCTATGCCATGTATATATCTCTGTGTCTTCTTAAGTACATATACTGGTACATGTATCTGTATATTACTGACATGACTTTGTGATTCTTGTCAATGTACTAATGTTTTGTAATAATCCATTGATCAAACATAAAATAACATATCAAATAATATTCATTTGAAATATGATGTTAGAAAGTTTATAATTTTGAAATGTCATATGTTGTGGGGAATATTCATACAAATTCTTTGAAAGTTTTGATACAGTTGCATTACAAAAACATTCAGAATCCATTTGGTTTTATCCCCTTTTAAGTGTAAATGCAGCATATTTAAGAACACTTTGATATGATTGGTGTTTGACACAATTTTCAGCTGGTTGGAAGGCAGGCGTGGGTGTGACTGTAGGACTGGTCGCTGTTATTGCCATAGTTCTGGGCGGCTACTTCTTATGGAGAAGACAGAGAGCAAGGTATATAATATTCACTTCCAGTTGTTTCTATAGACACTTTCAGACTTTTCCAAAAATGCTTTCAAAGTAAAAATAATGTAGATTCATTCATTCATAAAAATTATTTTGCATATACATGTACCTCTACACAATTTATTTCATATAAATATCATTTACTGCCCTTTGAATTACAATCACTATAGATATTGCTGTGCATACTTAAGTTGATTTTGTATTTCTTTGACCAGGAACCTGAGTGAGAGACTTGGCATTGGTTTGGAAAATCCCAGTTATGATGGCGGAGACATGCATGATGTGAGTTTATACTGATAACAGATTCTGTAATGTCATTGGAGTCTGAACTTCACAGTCACAAAATAATTCTGACAAAATCCCTGTAATTTTGTCAAAAATCAAAATGCATTATGTGTACAATATATTAAAGAAATTTGCTTTTTTTATTCACAGTTCCACATGAACGCCATGGAAGATCCATACCATGGTGTGGTAAGTATTTTTTAAATGATACACAGAGAGATATTGCTTATGCTGAAATGTTCGATGGTAGATGACGTTTATTTCATTGCTGCAGTGATTGCATTTATAAGTATGTAATGGGCCCACCATTAATTTGTTGGTGGGACGTATTTACCAGGAAAATTTTAAGCCATGACTAGAAATTTGATAGGGTTGTCATTCAAAATATTTTTCTTCCATTTATACAAATAAGTAAAGAAACTATATAATAGAGTACATGTATTACTTTCCATCTATTAAGTCATTAAAAATCAGATACACATGTGTAAGAAGACAATTTTCTTTCAGAGTCATTTTTATCATTTAAAAAAAAATATGCACTTTCTTTTGTTGCAGAGAATGACTTCAGACGCCACTTCAATAGAGAATCCACTTTACCAGGATGTGACAGCTTAACCCCCTACATAAGATCATAACTCCTCATAAACAACGACAGTAAACAAAATGCTCAAACAATGACAATAAACAAAATACTCAAACTGTGAATACTCAAGAACTTGTTATAACATTGTTTTTCTCTATTTTTTTTCCTTATTTGTTAAGAATATCTGTTAAAATTGAATAAAAATTAAAATTAGATATTTGTTGTAGTGCTTTTAATTCCATGAGTAACAGAATGAAACGGGGAACAGAATTTTAATTTGAAGTTCACATTTGAAAGAAACATGGATTTGATGCATTATAATATAAATACATTGTACTCATTCATGGCCTTTGGGTGAAGGGTTCAGGCTAAGTTGGTCATATCGAAAATATTTCAAACATTTTACAAGAACTCCAATGACCTGTTATCATTCTTCTGATAGATATTAAAAAAAAATCTTTTATCTATTCTAAGCCTCTAAGTATCATAAATATTTAGATAAAGCCTTTCAATTTCAAGAGAGGTCATGGGGACATACATTCTGGTTTTAAATACAATTAATCCACAGACCCAAGTGAGTCAACTAACAAAGATTGATGATTCCAATTCTCATTCATCTCAAATATTCAGATATACACTGTAGCCATGAGATACAAAAGTAGGTCACTGTGACCTATTTTTTGGTTGACATAGTCCAAGGACCAAAGGAAATCAGTTACACAATTATTAGATGCAGATCTTTTGCTTGCTGGTCTGAGAAAAAAAGTAAGTATGGACAACTAGAGAGCTACAGTGCCACCCATAGAAAATACTGTATATTGTGCACAAAAAGTTGTGCTGGGTTGTGGATTAATCTACAAATTCTTACTTAATTGTAAAAATGATAGTTTTCAAAAAATTCCTTACTCCTCTATCATATTGTACTCTCATAGTTGATATCTGCACCAGGGGCATTGGATCATATTTACATGTATCTTGCAAACCAATATGGCAGTAGAAATATTCGAAATTTTCAAAGACTTCAATTTCAGGGTCAGGAGGGCTATTAACAAGTTATATAAGGACTATTTTGTTTGTATAAGGACTGTTTTGGAAATGGTAAAATAATATGTTAGGAGCCAGCAGTTAGTAATATTATGAGATGGCAGTTTTAAAAAATGGAGAAATAAATCAAGAAACAGCACAGTCACCTTTCTGAGTGCACTAAATATAAACTTTTCTTCAATGCGAGGCACTGTAGCTCTCCTGTCTGTCAACAAAGTTTTTTGAAGACCTGCAGATCTGCAGCTAACAAAGTTTGATGATTCTAAGTCTCTTTGTATCTTAAATAATGAGCTGCAACTATGACCATATGCTTCAGTGTCCAAGATATGCATCAAAATCAATTTCAGAATAAACACCTGCAAAATTCAGAAAGCAAGTCACTGTGACTAATTTTGAGACAGCAGGACATGAGGTCTTAAGATGCATCAACTGACAATTAAGATTTCTTCATCCTTACAAAGGGCAAAATATCAAAACTTAACAAAACATACACACTATGTTTGAAATAAATTTGATACAAAGCCATTAAATTTGCCCCATCCTTACGCACAAGATTGGTGAAAATCTGCCCTGTGCCATCTCCTACTGAGGCCCCATGCCTTGGCTTTTTGATTTAAAACCTTCAAAGTATGGAAATACTATTCACACTCAAACCCTGGCTATGAAGAATATATGTTTAAAAGATATTACTTACACAATTTTTGGAAAATATAACTTTATTATGAACTTCAAAAATTGAGAAATTTAATTAAAAAGACTTATGCATACAATTACAAAATATAATTATGTCTGAAAAAAATTTAATAACTTTTTTTTTCAACTACATTAAAAACATATGTTTGACATATGAACATATGAATATATCATAGACCCATTTCAAAATTCCCATCAAATGTAAAAAAAAAAATTGACTGTTAAAATGAAAAACATGTTGATGAATGTACATTAAACATAGGCGTCGGAAAATATATATACTTTAGACATTGAACATATGAACTTTCCACAAAAATTAAAATTGGTAAAATTTAATTAAAAAGACTTATGCATACGTGTTTGGGAAATAGACATTACAGGTTTTTATGGAGGTACAAAAAAAAATCACGCCCCCCCAGAAAAAATGTTAAATGTAGCTTTTTTGTCATGTATTAATGACACAGTGGCAAATTTAAATAAAATGGTGGATTAATGTTGTAATTTTCAAATGTTGAACATATGTTCCAAGACATTTGTTACCTCCCCTATATGTATTTAAAATATACAATGTACGATAGACCGTTATATCATTTCAAAATTCCCATAAAATGTAAAAAAAAAATTGACGATGTTAAAATGAAAAATCATGTCTTTCCTATATGCTATTACAATGAATGTACATTAAATGATATAACGCAACAAAAAGCATGATAAATGTGTTAATGTTGGCAATAAATAGACATATCAATAAGTTCTATAGTTATTTGAATGATTTTTACAAACCAAAATGTGATAAAAAATTTAAATAAAAAAAATTAATTTTGATAATCAAAACCATGACCCATGCACGCGTTTTGATTGATGAAACATCAGCTTGTCTTACAAATTCAGGTTCTTATCTGCTGATTTGAATTTAAAGTAAAGAGTGATAATTATATTTAAAAAAAATCCACTAGTGTGACAGCTGCAAATTTCCAAATAAAATATATATTGAAAATTTATTCTCTGCTTGAATTCACATTTATTAACACCGTGAATATAGCGAATATTAACATGAGTTATTTTGATAGTATGATATTGATTTACATAAATTTATTTCAATTTCTCTAGATTTCACATGCAAATCAATCATACAACCATGGACTAGAAGAATAATATCAATTGATTCATGTACAAAAGACACAATTAAATGAAAGTGTGTCAAGTTGACAAAGATCACTGAAAAGAAAACTCTAGGAAGAAAAAAATAAACATATAAAAAATGCCAATCACTTTTTTATCTTGTCCACACATCTTCTTCTTCTTCAGAAAATTCTCTGTTTCAAAAGAATGATGGAAACATGTTAACTTCATATTTATATGTACATGTATATTGCATTTTGCTTCTTTCATCTGTATAAAAAATACAGCAAATTTTCAGACACACATAAGATTAAGTGAGTTGGGTCTCTGGCATTTTATCTAACAATACACAAATCCATTTTGTATGGATATAAAATTAAAGCTTCATACATCCACCTTAATAACAGCTAAGTTAACTTCTGTCTCCAACAGTCCGTGGAAAACATGGCATGTCCAGTAAATTAAACAAACTGGTATTACAGAGATAAATTTATCAAATGTCATTGAGCAATCAAAATGACAATAACAAATGCCAACAAAACACAAAACAAAAGTGAAAAGACTGCCATTTTTATCACAAATATGAAATCTTTATCATCTGAAGTTTAATCAGATAATTTTTTTTAGGGCCAGAGGGTGGGGTTTTATTTTGTATCAGAATTCAAATTCATTCATGAGTAGAATATGACCCCCAAAAAATATTGTGTCAAAAACAAGTACCGGTACATGTAACAACAAAAGATAAATCTCTATAAAACAAAACAAAAACCATCAATATCTCTTAATTTTCTTCATATAATTTTAACAGAATACAGTACTGTATGTACAACAAAACATAAATGCATACATTTAATGTACCATGCAAAGACTACCAAAAAACTTTCAATAAAATAATTCTTCATTTATATTGAAAAATAATGCTTGTAAATTATTGAAATTGACAACTTTACACTGTATGTCTGACACATGGCGCATGAATATTTTATTATCTATAATACAACATCTATATAAAAATCCACAGTACATGAACAGATTTTTGCATCCCCTTATTTTTGCCTTATAGGTGTTTGGTATTTATAACCAAAGCAACATTTTCAATAATTTAGGCTAATGTTTTATATATAATCTTAAAGAAAATACATTACATGTGTGAGATTTTGCAAGAACTCTATATCATGTGTGATTATGTGAAAATAAAGCTCTTGATTTTTGACCTATTTAAATTGTCTCCTTTTCTTCTATAAAAATATAAACACATTGTATTTACAATACATATTGCACCACATGATTTTGGAAGTGTCACTTGGTCCCTAACATAGATATCTGTACAGACTTCAGTTTCAGTTCAACTTCAGTGCGACTGTTTTTTTTTACTCCATGTTGTTTCCAAGAATTTCCTGTAACTTTCTGAAAAATAAAAATTGAGAGAATTTTAGAATTCTTACCAGGTATATAAGAATATTTTTAACATTATTTTCCATTTTTAAGCTATTAAGCTTTTGAAATATAATTATAACGTGTTGCAACATATAACATTTTACTTTGAGTGATTATATTTGATGAAGACAAGAACTATAATGTAAAAAAATGTAAAATATTCTTGATCATATGATTAAACAGTTATTATATAATAATAATAAATTCTTTTATTTAGACAGGTTAGCACAATTAGTACATATTACTAGTTTACATTGTGGTCCTATATAAAACATATTTACAGACAGATAAAAAAAATTAAAGTAGAAAATAGAGTAAAAAAGAATATATACATAACATATTATATCAGACATATTTGTACATACTAGTAAATAAACTACTAGTATTAAAAAAAAATCATTGTGCCATAAGACAAAATTCATTTAAGAACAATTTCTTCACCTGTTTAAATTACATCTTTGCAAATATGCTGATTTAAAAGAAGCCAAAGAATTACAATTTCAAACATAGTCAGGCAACTGACTTTTGAATTCAATCTAATGTACTCATGACTATATGGATCTGCTCAAGTATTAGTTAACCTCTCAGCCTTCAGCCCTTGGTCAACCAATACTTGACCAGGCCCCTAAAATCAGGAGTAGACCTCATCAAAAGTAAGATAAAAATATCTCTTGATCCTTTCAAAAATGGAGACAAGCAAACTTAATACAAGTAACTATACTTACAAACACTGAACAAAGATCTGTGAGAATGGTGGTCGTTTGACTGGTTCCCACTCCCAGCACTTCATCATCAGTCCATACACCTCCTCGTGACACCCCGGGGGTTTCTGGAGCCGCCCCCCTATCTGTAAGTAGTGGTAGGATAATTTGCGTAACTCCTCCTTGTTTACTTTACAGAGTTGCGGGATCTCTCCCTGGCTGAAGCACTCCCACAACACAACCCCAAAACTCCACACGTCCGTCTTAGAGGAATACTTAGTCCTATCTATCACTTCTGGGGCACACCTTCATAAAACAAGGAAAATTATGTGCCTATATTCTAGTACGAATTGAAAAAAAAAAATCAATACCATGTTATAAGATTTATAAAACATCAGAGTACCAACCATTGCAGAGGTATGGCGTTTTGTCCTTTTCTGGTGTAATAGTCCTTGTCTGAAGTCATGAGTTTGGAGAGTCCAAAATCAGCGATCTTAGCCATATAGTCCTTGGTCAGAAGAATGTTTCTTGCAGCTAAGTCACAATGAAACACCTTGACATCAGTAAGATACTCCATGCCCTAAAAAATACCAGATTCAGGTAAACTTTCAATTGCAGAAGAAAAATCTATATAGTTAATGAAATAATATTTAATTTAACAAGGATCATTGTCAGAGAAGAAAAAATTCAGCTCTCTGATGAGACTGCAACTCTACTAGTTTCATGATTATCCTAGTGATATCTATTGCTATGGCAATCAGTCTGAAGTCTGAAGTCGTAGTGATATCTCTTGCTATGGAGATCAGACTGGTACATGACACTTACCCTAGTGATATCTATTGCTATGGCGATCAGTCTAGAGTCTGGTACAGGACACTTACCCTAGTGATATCTATTGCTATGGCGATCAGTCTGGAGTCTGGTACAGGAGTCTTTTTCCTGCGGTTCTCCTCAAGATAACTTCTCAATGATCCATTCTCTATATACTCCATGATCATCATTAACTCTGTTCAAATTCATAACAAAATTGTTCATGTTTAATGTTTATGCACAATAAACGTTTAATGTTAAAAGCTATTTTAATATACATTTTGAAGGTTGACTCATAACTCTGTTCAAAAAAAAAAAAAAAAAATTCTTAATATATTACTGTTACGGTCTTGACCTTTTTTAAATTATCGAAATACATTGACTGTGACCTTTGAATTAACATCCTTCACCGAGTACTCTCTCTGGTTAAATTGTAAGCAAAACTGGTCCACAATTAAAATATATGTGAGAATAAAATTTCCATGAGCAGACACACTTGCCTTATTATGCAAAAATAAATATCTCACCAATTAAAAGTGACTACCAGTTCACTCTACCTCTTCATAATGTAAACATGTATATTCATGAAACAGCAACAACTTAATTTTAATGTTGGAGTTCCACTATATTAAGTTTCACAAAACACTAATTAAATTTTACCTGGTTTTTTGGTGAAGCCATAGAATTTGACAATATGAGGATGATCCAATGTTCCCAACACGTCTACCTCCTTTACCATGTCTCTCTCTATGGTCGCAGAAACCGCAGCTTTAAACACCTTGGCAGCCACCATTATGTTTTCCCTGCCTTTTTTGTAAGTGCCCCTTTTGACAAATCCAAAATGCCCCTGAATGAAGAGGAAATAACTTTTAGTAAAATGTGGAAAGATCACTTAATGTCTAAGGACTTAGTTGGGACCAAAAATGACCTTTTTACGCAAGAACTTGATATTGTTAAATTGTCCTTAGATGTCAAATTGCAAAACAATAGTTAAGAGATGGAGGGTTGATTTCGAGATTTTAAAGGATTTCTGCACAATAAAAAATAATATTTTTTGCGTGCTTCTCATGAAATTAAGGAATTATTAATTCCACGCAAGAACTTTAGATTCTACAGTAAAATTATGAATGTACTGTATCCATGTAAAGAGTATAATTACATAATGATCTTTTTATACCTTTCCTATGACTTCATCTTCCAGTTTAATGTTGTTTGTGTTGATCATGTATTTGATGTCCTCTGATGGCAGATACGCTGGGCGGGACGGATTCACGGGGATAGTTTGTCCGTCTGTCTGTTTGGAGTCAGAGAGATGTGGGGGAGGGTCGGGATCCGTGGGGTCAGGCTCAGGGGATGTGGGTTCTATTGGAACTGTTGGAACTGGGGGGAGGGGTTCTGAAACAGAAACCATGGTGGAATCAAGTTTATTTACTATATCTACAGTCTTATCAGTAAATTTACTGTAAATTCCTTCTTTTAAGTGAGAAGCAAATATCGAAAAGTGACTCTTGAAGTCAAATCACAAGAAAATTGCGAGTGGGTGAATAACAAAATATACTTCAAACAGATTTCGGTATTATAAAAATAAAAGTGGATAATTTTATTTCCTGAATGTTGCTTCTCATTAAATACCTGGTACACGAGAATTAATTCCCTTAGTACATTTTAAAATCTACAGTACTTGTTCCTTTGCATGAAACACAAGTTTTTAACAAGCTGGTTAATGAGTAAAAAATTAAAGTTCACATCTAAAAGTTATGGTTTACTATTGTTATACCTTTAAAAATTTGTTCCTATACAAACCTTTACAAAAAAGTCTAATATTTCTAGTGTTTTGCTAAGCGGGCATAAAGAAATTGATGTTTGACCGCTGAGCGAGATGTTGGACCGGTCGATGAGATGTTGGACTGCTAACTTCACAGAATGGGCAGAGCTTAATTTCGTTTTCACTCCTTTTCAACAGTGACGGACCCGATGTTAAATCACGGAAGACAGTTCAAGACACGTGAATAAAAAAAATAAAATGATAGGTATAACAAAACATTTATTGACTATGTTCTTCAGCCTAACAGCCTCAGGCAGACAGTTTGGTTCTTGGGTCCGACAAAATGCATTTTGCCCTCGAACTCAGTCAATAAATGTATAATGTTACCTTGTTGATGAGGGGATCTGTCTGTTTCTTCCTTTGGTTCTGGATAAAGTTCAGTAAATTCCCTGTTTTAAAAAAAATTTAGAGCAAATAGTCATGAGGAATATTTAATACTAATAATGAGAAAAATATACTGTTCTTTGTTTCAGCTGAAGTCCTATCTCACCTGCACATTTCGCAGGCCACGTTAAAATCGGGTCGGTTGTCAGGGTTGAATTCCCAGCATCTCTCCATAAATTTGTACACCACCTCTGGACAGTGGGTGGTTCTTCGGAGGCGTTTTCCATCCATCAGCTTCTGGTATCCTTCTTTGGAGAAATTCTGACACAGAACGGGGACTTTGGCGTGAGTGAAAACCTCCCAGATCACAATACCATAGCTCCAAACATCCCCTTTTGTGGTGAATTTTCTACTTGCTATACTTTCTGGTGAACACCTGAATTTAAAAAAATTAATTCCTTATAATTTCATTTTCCATAATTCATTGTAGACAAAACAGATTACTCCACTTCACGTTAATTTTAAAATGTGCTCAAAAATGGCTTCAAATTGAGCACATTTTAGAATTAACGTCAAGTGGAGTTACAGTAATATGTTTTTGACATACTGTATAGGGGATTAATTTCACGGGTTGTAATTTTCACGTTTTTCTCTCATCTGACACGATCGCAGTTTCTTGAATTCGCGGAATTGGTACATAATAAAAGTTACCTCCCTTGTCTTCTCTAATACACGAGGTAACATTAGTTACGCACAGATAATCAAAACCCATGACCCACGTGTTTTGATTGATGAAACAGGTAGCGCTGGCTATTGCAACAGCTTGTTTAACAAATACGGGTTATTATCTGCTGATCTGAATTTAAGTTAAACTTGATAATTAAATTAATTGAATGACGAGTACTACTCGCAATTACAGGCCGAAATGACCATGTACTTCACGTACATGTATGTAACCCTATTGTTATCTATTCTCAAATTTCCAAATAAAACCTGGAGATTATTGAAAATTTATTCACTGTTTCTTGAATTCACGGATTTATTAACACCGTGAATATAGCTAATATTAACACCGCGAGTTATTTTCCCCCTATACAGTAACACATTGTGATGTAGGTAACTTATGTTAAACAATAAGAAATGATTCTTTTATCCAATCAAATGATGTGTTACAACCAAAATTAAATTATTATACTGTATATGTATTTCCATCAAGTCCAGGAACACTTTCCACAAAATATTTTTTTCTGATTTGAACTATGTCTCATCTTACATAAAAGAATACAATACTCAATCTACTGACCACATCAGTGGAAGCTCTTTGCCTGTAGATCTGGTATAGTAATCTTTATCTTGTTGTAGAATTTTTGCCAGACCAAAGTCGGTGATTTTAGCCACCAAGTTGTTCGTGAGGAGGACATTTCTTCCTGCCAGGTCACAGTGTATCACCCGCTTACTGGCTAAGTAAGCCATTCCCTGAAACACAAACAAATAATGTACCCCAGTATAAACTTTAAGAGAATGTGTGAGATTGATGCTGTTACTGGCTAGGGCTGTGTATTGAGCCAAAAATTTCGATACGATACGATACAATATTTTTTAAAGCGATATGCGATATATTGGATTCTGAAACAAGTCCATCAGAAAAGGCTTCTAAATCATTTTAATGCATACATTTCATAACAATTAAGTGTTTTATTACCCATTTGAAAGTTCTTGTCCCATTGTCTTTAAAAATAACACTTCAATTACAACTTTTGATGACAGTAAAATCATCATGTTCAAATAAATTTCTCTTTGTATTTTGTAATAATTATAAAAACTGTGTTATTTCCTTACATATTATATAATTATTGAAGGTTTTAATTCAAAAAAGTAAAATAAAATCTTTGGTGATTGAAATTCCCATCTTTTAAACAGAATTTGAAGAAAGAATGTCTGTCCGATACGTATTGGAAGTTATTTTTCGATACGATATTTTTCTGAATATCGAACGTACGATATATCGATATATTGATACAGCCCTATTACTGGCTAAGTAAGCCAGAAACAGAATACCCGAGTATAAAGAGAATGTGTGAGATTGATGCTGTTACTGGCCAAGTAAGCCATTCCCTGAAACACATACAAATAATGTACCCGAGTATAAAGAGAATGTGTGAGATTGATGCTGTTACTAGCTAAGTAAGCCATTCCCTGAAACACAAACAAATAATGTACCCAAGTAAAGAGAATGTGTGAGATTGATGCTGTTACTGGCCAAGTAAGCCATTTCCTGAAACACACAGGTTCTAATTATTACCATATATACCAAAATACTGAAAACCCACTTTTTTTTGCAACGACTTTACTTTGCAATTAACCGGGGGTAAACTAGTTTGTGATGTTTAATTTTTGCGATCAGACCTTTCTGGATCTCTTGTTAAAAGACACACCAACTTCAAGGAACGGTTTGCGGTGAGAATTATTTGCGATGAAGAGGCTCTCACAAACCTTGCAAAATTTTCTTGCATGCGAATAAAAGTTGGTTTACAGTGAACCAACATGTGATAGCCTGGTTCTGTTTCTGGCCAAGTAAGCCATAAATTTAGCATGAGTTGTTTCCCACTGACCACCATATTGGAGGTCCTAGGGAGAATTTTCCTCTTTGAGCAAACAATTTTAAACTTGTATGGCAGAACTATAGGGCTAAAATCTTTTGAATGCTACAGTACCTTTCCGTTATGAGGACATACCTGAGCAACATCGTTAATCATTCTAATTAGCCTCCACACAGGAAGGTAGGTATTCTGTTTCCTGTATTTCCTCAGATACACGTTTAAGGCACCATTTTCTATGTACTCCAGAATCAACACTAAAATATGAAAGAAATCTAAGTTAATTAAAACAAGAGGCCCATGGGCCACATCCCTCACCTGACCACTGTGGCTAGGAAAAAGTAGAAATTGGTTTTATTATTGAAAAGTTTAAATCCAAAAGTAAACCTTTGACCAGTTATGGTTTTGCTATTCTTGAGAAGATGATTTTTAAAGAATTTTCCTATACATTTCTATTTAAAACTGGTCAGCCATTGTGGCCCCGCCATACCGCCAGGGGTCATGATTTGAACAAACTTGAATCAACACTACCTGAGGATGCTTCCACATAAATATGATCAATTACGGATTTGTTATTCTTGAGAAGAAGATTTTAAAAGAATTTTCCTTTATATTTCTATGTACAAGAGGCCCATGGACCACATCGCTCACCTGAGCACTGTGGCTAGGAAAAAGTAGAAATTGGTTTATTATTGAAAAGTTTAAATCCAAAGTAGTCCCATGACCAATCATGGATTTGCTATTCTTGAGAAGATGATTTTTAAAGATTTTTCCTATATATTTTTATGTAAAACCTTGGTCGACCATTTTGGTCCCGCCCTACCCCCTGGGTCATGATTTGAACAAACTTGAATCTACACTACCTAAGGATGCTTCCATATAAATATGATGAATTATGGCTTTGTCATTCTTGAGAAGAAGATTTTTAAAGAATTTTCCTAAATATTGATATGTAAAGCTTTGGTCGGCCATTTTGGCCCTGCCCTCCCCTCGGGGGTCATGATTTGAATAAATTTGAATCTAAACTACCTGAGGATACTTCCAAATAAATATGATGAATTATGGCTTTGTTACTCATGAGAAGAAGATTTTTAAAGAATTTTCCTATATATTTCTATGTAAAACTTTGGTCGGCCATTTTGGCCCCGCCCTACCCCCGGGGGTCATGATTTGAACAAACTTAAATCTACACTACCTGAGGATGCTTCCATATAAATATGATGAATTATGGCTTTGTCATTCTTGAGAAGAAGATTTTTAAAGAATTTTCCTATATATTTCTATATAAAACTTTGGTCGGCCATTTTGGCCCCGCCCTACCCCCAAGGGTCATGATTTGAACAAACTTGAATCTACACTACCTGAGGATGCTTCCCCATAAGTTTCATCTTTCCTGGCACAGTGGTTCTTGAAAAGAAGATTTTTAAAACATGCCACCAAATTTTCATTAATTCCCAATTATCTCCCCTTGAATGAGAGCGTGGCCCTTCATTTGAACAAACTTGAATCCCCTTCACCCAAGGATGCTTTGTGGCAAGTTTGGTTGAAATTGGCCCAGCGGTTCTTGAGAAGAAGTCGAAAATGTGAAAAGTTTACAGACAGACAGACAGACGGATGCCGGACAAAATGTGATCAGAAAAGCTCACGTGAGCCTTCGGCTCAGGTGAGCTAAAAACTTTGTTTGGCCATGATGGCCCCGCCCTACTACCGGGGATCATGATTTGAACAAACTTGAATCTACACTACCTGAGGATGCTTCCATATAAATATAATCAATCATGGCTTTGTTATTCTTGAGAAGAAGATTTTTAAAGAATTTTCCTATATATTTCTATATAAAACTTTGGTCAGCCATTGTGGCCCCGCCCTACACCCAGGGGTCATGATTTGAACAAATTTGAATCTACACTACCTGAGGATGCTTCCATATAAATATGATCAATCATGGCTTTGTTATACTTGAGAAGAAGATTTTTAAAGAATTTCCCTAAATATTTCTATTTAAAACTTTGGTTGGCCATTGTGGCCCTGCCCTACACCCAGGGGTCATGATTTTAACAAACTTGAATCTACACTACCTGAGGATACTTCCATATAAATATGATCAATCATGGCTTTGTTATTCTTGAGAAGAAGATTTTTAAAGAATTTTCCTATATATTTCTATGTAAAACTTTGGTCGGCCATTGTGGCCCCGCCCTTCCCCCGAGGGTCATGATTTGAAAAAACTTGAATCTACACTACCTGAGGATGTTTCCCCATAAGTTTTATTTTTCCTGGCACAGTGGTTCTTGAGAAGAAGATTTTTAAAACATACCAACAAATTTTCATTAATTCCCAATTATCTCCCCTTAAATGAGGACGTGGCCCTTTATTTGAACAAACTTGAATCCCCTTCACCCAAGGATGCTTTGTGGCAAGTTTGGTTGAAATTGGCCCAGCGGTTCTTGAGAAGAAGTCTAAAATGTGAAAAGTTTACAGACAGACAGACAGACAGCTAGACAGACAGACGGACGCCGAACAAAATGTGATCAGAAAAGCTCACTTGAGCCTTCAGCTCAGGTGAGCTAAAAAATACACATCTTTCAGTAGTTTATAAAGTATTATCTTGGGCTACACAACTGTAAATCAAACATACTGTTATCACTGATTCCCAGGAATTTGACCACGTTATCATGCTCCAGTTTAGACATCAATATGGCCTCCTCCTTGAACTCTGTGCTGTCCAGAACATTCTGGAAATCCCCCTTCAGTTCTTTGGCAGCAATTTCCTGAGGATTGGATTTGTCGTCCTGACTAGCGTACAGTAAACCCCGCTTCACCACCCCATAGTGGCCCTAGTGGAAAAACATCAGAATATCGATGAAATACAATAAACCTGCTGAACTACAACATAATGCCACTGATATTCTGAAAAGACCTTAGTTAATTAAATCAAAGTGTCCCTAAAATACAGTAAACCAAACTAGCTTAATCAAAACAAAATGTTCTTGAAATAAACATTAATCATATGGCTTAACCATATCATAATGTACCAGGCCAAATCTAAGTAACTTTTCTTAGTCTTAAAGTTTATGCATTATCCTGTGTGTAAATTTTAGTCATAAAATCAAAGATCTCGTTATTAGTATTGAACTATACTTCTATTTTGTTTTCCGTAGGTCTTTTTTTCTCAAACATAACATAGTTAAGATACACTACTCACCACTCCAATCTTATTTTCCCGTATGTTGAGTCGGCGAGAACTGATGATATATTTGAGATCCAGAGGAAGTTCTGGAAGCGATCGATTTATGACGGACTCTGTAGCCTTGGTCACACACTCCCGGTCCGTCACCGATGGAATTGGAATGATTATCATGGTGGGGTCTATTGTGTCCTCTGTGGGTGAGAGGGAATTTGAGGGTGTCCGTGGCTGGGATTCTGTAAGACAACATGTCTTGTAAAATGACAGTCTGCAGAAAGATGGAATTTTCATGGATATGAATTGAATTTTTTATATTAAATTGAATGGGGTCACAAGATGAAACACACCCTTTAAGCCTGGTTTAATGGTGGCTTATAGGTCCTTAAAGATGGTTTAATGGTTGTCTTTAAGTCACCATTAAGCACCTTTAAGTAACATTTACACCACCATTAATCTCAAAGTCCTTAATGGGTGCTTAAATGTAGCTTAATGGTAGCTTAATGGTGGCTTACAGGTCCTTAATGGTAGCTTTTAGACCACCATTAAGTCACCATTAAGCTACCATTAAGCCACACTTACAGGTGCTTAATGTCCAAACTCCATTAAGCTACCATTAAGCCACCATTACGCAGTCGATAATTCTGTTTTTATGGGTGAAAAATTATTTTTATAGTGATTTATTATCAAAATTATATATGTCGAGTTCATACATATCTTGTTTTGGAAAAATAATGAAAAAGAACGAAATTAAAAAAAAAAAAAAATTCGCCACAAACGGGGCGCGAACCCAAGACCTTTGGAGTAGGTGGCAATCGCCTTCTCCGTTAGGCCATCACAACTTTCGATTATGAAGGAAAATTTTAAACCTTTATTTTTCCAAAAATTTGTTTGGACTTGTAAAAGTATTTATTTTGTTGAACAATTCCAAAGTCTTCAATTGATTTATCAACCAAAATGTAAGCAATTTTATTTATGGATCTTTTTAAAAGGCTTATATCACATTAATATTTCTAAACCGTTGAGTTCAGCTTTTGGCAATCGCCTTCTCCGTTAGGCCATCACAACTTTCGATTATGAAGGAAAATTTTAAACCTTTATTTTTCCAAAAATTTGTTTGGACTTGTAAAAGTATTTATTTTGTTGAACAATTCCAAAGTCTTGAATTGATTTATCAATCAAAATGTAAGCAATTTTATTTATGGATCTTTTTAAAAGGCTTATATCACATTAATATTTCTAAACCGTTGAGTTCAGCTTTTAGATTGATGTAATGAATTCTTCAATCTGTTATTCGATGATTTATACATGTAAGCATTAAATCATGATTGAAATTAAATTAATTATAGTTAAAACACAAAAATCGATCATCGAAAAAGAAAGATGAAAACAAAGATTCTACTACTTTTAAATATGCTGCGGATATTAACGGTTATTGTGTCTACAATTTAGTGACAATCTGTGATCTGGTTATACGTTTACAAAAACTTTTTTTTAGAATATCAAATTCAAATTAAATTCTTTTTGTATCAAAATGGGTATCAAAATAATTGTCCTTTTACAATAAATCAAAATATGCTTGCGTTAAATTTAAATTTTGTAAAAATAATTGATCATCAAAATCTGTCAGTGTACGTTGTGTATGTGTAGTTTCCTGTTAGTTGACCGGGGACGGTGGACACACCTAATTAAGGTCTATTGTCTGACCAGTCGGTATACTGTACACTGTTAATCTGTTAATCTTACCCCGTTTCCCAATGTGTATAAATCTGGTCGGATGTCATCTTTAATCTGATCGGCTGTTCTTCAGAAAATAGATTTTGAAATAACAATCATTGAAGACCGAGTAGATTTTGACAGATACTTACCGCTGCATTATTTAAATTTCAAAATAACGAATTAATTTAATTATTCATAATGTAAAAGTCAATCTTTGAAAACTAAACATTTTTATACCGGTAGTCCCCCCTCCTCCCTTAAAAAAAGACAGAGATTATTTTTCATGAGAACATATGACTTTATCTTCCTGTGAATTCTGTAGCAGAATGTTGCTTTTAACACATGAAATAAAAATACCATGTTTTTTTTTGTTTTTTTTTAAGTAATATATATTTTGTGTTCATGGATAAAGATAATTTTTAAGAACAAATTGATTTTCGGTAGTGAAAAATTAAAATATTTCACATGGGCTTGCTCCCGGCGTGTAATAATCATTTATTTAAAAAAAACTCATATGCACTTATAATAAGAACAACGCATGTCATAATTATTTATTTCAAATAAAATCATATTCGGTAATGATAAAGCAAGTCTTGTTTTATTATTACTGTAAATGATTTTTTTCTAAAATAAATAATTATTAGACACCAGGAGCAAGCCCCTATGGCTATTAGATAACTTTGTTCTCAATGCCCAAGTTTATGCATTTTGACAAAAATGTTATATAGAAATTACGATCGAGACAAAATTATGAGTTGAAATAGATTTTACGTAAGTGATATTGAAATAACTGAAAAAGTTAGTTCAAAGATTTGATATAAGATGCGTGAAAGTTATATGAGGTTTGACTATTAAGTCACCATTAAGCTCAGCTTAAAGATGGCTTAATGGTAGCTTAATGAAGTTTGGACATTAAGCACCTGTAAGTTGCAGCTTAATGGTGGCTTAAAGGAATTAACTTCTTTAAGCCCCATAAAGTCAACATTAAGCTACCATTAAACGATTGCTTAAAGGTGGTCTTTCGTCTTGTGGGTAGCATGACATTCCATTTAGGAAAACACTTGTCTATTTCTAAAACCCAAACTGATTAACAGGGGAAATGTTACAAATCAGTCCTATAGCAGCTATTATGTAACAACTGTTACTCCTTAAATCTAAACCTTGCACCCCCTCCTAGTAAAAATCCTGGATCCACCCTCTCACTGTGGAATCAAATATTGGTTTAAGGTATTCTGCATATACTTCTCCCTGTACATACCCTGTGTACTGCTGATAATATCTGGAACATCTCTAGGCATTTTGGGGAAATTGTCATTCACGTTTAGAAGCTCTCTCCTGATTGAGGAATATGCATCAGGCTCTGCTAAAAGAAACAAAAAATATGGGTTATCTCTCCTATAACAGTTAAAACAGTTCATTCTTACTTCATTAATACTTTCTAAGAAGATAATTGACACAACAAACTTAAACAGCATCTTAAATGGTTACCAAAGTAAACTTCAAACTGGTTATCAATTTCATCTTACCATAATCTGCCAGCTGGGCCCGTAAATCCCTCAGTAAAAGGTTTGGTCCTGGTCTTTCTTCTAACAGGTTCCAGCATTTAGACATCAAGTCTCTCAGCTTTATTGCCCATTCCATGTCTCCCATCAATTTCTGGGGAGGATCAAGCTTTTTCTTGAACATGAGTTTTAAAACCTAAAAATAAATGTTACTGAAAATATACACGAACTCTTAGATGACACAAGTAATTTTCAAGAACATGTACAGCAAAAATCAGATATCTTTTTTCTGAACTAAACACACTTGAAAAAAAAATAAGAGGCCCATGGGCCATGATGTTCACTTGAGTTGCTTTGAACTGCATATCTTGAAAAATATTTCCTCTGTATTTTTACAGAAAATGTTGATCCCAAATTGTGAACAATCCTACCAAAAGAATCCAACAACAATAACAGACAATAAAAAAATTTTGATCAATAAAGCTCACTTGGCTCAGGTGAGCTAAAATACTGAAATGTTCATCTAAAATTAAAATACAATGTATTTCTGTTTAGGGGAAGGAGGAGGAAAAAGCAAGTAGAAATCAATCACTTTACTTTGTCGTTAGATAAGTTTAGGAATCTGTGTGAGTCCACAGGATTTAGTCCGTCAGAGAACATTTCCCAGAGGGTTGTCCCGAACGCAAACACGTCTGACTGGGGGGTCATTTTGGAAATCCGTGAAGATAATTCCTTTTTCTGATAGTCTGTGTACAGTTCAGGGGCTAAGTACAGTAACCTGAAAACACAAAAATTAAACAATTAAAATCAAACTAATTCCTAAAATCAGTATTTACTGTTAATTTTATTCAAGTGACAAATGTTTTACGAAGTTTGAACAAGCAAACAAAATTCATCGTTAACATAAAAAAAAGCGATCAACCTTGTTCTTTATTGAGACTAAAACTTTGATCCAAGATCAAGGTTTTCAAAAGACTTTAATACCTGTTGTTGACTATACATGTAACTTTGTACTTATAATTCTGATCTGAGTGATCCGAGATACAGTACTTCGGTATTTCCATGACTATCTCAAATCTAATGTATGTGTTGAAGTAATTTGGAAGTTCCTTAATATGTATTTAACCCTCATGCAGTTCCCTAATTGGATATCTTGAAGTTATTATGGATCTGTTGAGTTCAAAATAACAAAGCTTGACTGTATTTTGTATATTATTATACTTGACCTGTGTCTGTTCTGCTGGTTGAAGGTTTGACTGTATTTTGTATATTATTATACTTCACCTGTGTCTGTTCTGCTGGTTGAAGGATTGACTGTATTTTGTATATTATTATACTTCACCTGTGTCTGTTCTACTGGTTGAAGCATTGACTGTATTTTGTATATTATTATACTTCACCTGTGTCTGTTCTGCTGGTAGAAGGTTGGACTGTATTTTGTATATTATTATACTTCACCAGTGTCTGTTCTGTTGGTTGAAGGTTGGACTGTATTTTGTATATTATTATACTTGACCTGTGTCTGTTCTGTTGGTAAGGTTGGACTGTATTTTGTATATTATTATACTTGACCTGTGTCTGTTTTGCTGGTTTTAGGTTTGACTGTATTTTGTATATTATTATACTTCATCTGTTTCTGTTTTTGGTTGAAGGATTGACTGTATTTTGTATATTATTATACTTCACCTGTGTCTGTTCTGCTGGTTTTAGGTTTGACTGTATTTTGTATATTATTATACTTCATCTGTTTCTGTTTTGCTGGTTGAAGGATTGACTGTATTTTGTATATTATTATACTTCACCTGTGTCTGTTCTGCTGGTTTTAGGTTTGACTGTATTTTGTATATTATTATACTTCACCTGTGTGTGTTCTGTTGGTTGAAGGATTGACTGTATTTTGTATATTATTATACTTCACCTGTGTCTGTTCTGCTGGTTGAAGGATTGACTGTATTTTGTATATTATTATACTTCACCTGTGTCTGTTCTGCTGGTCGATGGTTTGACTGTATTTTGTATATTATTATACTTTACCTGTGTCTGTTCTGCTGGTTGAGGAGATCTAGGCTATTTAGAAGAGTAACCATTCCTGGGTCCCCGATCTTCACCAGAATGTCATCAATCTCATAGCGGAAGACTAACAAGTTACGGCAACGCAGGTTACCATGAACCAAATGACGCTCATTCTGAAAGAGAGACAAGGAACTGACTGGGAAATACAACAACCATTTCACATTTTTTTGTGAGATTGTGGCATCTACATTTATGTATGTACATCATGTATACAAGAACCACTAAGAAACTCAATCTAAGTTTGTTTATGCAATCTCAATTTATGACATTTTAAAATTTGGTACAAAAATGTACATTATAGACACAGTAAAATTAGGTTCATTTTGATATTGTCTTCATGCTCATTTAGTCAAAGATCATAATTACTGCAGAAATACTGTAAAATGTGACAGTTAAATTTTGTGACGAATTCTTTCGAAAATAAAACTCGTGTTCAGTAAAAGCATGCAAAATTTAAATTTTTTTCATTTGATTACCAGAAACAGCATTCCTTGAGCCATCTGACTGGCTGCATTCAGCAGATGAAATGGTTTGATTGGTTGATTAGGCTTTCTCTTCTTAAAGAAGGATGCTAAGGAACCATACTGGGCTTTTTCCATCACTAACATTGGAGGGGTGGTCAGGATAAGTCCATGTACACGAACAAAGAATTTAGGATCATCCATTCTAATCAACTGTTGAACAGCATGCTGAAAGTGCTGAAAAATATATAAACAACAATTGATAAAATGACACTCACTTAGCAAGTAGCTAGTACGAAGTGGCAGCAGATTGCCCACGCCCGCAGTAAGCCCGCAAAAGACACATGCCACACCTTTGAATGAAATCCCCAGGGAAAATGTCAGGTCAGGCATCCAAGGACAATGCATGAAGGCCATATAAAGAATAAATTGAACAATGTGGTATGAAGTAGGATAACTAAAAAAGACTGTTATGCTGATAACAAGATGCCATAGGCCTCAACGCTAAACTTAGTAACTTTGGACTTGCTGTTCTTCACCAATGAAAAAAGTGAAATATTTTTCTTGCTGATACCGTAGAACTTGTCTGGTCCAAATACATCTATAGACCCATAAAAATTGGCCAGATTAAATATTTTCTAAAAATTCTGAATTAGACAATATATTCAAAATCAGTTGAAATTATATCCAGCAAGGGACTTTAACCTTACACCAGAATAGGCAAGATTTCAGAATAAACAACATCCAGATCAGACAAGTTTTACTGTAAATACCTACTAATAATCATCTTGTGAAAATTAGGTGAATGGAAGTGGTGATCTTCCATACTTTGATGAATTCCTGCTATACATGAGCAAAAAGCAAATTTAAAGCTAGGGTCCTGCTCATATTTAAAACAGTATATTTTTCAATTGATACTTGCATGCCTGACCTTGAACTTCCCTGTGCTGCAATAAATAAAACAGACCTTGAGACAATCCCTAAGTAAGTGTATCTATCATATATAAATCACAAACTGTTTCATCCCCAGTTTATATTCCCACATTCTGTCATTGCACTGCAATATTTAGTTTATGAGTATATGCCTTACCGCTTAAATTAATTCACAAAATGAATTCTGCTCTCATATTTCATTGGTACTATATGTTAATATATGGGTATATTTTAATTTCTTTTTTGTATTTATTGCACACCCAAACTCGACAAAATCTAATTTCGATTTTATGTTCCCATTTAATCAGTTCTGTATACCACCGCAGTAATCCGAGACATGGATTAGGCTGAAAATTAAGATGGCAATACACATGTAAATAATTAACACTGAACAGTTAAAAATCAAGCTTCCAGGAAAATGATAAACCTAACTAGGAGACTTATTGTTCACAGAACAATAAGAGGTCTTTCCAACTTGTTTAGGTGTTTCCGTGTCATTTGGTTTGGAAAAAAAAAAGAAAGATAGAAAAAGTGCTCCCAGCAGGATTCAAACTCGGGACCCTCAGATCTACGCTACAGAAACACGTGTATTTGTTTGTGGCACAATGTCGAAAATAATGAATAGTTCTGAGAAACACGATTGGTGTATAATGAAAATGCCGATTTCCTGTAAAAACAATTCATTTGAGTTTGTTTATACTTTGAATAAATTGAGTTAATCATACAGAGCTTATGATGCATTTGAACTTCCGTGTCGGCACTGTGTTTACAATAAAATGAAAATATAGGCGCATTCGTTTTGACACATATGGTGAAGTCATAGGTAAGGTTAAATATTCATCTTTATTTGGATTAAATTATAGTTATCAGCATTAATTAAACTTGAAACATGCACTTCATGAAGAAAACTGTGTGACAGAGAGCGTGGAAATTTATCTGATAGGAAAAATTCGCTATTTTCCAGATTCATTCGATTTAATATTAAATCTAAATAAAATTGAAATAAATCTGAGTTAGGGTCAAGGTCAAAGGTCAAGGTCATTCTAAACCCCCCTGAAAAAAAACCCTTATATAAACAATTTTGATATTTTCCCAATAATCTTGACCTTTGACCTTGACCTTATCCTCAAGGTCAAAGGTCGAAAGATCTCATGCATTGTCCACATGTCTTTACAACTTGTCGTCAAGAACTTTTCAGTTCTTCGTAAACATGAGAAACCGTCAGGGTCAATAACTGCTTAAAATGGTTTACGAATTCTTTCGAACTTATAGAATGAAAAATGTACTAAATTATTTGCAGACATTGTTGAAGGTTTTGCACCTCTATGGTTAACGGTTTCGGAGGAGTAGCTATAACAAGGGTTTATACTGAAAGGGGCACTAACTTTTCAAGGGGTCAATCTTAGGGGAAAAGAATGAAATCCTTAAAATGATTTTAAGAGTACATATTAAAGATGCAAAGATATTTAGAATTTGGTGAAGAACAAAAGAGCTATAAAAAATGCTTTATTTTACATATTTTGAATGACCTTGACCTTTGACCTTGACTTAAATTTTAAGGTCAAAGGTCAATGAATCTTTTGCAGTTGGTCCCATGTCTCTACGACTTGTCGTTTAAGAAAATATCTTGATATTCGTAAACATCGCAAACATTCAGGGGCAATAATTCATTAAAGGAGTTTATGAATTGAACAGTCTACTAAATCAGTCGCAGACATTAATAAAGATTTGGAATCTCTGCGGTTTACGGTTTCGGAGGAGTAGCGATAACAAGGTTTTATTGCAAAAGGGGTCGTAACTCCGAAAGGGGTCAAAGTTCATATACGCAGGGTCAACTGCGAAAATCTTTTACGAAGTACATTCTTATCGACTAAAAGTTTTTTCAATAAATCTTGAAACTCAAAATCACACGGCGGAAAAATAAAAAAAAATAAAAAAAAAAAAAACAGAAGAAAATCAAAAGGTCTTTCCAAGAAAGTTGGAAAGACCTAATTATAAATACACAACTGCCCCTAAACCTGTGATAAAAACACAAATTTCCTGTAATATCAATAAATGTACCCTTTGCGAACTTATAACTATTTTTTTGTTTAGTTCTGTAAATAAATGCTCTTCACCTTTTGCCACCTACACAGAATGACCAATAAATAAATTCAATGAACAATTATAGACAAAAATAATAAATAGAAGGGCAAGGACATCAACAACAGATGGAATTGTGGGATAATTTATGCATGAGGGGCTTCGCACAATAACTATCGTTAATGCCCTGGCATACCCATCGTCGCAAACCACAGCCAAATTGTACGATCCTCTCCCATTCTGGCCGTGCTTGAACGAGGAGAGAATTCTTCGTAGCTCATTAAAATTTTGACCAATGTTTATATATACATTTGAGACAGGTAAAGCATAAGATGAACTCGTAGATTTTGAAAAATATGCATGGCGGTTAGAATTCATTAGGCTAAGGAATTCATCTATTTCGAAGGGAATATTTTGTGAAATCTTGTGACGACATTTCAATATCCAATCGCATTAAAGGAAATATTTCTTGTATACTGTTGACATCAGTTGTTGATTTCAACTGCGATGGAAACAAAACTTGCCACTAACTGAATATGACGTCACAACAGAGAGGCGTAAATATTCAAGATTACGACACTTCTTGTGATCAAGCAGCCACGGGTAGGAGAGAGCTATATGCAGACTCCGGACCGTGGCTTGAGACGATGTGGCATACCCAACAAACTAGACAGTGTTTCTTTAAATAAATATTGTTTGTTGATTTGGGGATTTATGGTTTCAATCACTGCAGAAAAATTATTTTCCTGCTTATGTATGCGGGTTCTCTATTTTACTTTAAATACCTGTTTTTACAAAAAAATTGAGCTTTTATATATTTTTGGGGAATTCCGGGCGAATATTTTACATACTCATATAGTTATGCAATTTATTTATCAGTTTAGAAATATATTACCTAAGAAATATCTAAGAAAAACCTACATCATGCATGTGGGGTCTATTTTACTGTAAATATGTGCTTCAATAAACAAAGCCTTTTATATTTTTATTAATTTTTAGGTGAACGTTTCATATAATCTTATAGTTATGCAATTCATCAATCAGTTAAAAAATATATTCCTTAAAGAAAAAAACCTTCATCATGCCCAGAAATAAATTATTAAGTCCCCTCCCCCATCTTTAATTTTTTTTTTTGCCACATCTTTGATCATGTAGGCGAAGTAAAACGAGAAAATTTAATCAAATATTTTATTGTGAGTTCATTTCCCTATTGAATTTCACAGCTTTAATGTACAGCTCTAGATGAATGTTATTTTTCTAAATATAAAGAATGACGTACTTGTTAAGTGTATTCTGTAAATCAAATGGAAAAAACTATTGCGTAACTTGTCCAAGGAAAATGTATTTCAAAAAAATTGTTCTTTTGATGTTGGTCCACTTGTGTTTATAGCGAATTCATTCAAAAGCTTAATTAAAATCTTTCTTATACAATAACCATGATAACTATATTTTGGTAAGAAGTACATCTAGAAATATAATAAAAGAAATATAGGAATTCTTGTAGTTTTTAAAATTTTTATATGGTGTATTTATTATGACAAAATTTAAAGCACGTATCAAACCTCAAAACAGCGGAACATTTGATCGTTAGAGGTGAGACGTAATTGTTTGACGGCATGAAGAGCTCCACATTCAAGGTCACCCACACGAACTTCTGTAAAACTTCCAAGTTCTGTAATAAAAGTATTTAATACCGTATAAGTGGAATTTTAGCGAGACACAATTTAGCGATTTTTACCTGAAATATGGTATTTCATTTCTAGGAAGAAGTAAAATTAGCGATTATAAAATGCTAACAAAAGAAACTATTGCAAATAATAAGCATTTATATTTTAGCAATATTCAATTTTAGCAATGTCAGCACCCTTGCTAATAATGCAAAAATTAAATCCTCGCTAACAATTCTACTTATACCGTATGTATTAATGCTGAATAAAAAACAAAATGCATTGATACAGAGAGGGTATTAAATGAAAAATAACCCCACTTATTTAGGGTAAATCTCCTTTCCCATGAACTCCCACAATCACAGGAAGCTGATGAAATAGTTACCTAGACTATCAAGAAAATAGACTCATTCACACATGCCATATATTGACCATTTTTTAAGTTTTAAGATCATGCTTTTAAGCAAACTTCTTCATATAATTCATACTGGATACATACATATCTCTGACCTCATCTCTTTGTGGTATTGTTCATTTTTCCTTTAATTATTTTTTAAGGTTTAAAGTAACATAGAACCTTTGCCCTACCTATGAGCTCTTTGACATTGACCTCCTCTGGAAGGATGAGATGTGGTTTCTTTTTCTGATTGTTTAAGGCTGCCTCCTCCTCTTCATCTGGAATTATTTCTTCCACAAAGAGTTTCCTCAAAACATCAACAGGTTCTACAATATAAAATAAAACATCTTCATACTGTATTCAGTTAATTTTTAAAGTATACACTACATCTATGAACCTCAGCAGAAGAATCTGTGAAAGAGCCTTGAGCTTTTAAAACTACTTTAAACTAAATTCATACTCTTGGGAAGGGGAATAAAATGATATACAGTGAAACTTGTCTATTCCGGATACTGTGTAATAAGAAATCTTGCTTAAGCGAGCTCAAAAGCAGGCTTAATAGTTTAATGCATAAGAAGAGAGGAAATTGGGGATAAAATCTGTACATGCATCAGGAAAAGATTTTCCTGTGCAACATTCCCAGAATTCCTTCGCTACCAGGGTTCCATGCAAAATTATTTTAAAACATACAAAAAACCAAGAATATTTGTTCTTTACCAGGATATGTTTACTATTCTTTATTTGCACAAAGCTTAAAAGTAACAATTTTCATCTACTTTACAACATATTTCACAAATATTGCACAAGACCTGTAGTCTCTTTCAACCAGACACTCTTCTATCTCCATAAATTCCCACGTCAAATGACGTCCGAGTCTAGAGTTTTTAGGGAGGACGTTGGGTACTTCTGACAGGTATGTGCCTTGTTGGGGTTTGACCTTGACTAGGTATTTATGGAGGTGGCTGCGTACTTCTGACATGTATGTACCTTGTTGTCCCCCGCTTGAAAAGCGGGGGATATTAATTTGGGTCTGTCCGTCCATCCGTCATTCTGTCTGTCTGTAATGCTTTTGTTTCCAAATGATATCTCAAGAACCCTTTGAGCTTTCGCAATGAAATTTGGCATAGCAACTCCCTATGGAATAAAGAAGAACCCTATTGATTTTGGGTCAAAAGGTCAAAGGTCAAGGTCATAAATTTGCTCTGTCTGTTATAACACTTTCGTTTCTGCGCGATATCTCGAGAACCCTTTGAGCTTTTGCAATGAAATTTGGCATAACAACTCCCTGTGGCCTAAGGAAGACCCCTATTGATTTTGAGGTCAAATGGTCAAAGTTCAACGTCGTAAATTTATACATTCTGTCTGTGTATAACACTATCCCTTCTGGGCAATATTTCAAAAGGATTTTGAGCTTTTGCAATGTTATTTTATGCCAAAACTCCCTAGAACCTCTCTCACCCTTCTCAAAGTGTCCCGCCCTGTTTGTTTTATCAATATTTATTGTATTACATGTTGCTATTTTTAGCACAGGGGCATGAGGAGAGATACATGTATTACGTATAAAACAGGTTCTTGGCGGACTTTATATTCTTATTACGTCTATTAGAACTGTTTAATAAAGCTTAAATTAGACACCATGCATTGTGTAAAATTTTGACAATATCGAACGTGAATGTATACATGTATGTGACTTGATTTTTAACATTTAATTTTCTACGATGTCAAGCAGTTCTGTGGTCTAGTGGTATGTCTCTCGCTTCACATGTAAGAGGTTCTGGGTTCGAATCCCGGACGAACCATTTTCTTTTTTTTTTTTGAAATACTTTTTTAAATAAATGATAGCATGTGAAATGAAAAATGTATGAGGTCTGGCTTGCACAAACTCATAAAATCATTATTACAGTGTGATAAATATTCCATATAAAAAGGATCTTCTACACACATAATAAAGAATAAGCAATGAAATCTTTATTTCCATTTTGGTATATTTTATTTGTTTCAGTATACATGTATACATTTAATACTTCTTCAATAATGGCATAATAATTCAGTCAGGGGGATCCGACTCGATCCCCCCACCACCTCCCCCTGAACTGCGCATGGTTTACTTTTTTCCCTAAGCGGGGGACACAAATTCTCTGAATTAGTTTGTTGAGGTTTGACCTTGACTGGGTATTTAGGGAGGAGGTTGCGTACTTCTGACATTTATGTACATACCTTGTTGAGGTTTGACCTTGACCAGGTGTTTTTGGAGGAGGTTGCGGACCTCTGACATGTATGTACGTACTTTGTTGAGGTTTGACCTTGAATGGGTGTTTAGGGAGGAGGTTGCAGACTTCTGACATGTATGTACTTACCTTGTTGAGGTTTGACCTTGACCGGGTGTTTAGGGAGGAGGTTCCTGACCTCTGACATGTATCGGATGATGCTGTTGATGTCCTTGAACTTCTCCTCTTCCTCCCCCTCCAGACAGTACTGGCCCTTCCTCTGGTCAATCAGCCTCTTTCTGGTCTGTCCACCACAACAGAACAGAATGGCCAACTGGTCAAAGACCAGCATGCTCTGCTTCAGAATGTAGTACTCATCTGACAGGTATTTGGTTTTTAGCTTACGAACTGCTGTGTTAGTTCTGCCAAAAAAAAAATTATCTATAACAATGTACAACATACTGTATACAGGGTTATTTTTGCCCTATGTTATTTTCACCCTTTCACATTTGGAGACAAGTTTGCCTCATTTTAAAATTGCCCAGAAATATTTTTGTTCAAGATATTATACTGTTTACTTTAAATTCGTCCCATTTAAAATTCACCCAATTCTGACGAGGGCAAAAGGGGCGAAAAATTCCCTGTATACAGTATTATTTTTATTAGGTGGGAATTCTTTTTTTTTTCCCTTCACAATGTATATGAACATATGTCATCTGTGGTTATTATTTAATTTTTACAAATCTTACTCAATGATGAGTTCATATGACTAGTATATTTGATGAAATGTTTATTTTTCTTTAGGGCAGTAAAGAACTATATTCGGTATATTGAATATCTTTGCCCCCACAAAAATTAAATTTTGAAAAATTCTTAAAATGTGTATTGTATAAATTGTATGAAAAATATAAATTAACAAAACATGTTGTAGTTTCAAAGTAGGTTAATATTGACTTTTTTTTAATTTATGACGTCACAAACTTGTCGGATTTTGTATTTTTTTTCAGAAAAAGGACAAAATGGACAAAATTTCAACAATTTTATTTATAGAATTTATAGAGCGTATGTCTGTTCAGGAACAATATTTGCATATTTAATTGATATTATTATTGTACACATTATCTCAAAATATTGAGCCTGAACACACCTGCGCTCGGTGACTTTTACTTTAAATATTGACGCAATTTTAACATTTTTCTATAGAAATCATGGAAATTTTAGATTTACGTCATTTTCCTGACGTCATTTCAAACATATGACATCATTGCTGACGAAAACATTCAGTGCTTTGAAGTCAGCATGAATCCCCCTGTTTTAAAATATAATTAAATTTTACTCCGTCAAAGTTTGATTTTGGGGGCAAATATTGGTTACATCCGAATAAAGTTCTTTATTTTGCATAGTAACCAAGAAGGATTGATATCTGATTCACATTTCTGATATCTAGCATGACATTATTCTGTAAGGATCACACTAACTTAATAAGAGATTAATACCTGGGGGCCATTTTTCAAAAGAAATTATGATTATGATCAACCAACAACTTCAGCTGAATCTGATTGTACAATTTAAAAAAATGAATGATTTTTGTTTGAAATTGCAAGGATCAAAATATCTTGTTAAATCCCTTCTTAAAAAGATTAAAACCATTTTCAAATTATAAATAGAAAGTGATAAACATGATCGAATTAAATTTTTATCTACGTCGTAACTGATTCCCATAACTTAAATCTTGCATGATAACACTGGAGTAGAATATGACACTAACTCTATAGGGCCGTGACATTTAAGTCTGTTGATCTCTTGTAGAGTCGGCAGCTCCATCTGTTGGTAGAGATTCATGTAGTAATCCGTGATCAGACGATAGTATCCGTTTATCCCAGAAACAAACGACTCAGCTACGGATTTACTCTCAAATCTCAACACCTACAATATAAGAATCATGTCAATAAAAATTTATCAAAATATTGAAAATGTGTCATAAATTTATATAAATATTGAAAATCGTGTCCTTCATGTATAAATATACTGAAAATGTGTCATTTATTTATCAACATACTGGAAAAAGTGTCATATTAAATGTATGTTTTGATGACTGCACTCTTGTCTATCATATCAAGTAGCTGTTTAATGTATTTTGTACGGAGAATTTTTCTGTCACCACAATGATCATAAATTTGGAATTCATGCAACAAAGTGTGATAACAATGTCTTAAACCTGGTCTCTGCTGCATATTTTAGAACTGTTTTTATAACTCAATGCTATTGAGATGAACTTTTATTTTCTAATAAATACCATTCCCTTCAAACATGAAAACAAGAGATGTTTGTAAAACACTTATGCCCCCCCTCCCTCCAAATTTGAATTTTTTCCAAGTCCAAAAGGGCATAACTCTGTCTACAATTGTGCAATCCTACCCAACACAAAACCTGACTTAGAAATTCAGCTGAAAAATCTGTATACTAAATTTCATTTCAATATGTGCAACCTCAGCAGAGAAAATGAACTGAAACTGCAAATAAGTGGAATTCTTTTTAAGTCCAAGGGGCATAACTCTGTCAATAAAATTAGTGCCCCGCCACAGCATGATACGCCCGTCAAATATTGTTCAATAATAATCATAAATTGGTTAGGGTGCAAGAAAATCAGGTAGCCTTGATTAACAGATAGACACAAATTTCAATGATATAATTTCCATTTCTTATCATGTTTAAAAATTAAAATACTGTACATACATCTCTAAGAGACATACAGTGTAGGGATTAAATATAACAAATAATACATCATACAATTCTAAACTGGCTGTGTTAGAGCTTAACATATATCCATATGCATGCAGCTTTAAATTTTTTATTGCATATTTTATGAAATAATGGAAATGCTAGTCTAATAAAAAATCAAAAATAAATTATTCTTTAGACTATAAAATTCTAAGTGAGACATGGCTGCAATTTGTTCCAAATACTAGCATATAAAAATTGAAATGTAATTTTTTTTTTCAATGAACACATATATATATTATACAATACTAATTTAGTTTTAATCATACACTAAATCATCAATATGTTTTAATTACATTACACCGATTGAATGATCTTTACCTGGACTACAGCCATCAAGAACTCTTAATTAACACAAGCAACTATGAGGCCATTTCTTTTTGCCCAACTCCCAAGAGATAAATTAAGCAGCTGCTTGATCAGATCTAGATATTACCAGTTAGCTCCTGATGATAAACTCATTAATTTCTCTCTAATTTGACATGCACATTTCTGCTATCAAAATTCTTCTTGACCAGTGCTTGATAATTATGCCCATGGGACAGACTGAATTCCTCTCAAAACATTGACATTTGTTACAGATTGCTGTAAAGTATATGATGATAAAAAAATATGTTTTTACTTAATTTAACATTTTTTAATAAGGATACAACTATATTTTTACATTTTTTAGGATTATGAAATTTAAAATTTAAAAGACTTAAATTTGTTTAAAAATTCACTTAAATTAAAGGTCACAGTGACCTTGAAATAGGCCGCGACACACCTTCTACTTTAGATGTATACTTTTGCCAAGTTTGAAAGCTTTGTTTATAAAAACATGTAACAGGTGTGAAATTCTCCTAACTTCATCAAGGAGCCATCAAACCTTTTGGGAATCATGGTCTTTTCTCTCAAAAATTTTATCATTATTTATTGTTCCTATGGGTATCTTGAACAATAATATAGGGTGCATGCATTGACATGTAAAAACTAATTCTTTTAAATGCAAGATTGAATTTGTTGTGGCTAATGAAACATTATTAATTATCTTTCTTCTTGACTTTAAATTCATTACATTGTTTTTATTACATTGAAAATATGAATTTGAACTGTACGTTTGTCATCTTTGTGCGACATGAACTGTAAATTGACTGTTAAAAAAACCCCATATAAATACACTATAGCATAAAAAATCAAATTAATTTTAATATAAACTATCACATTCTTTTTTTTTTTTTTTTTTTTTTTAAAAGGCTGGTAAATAAATGTTTGACAGGCAATAAATTACAATTAAGAGAATTAGAGAAGAGAGATCTTTCCCTCTGTTGTCGAATTCTCAGGAGATTAGATAACACATGATCAGAGATGCCCAACTTCCCACACTAAGCTCATTAATTATCTTTAACTGGATACATGTCCACTCATATCTCCTTAAGGACAAATGGATAGATTATAATTGGAATTTTTATAAGTCCAAAGGGCATAACTCTGTAAAAAATGGCACAATCGTACCCAAAATAGAACTTGGCCTAGATATTCTTCTGATAAATTTGTATACCAAATTTCATTTCAGTATGTGCAACGGTTGTGAAGAAAATGAACGGTGCAACGGTTGTGAAGAAAATGAACTTTAAGTAACCATGGGAACACCAATATGCCCTCCCTTCTTCGAAGGAGGGCATAACAAAGAGTCAGTTTACTAGAAATTAATTCAATAAAAATACCTGTAGGCAGTACATGTATACTGTACATAATTTGGCGAGGGGTTCAAACATTTTTTTTTTAAACCAAATTTTTTTTAAACATTACCACATCACCCTAATTTCACTACATGTGTATATATATTGCAATGAAAGTGTATGAATGTGTGTGTGTGTGTGTGGGGTCTACTTGTGTGGGGGGTTATATTGAGGGTATCCAGTCAATGAACACTTTTGTCAGTATAAAGTAATTTTTGGGAAAAAGGGGGTGGGGGGAGACAATATCTACAAGATCTAAGATGCACGTGTGTAATTGATTTGGATCACAATTCTTTGAAAACAATTCAGTGGATTGGTCTACTAGGAAGTACCAAGTATGTATAATTTAAATCTACCCGGTAAGTGTGGGAATGGGGAGGGGGTAGGGGTAAATTTCCTGGATTCCTAAAACATTGATTCTTTCATGAGGATATTTTTTGTGGGTGAAAATTTTTCTATGAAGGAATACAGTCTACTATTATCAATATATATTGAAGGAGTTAATTTATGGTTTAAGGAGAATTCATGAAAATCCATCAAGATTAAACCCCCACAAAATATACAGACCCCATCAGAGTAGCCATACCCCCAATTAAAATTGATAACGACCTTAATAAAACTCCTTCACAACAGCATTAGCATATATTCATCATGTCCATGGAAAAAAAACCCAAAATTAACCTTTAAAGTTTGCACTGTAAACTGTTCATTTGAAATTTCTGATGATAATTCAGATATGTTTAAATAGTCCTTTGCCACCACTGAATAAAACATTACTAAACAAATAAGACAGAATATGAACCTTGATAATTAATCAATACAGAATGTCAATCTTGGAACAAACAAGTTAGGGTATATCAATATATCAAGCAGATCATTGAATTTTTAAAATACTTTTCTACCTACATACATTGAATGTAAAAAGTCAAATCCCATCTTTTCTCATTGATCCATATATTACCCACGGTAAACAATCAATGAAGTCTGATTAAGTAATGAAAACTTAGTTTTAAGAGCTAGGGTGTCTAATAATTAAACAAAGTTGAAAAAATGTCTACCATAGAAAACATTATAGGTAACCTAGTCAACCCTCACTCTGTCATCAAAAGCTTTTCTCCCAGCTGAAACCAACCTAGGTCATTATAAAAAAAACAAGATGTGTTTTTGAATCACTATGCCCCTGATGTTAAACAGTTCTGGAGTGGGACTAAGACTGAAGTATGGTGGTATACACTTACCCTTGACGGTGCAATAGTTGTGGGCTAGGTTAAAGTTGACAACAGACAGACAGCTAGACAGACAGAAAGAAGAGAGACAGACAGGACAAAAATAACATACCCCTGGGATCTTTCAATCCAGGGGCATAAAAATAGGATGCTTCTTTTCCCCGCACTCTGCACTTGGAAGAAAAAAAAAATTGTGGGAGTTTTGGGCGTGGCCTGAAAAACTGAGGCCATGTCTTTTGACAGACGTTGGCATGCTAAGGAACCAATTAACACTCCTCATTGGCCTTAGTGCTGAGGAAAGGTCTACAATTGAAGCCTTTTACTGGCATAAGGGGGCATCTCTTACATGTACAAATGAAATAATCTAACAAAGGAGGAAAAGAAAAACCAATCAATCAATCAATTGATCAGTCAATTAATCAGTCAATCTATCAATCAACCTACCACCGGGCAGCCATTAGATCTGTCTAGATGAACATTCCAGGACTTTTTCTTCTCCTCCGCATGGTTTGGTGATATGTGAATGGCTCGGAAATCATCTATTGATGAAAAGAATTCCTGTCAAAAAAAGAAAATTATTGGTTACTCTAAATTCATACCAATTAAGTACCGTATATACTCACCTATAAGTCGGATTTTTGGGAGTTAATCTCTGGTCCAAAACTCATGTCCGACTTATAGGCGAGCTATAAAATGAATGGGGTTATATGAGGTCAGTCCCTCTGATATATAAGCTTATTAAATACAACCGACTTATAGGCGGACCGACTTATAGGCGAGTTTATACGGTACTGCAATTTATTTGTTCTTCATCTACATCATGGTAACTACATGTGCTGTATCAAAGGGAAATTTCAATTCTGTTTTATTTTACCTACACCACCCTTGTTGTCGGTGGGTAAATTCAACACAGAGGGTGAAATCAGTATAGACTGTATTAAACTCATTTTTAACACATTTGAGTTAAGTAAAATCAAAATAGGAAAATATAATTTGCTTTTGAAAAAGGAAGAAATACACTGAGGCAATAATAACCCTCACATGAACAGAATTATGATCATAATCATATTTTTATACAATTTCTTACATTATGAATAAAGAGTCCCTTGTACTGGTTTCCCCCGTTTTCCTCGTGCTGCTGTACGTCCAGCGTGATTCTGACCGGGCGGGGACTCCCCGTAGTCACCTGCTGGGCCTCATACCTCTCCACCCCGTAACTCTGTACCTCATTAAGAACATCCTGATAAAGCAAAAAAAAAATCTTCTAATTTTTTTATTTTGAAATTGACAGCCATTTTAAAATATCAAGCTTTCATTTATTGATTAAAGGAAAACTTGGATTTATTAAAAACCAAACATTTGAAAATTTTTTATTTTGATATCTGTTAAATACCTTGATATAGCCCAGCCACAGTTCTTCCACAGTGGTGGTACTGTGCTGCAGTAAAAACTCCTCAGTCTTTGTCTTCATGTTCTTCTTTAACTGGTACCCCCTCCATAATCTCACGATCAGATGGGAGGGCAAGAAAGAATCCAGTTTCTGTTTATTGAGCACCTCCTCATAGTTTTTATTCTCCATTTTGATGGCAATGACGATGCTGAGGACAGCATAGCCCCGAGCCTTGGCCTCATTCTTTATATCCTGTTCATAAATATCACTGAGGCGACTTTTAACAAAGTCGTCCTTACACTGTAGGTATAAATATTTTAGGAGATCCTGTCCAAGAATGGGCAAGTTGTGCACAAATTTCCTCCCTGGAATGTACCTGATTCTCAGGTAGAAAATGTTTTTTGCATTAGCAGTGGGTGAATTCAGAATCTGTTTCTTCAGCTCCTCCATGGTAATACAAGGATTTACCCACAGCATTTTTGGAGTCCGTTTCTTGTCTATAGAGGCCAGTCCAAAGAGCTGCACAGCGGCAGGGCCCATCTTCGTGAAATTTTTCCTAAGCAACTGAATACACAAGTCCTCCACAACTTTTGAGTCATCGCTTGAATCCACAACATACACTGTTCCATCATGCAACTCAATCTGGACCTTTACTATGGCCGTCGACTGGATAGACACGTTGACCTGTGACAGGTTCTGTGGTGCGGGCTGACTATCGAGGGCGGTACTCGAGGTCAGCTGGGGAGGGGGGCTCAAATTCTCCTCGGGGGCAGAGGAAGAGGAGGAGGAGGGAGGGTTTATTGTTGTGGAGGTGAGATTTGTCACCTGGGTGTGAGTGGAGGACACAGAGTCCGGGCCAGTGTCCGCAGAACCACCCGGCACTGATTCCGCGTGAGAATTCGCCGAATTTGTGTTCGTGCTGGCATTGCTATTTAGCAACTGAGTTTTTGACATGTTAGACATGGTCCCACAAGAAAGCAGTTTTCAATCCAAGTTCTTCATTCAAAGTCTATTTAGTTTCCATTGATTTTCGTGAGCCTGATCTTGCTGAAAAAAAAGAAAACAATGTTAAATTGAAACTGGAATGTTTACTGATAGATTAAATAAAAGACCAAAGTCTCATGAGGACACTCAAACATCAAGTCTCTCTGCAGTTATAGCCATCATTGTCATTATTGTTTTACTAAAAGACAAGTGTTTACAGATGGCATCCAGGAATAATCAATGGTGAAGAGCTAGATGTTTAAGCATTATTAATGAATTTTGAGACATAATCAATCTTCCTACTTTAAAACTCCCCCTTTCTCTCTCTCTTTCTCTCTTACCTAAACATGCAGGTAACCCACTTTTATTTCACTAACTTTGAAGTGAGGTACATTATGGTTCTACAGTTCATTGTAATTTACTTCAAATTCTCTCCCTTATTCATTATTTTCAAAATGAACTTTTTAAGGTCAAATTTGAAATTTGATATCTGCAGAGATCAATGATACATTCATGGTGGAGATAACCTTGGGTATAGATGGTATGGTAATTGCCTTTTACAAGCAATTTAGAACTCTAAAACTTGATCTAAAGCTCTTATGTTAGTTAACTGTTCGATCATCATCATAAAAGTTAAATCACCTCTAAATTTAATATGAATACATTCAAGGTTTATTCTTTAAAAGTCTTGTTGATAAGTGTTCTCTATGGTTTAAATGCACTCATGTTACCAGAAATTATCAAACATAACACATTTCCCCAATGTCAACATGCAGTGACCTATTTTTATATCATCGTAGAGGATATGTATCCTGGAGGAATATTACGGAGACAGCTTGAAATATAAAGTGATGCAAATCATAGTAATAACCAAGACCTTTTTCAAAATTTTCATAAATGGCATAAAAATGACAGAAATGAGTACAATTTTAGCTGATGATCTTTAAATACCTTTCATCATATCGATTCAAGCCATGATTACCACTAAAATTTGTCTCCAAGTTTTAACAACTTGCTGTCAAAAACGCCTGTAATATCTAAAACCAACAGACCGTGACTAACTGTCAATCTCTGCATGCATGATCTCCAGAAAAAACATGCTCCCATTTACATATGATTAGTCCATAATATAGTCAGCCAAAAATTAGAAATAATACCTGAATGTATATTCATCCTTGAGTGTCCCTGTTCCTACAAGTGATACCTGGGCACTTTTACAATTCACAAAGAATAAAGGCCATTTCATTTTATCATATAAAGATTTCATTAATATTTCTCACAAACCTAGTAAGTACTGCATTAATTTTTTTATGCATATTTATCTCAAATCAAGCAACACTGGCACATTTAGAAAAGTGATTATTTAATTTTTATAAGATTTATAATATCCAATATACATTTGATGATTTCAGTATTTCCTTATAAAGAAAAGAATGCAACAACTTTATACTTATAATTTTTCTAATTTACATCCATCAATTTCTATATTGGTCTGTAATATTGTAAATCTACAGTGGTATTTTTAGGACATGTAATTATTTTTTTTTTTTAGATACCAGGAAAAAATTCATCTCATGAAAACGAGATATTATCTTGTGAAAACAAGATATTATCTTGTGAAAACAATTAAGATATTATCTTGTGAAATTTCTTGTTTTAACAAGATAATATGTTGTTTTCACAAGATAAATTTTTCCTGGTATCCAAAAAAAAAAAGAATTATGTGTCCTATTAAAATGTACCACCATATAAATTGATCTTTATGGCCAATATTCTTTTTTAAATGAAATAATTCGTTTCAAGGACTTTTTCTTTAAAAAAAATTAAGTCAGTTGGAAAGGGGGGTGGGGGTGGGTATAAATAAAAACAAAAATTTGTAAATTGCAGGAGTAGTAGTGCTTTTAAAATCTTTTTTTCTTTCATCTTTCTAATGTCAATCCTCTCCCCTGGTCTCTGACGAGTGAATAAAATAAATTATTATACCTCATTATAATTATTCTGCACAATGCATTATCTGATTGGTTTTGGATTATCATGTGATCGGGCCATAAAACTTCATATTTCATGGTCGTTGGCATGCTTTTCATCATATTCCAAATCTTCGGATACCTAGTGCAATATGAAAACTCCTGAGACTAGTATATGTCGCAATAGGCTGGTTGATGTCACAAAATTGCCAATCAGTGATATGTTAAATGAATTGACAGTATAACTGTGTTAAAAATGAAAGTGAATTTGAGAGCGGTGCTGAATTAGAAAGTTTATGTTTTGCTTTTTTGGTATAAGAAGATTTATTCAGCCAAGAAATATCATTTTCTCCTCTGGCAAAACCTCGGGGAATATGATTTTTATTGGCTGAATAAATCTTCATATTTCCCTCACTTTCATGCAATAAATGTATAATCCCTCTGTCGAGTTTTTTTCTGCACATAATTTTTACAACTAAATAACTATTAAATTCTTAGTTTTTGAAGGAAAGAAGACAGATATAAGAACTTTATATGTAACAGGATCAGAAATTATTTTGATTGCATGTGTATTGTGGTACAAAAATAAAATCCTTGACTTAAGAGGCTTTAAGCAGAGTGGTAAGTATTTTTGGAATTTTCAAACAGTATTGTGACTGTTTAAGAAAACCATAAGGAAATCTTGTTAAATAAAACCGATTCAGCATTGTAACATAAGGTGCAGAGAACTACATGTAATAATCTAATAATCTAAACAAGGATGCTAAATTCCAAGAAATATATTACATAATAAGCACTGGTTAAGATTTAGATATCGTAGGCCCCATACAAAAAATAAACATGATAAATAAAGCTTGAAATTATATGGACTTAATATGCAAGGATGTATAGTTGTATTGTATTTGAAAGAGTGTGTTGGGGGGGGGGGGTCAAAATATCAACTAAACTGAAAAAGAAAAAAATATTTTAAACTTGATAAAAAAAATCACAAAACTGTAATGATCCCCTATATGGCAACTAATGGTTCAAGATAAGTTCTTCAAATGAAGGTCAAACTCAAACATGAAGACGACATAAACATCTTGTCATCAAAATAAATGTGAAATATGAAAGCCCTCACACCATAAGTTCAAAAGTTCAACAATTTAGGATTTTACCTGCATACAGACAGAAAGAGCCCAAAGAGGGTCTAAAATAAGAGGGACAAAAACTAAAACATATGGTAAAAGGAGATTGTACCCTTCTGTCCAACCTCTATCAACATCTGTCAATTACCTTGTATATACATGTATATTAAAAAAAGCAATTAATATTAACAAAAATAAGCTCTCATTAATTTTTTTCTGTTAGATGCACTTCCACTTTTTTAAAACTAGGTACATATAAGTATGTTTGAAAAACAAATTCTTACAATTTAAAGTTGAACATCACAGACTTAGAAATTGTCACTGCAGAATCCTGACAGCTAGTTAGCAGATTAGTAATATGTATTATTTAGAGTACGAGTTTCCAACTGTTACAGTATCAGAGATACAGAGCGGGGCTTGAGGCGAGAGCGATAGCTCGAGCCAGACCCCACCCTATATCACGGATAAAGTAGGAAACGAGTATTCTAAATGACTTTTGACATGACCTTTCTAATGACCTCACTAATTTACATGCGTATTTGGGTACACACCTTCCAACCAATCAAATGATTTTGCACAAAGTTGATTTAGTATCCCATTTTAAGCATTCGCAACTGAAGTGCCGAGTGAGGTGGAAGTGCAGGTATCTATCATTTTAAAATAATTATTAATTAGGGGATGCATTAAAAAAATTGTTTTCCAAAAATTTTATTTAGATTTTATTGCGAAGGCTTTTTTTTTCTCTATTCAGCTCTTGCTGACATTTTTTTTCAGTTTAAGCTACGATTTAATGCAAAACATTTTGATATGTAAGAATCATGTGGGAATATTTTTGAAACAAAAATGTTTCGGGGAGATCGTATATTCTGAGAGAAATGTCCGACAATGTCCTCCACCGTCGTCGTATACAAAATTGAAATAAGCAGATGAAAGGAAAGGGAGAAGGTATTTTACCTTCATATTTTCATTAAGGATACACCAAAGACTTTTTTCAAGATTTTTGTCAATTTTGAGATTTTTGGCTAAGAAAACAATGCTAATCACTGCTTTATAAATTAATGCATGAAAAATTTTGGCTGATTATTAAATGGTTTTCTAATTATTTAACAATAATCAAACATAAACACTAACACATGTGAATGTGCCGTTATTGAAGCTTCTGATTTGGTCTGTAACTGCCTGCTTCTGATAGGAGCAATAAATCACTGTGACCACTTGGGGAATTCTTCACTAGCCACACAGAGGTTATCAGTAATTAAACTACAGGGGCTCTAGATTTAGGGAAGGAGATCTAACAGGTCACTAATGACCATGAAATAGGAGGTGGAGCTCAGCTCTTGCCATTTTGCCGGGAAATCTTTCTGATTCAGAATTGAACCTATTTTACTTCATTTAAAGCACCTAAATAAAGAAAAGAACCTCCCATTCTTGTGAATATGCATAGGAAATATGGATAAGTGACATGTATCCAAAGCTGAATCTCCAAGGTGTCATATATTTCTAGATTTGGCAGACTTTGTTGTGTAATGGGTTTTTGCCCTCTACTGTAAAGTAAGATCAGACAGTTGGTGGTATTATTTCAAAGGATTCAGCTCCCTTATTTATTGACCAATTTCTCTGAAAACTGGCCAGAATGCGTCTCAAATGTGTGTTCACAAAACTGTATCTCAGATTTTTGATATCTTGCTCAGTTCTCGAATTATTGGGGGAAATGTAGAATTGGGATAATAAATTGGTAACATTGAAAGACAAATGGATGTAACTTTTGAATAAGAAGATTTATCAAAAATCTGAGATACGGTTTTAAAGTTCAATCTTTAATCTACATTGAGGCAAAATTTTGACTTTGAGAGGTGGAATACAAAAAAGTTGATTTATAAAATATAAATGCACTAATATTTACATTAAAATATTAATAATTCTTTAATAAGATAAAAATGAAAATTTAAATTAGGATCATTAAATAGTAAATTTAACAAGCTTTCAAATGATATATACTTTTAATATGCTATCTTTGTTAATAAAAGAATTACAAGCAAATTAAATTTTGCCCTTTGGAAACCTTTGGTGTATCCTTAAAATGTAGAGTAACCAAAGAGGGATACAGCACTCACTGGTGCTCCCATCCCACCATCCTTTGAGATTTTTTTTCTCTTTCGCTTTCGTAAATTATTTTTGCTAAACTTATACATATGAACCCTTTTAAATTCATCAACAAGTAATGATATGATGCACATAATGTGCTGGTTGATTATATAAATCTACCCCCACGGAATACTATTTCCGTTTTTTCGGGGGGGGGGGGGGGGGGGGGGGGGGGGGGGGTGTCAGGCTAATACAGACTAATAATTTGTGAACTGTCCCACTCCCTCCTTTTTAAAATTTTTGAATTCGACACTAACCTTTACCTTGTAAAATTTTATTCATAACTCACCTCAATTTTTGAGTAATTACTAACAGTTCTATGGCGAATTGAAGATTGGTATGTCTGTATACGGATACAGCTTTCCACCATCGCTAAAAATAAACCTTACTGTATCATTGATATTTTGCAGATACAGTACAGTTTCTGCTCATTTGCATAAGAAACGCCCACAAAAAGTGTTCTGTATCGCAGTTACAGTATGCTTGACTTCAAAGAAAAATTCGCCGGGTCATGTCACAAATTGCTTTAAATCATTTACTGTAAATGTATTATATATAATGTTCGGTATTTGATGGAAAATAATTTTTAAACAATAACGTAGCACTGGATTTGATTTAGCACATCTCTTAATGATCTTATTTATGCATTGTTTAAAACATTTTTACAGCTATATGTACTTGAACAAGCAGGGTAATATTTCCATCAAAAAGAATTAAAAAGAATATACCACCAAATGCAATACATATATAGTAGTAATTAATAATATATTTAACAGAAAATGTATGAAAATAAATAACCCTGCCATTTAAAAAAAAAGATACGCCCCCCCCCCCCCAATGCTTTGGTAGTGGATGATTTTTGTCAGAGTACACCATATTAATAACTTTATTTTGCCTAATGTAACCGTCGGAATTCAGAACCTGTCATTACTTATTTTTAATATTTCAGAATCTTCGACCATACTTTCGGTTTCGGTTTCTACTGTTGTGACATATTTACATATAACTGGGATTAATTTCTAATAAATGATATAAATATTATTATAATCTGGGATCCCCTAATAATATTTAAATTGTGCCGTATTGTGCAGTTTTAGCCATTGTTTCATCTAGTTCCTGTACTTACCGTAAAAAAAAAAAATCACGGACGGAAATAATGTAGCATGCCTCCATTTGACATATTTTATAAATGTGTGGCATGTTAGCCCTTCGTCTCGCTCACATGGGTCTGTTATAATATCACATAAGTGTTTTACAAAGCATACAATACACAGTAGTCAACGATTCGTGCAATTTCCAAGAATTTAAATACCACATGATACAAAATGAAAGTAGAACTCGGTCACATTGTTTTTTTGTGTGTACCTCGAACACGACACAAATACAAGTAGCGTGACATGGGTTTTTTTTCGCGTTATAAATACCTATCTAGTTTTAAAGTGACAAACAATTTTTATTTAAATTCAGAGTTAACACATATAAAATCAATCTGTAATGAGATCATTATTTTTTTTTTATTATTTAGCAAATTGAAGAGGTGGGGGTTGGGGGGGGGGGGGTGAGTGGGTGGAAGTCATTTTCTTTTAAAGTCAGAAGACACGTTCCTCAAAAATATATAATTTTTCCTGAGAATTTGTCATTGAATTCTAGGTAATTAAACTAGATTCCTCACAAAAATTGGGGTACCTTACCAGGCATTTGGACAAGATACCACAGGGTGGTATTTATTTCTTATATAACCCTTATGGGTAATCCTCTGAATGGCCTATTTCACAATTTTATGTGAACTTATATTTAAAAACATTCTAGAATTCAGAAAACATTGTAGAATTCAGAGGAGAATGACAATTATGCATAATGTTTAATATAAAACCAAGATTTACAAAATATATATATTTGAGGAAGGTGTCATCTGACCTTAAGAGATTGGCATATATATATATATATATATATCTATATATATATATATATATATGGAGGGTTTATGTATAAAGGAGACCACTCATCCACATATATATACATTAGGGGGACACGGATATTGTGGGGACACCAGATTGGTCCCCTTAATGTTTAAGCTTGAATACCTAAATTACAGAATGATCCAGTAAACATTAGTTGTAAACTTTAAATAAAGTTTGACATGATCTTACAAAATTTAATTACATTTAAATTTTTAAAGTATCGAAAAGGTAGAAAAATAGAATCCCGTTTTCAGCATATATATTTTTAGGTAAATAAATTTATGCTTTAAGGACACCACTAAAAAGTCTCTTTATTTTTCTTATTTCCCATATATAAAAATAAATCTGCTAATTCATGCATTCATTTATGGTGTCTTCAAGCTTAGGAACACGATTTTACATATTTTTGAAAACTGGTTAAAATATTCATTTTTTCTTCACCATGAAACGCATGACATTTCTGTTTCGAGTCGTACTATGGTCATCCGGGTATTTCCAGGGAAGGACGCTACAGAGTACAGAGTCATGTTCAAGGGCAGTATGTGATTTTTTTAAATGGTAAGTTTATTTGCTAGGCGTATTTTGCTGAGTATGAGAATTTATTTAAATGTTGACAGTTAGATATTTAATCGCGAGATATTTATTATAGTTAGCCAACTCAAGTAACGGCGTGTATCAGGCACGTAGCATCGTTTTTTTGAAAATGGGGGGCCAACCAGAGATTTTTTTCTCACCTGAAAAAGTTAACAAGCAAAAAAAAAAAAAAACAAAAAAAAATTAAAAGTTCCCCGAACTCGAAAATCCGATTGCGTTGGGTGGGTGGGTGGGTGGAGGGGGGGGGGGGGGGGGGGGGGGGGGTATGACCAACTTCTCGAAGCCAACTTACTCTCACTTCCAATTTTTTCTGTACGATCCTTGATATCTCTATACTATGTTATAAAGTGGGGGTGGGTGGGGGCCACCATCCTTTCAATGAACATTTACTATAGTCAAGGTAATCATGGTAATGTTGGGGAACAAAGTGCCCCCCCCCCCCCCTTGCGGATGCTACGTCCCTGCAAAGTTGAGATGTGAACTGATGTTCATCCAACATGTACATGGTCATGATGATGTATTGTTGGAGATAATTCACGATTTTTTGCAAATTGGAAACCAAATTAAGCTTTTTTTTTTGAAAAATTATGTCGGTCAATAGACGTATATTAATTGTACCTTTTTTTAAGTATTAGGTGACAATATTACCTTCAATATTCGCTATGTTTACAGAAAATTCAAGATAGAGATATTGCTAATTCATACTCCTAGGCCCTAACATGCGAGTATCCTTTATTGCCGAAAAATACCACATTTTTCTTTGACATATCCAACATATAAGTTTTTTTTTCTGCTACACCAGTCCGGGCTAAAAATAAACCCCGTCCATGACCTTGGGTAAACAGGAAGAAGATTACCAATTATTGCCGCTTATATCATTTCCTGATTATTCACCAACTAATCGCTAAACCAACCAACAACTTTTAAATTAATGACAATTAAAGGTCGAAAAATGTCTTGAATCTAAAATAATTCAATTAGAAACGCAATTTGAATGTCTTATTTTAAACTTTTGCTGGCCTATTTTTTTCGATGTTGCTACGACCTCCTGCGTTAAAATAACATGTGCTTTGTCGGAACTGACAATGACCGAAACACTATTTTTCCAAGTGAACGCAGTATCATGACAGATAATAGAGAGAAAAGTTTAAACCTCATCCGCTGCAGGGCTTTGGAAAACACCTGTTTAACCAGTTTTTGCATGTATTTTGCTTGTGCACGTGAACCAGCCTTCAACAGCTGTTCAAAATTTCTTTGCAACTTGGTTGGCGGAGATCAGGTTAACTGGTTAAAGCCGAGAGACTAGAGCCCAATGGTGTACTTAAACATCGATCACAGTAACTGGATGTCATTGGTCAGTGTCATTTGGATTAGAAAACTCTTTAAAAATCTTCTTCTCAAGAACAACAAAGCCATGATTGGTCATATTTTAATGGAAGCATCCCCAGGACTGATATTTCTGCTTTTTCCTAGCCAGAATGCTCAGGTGAGCACATGTTCATTCATTTCATGATAAGTGTTTTGAATTTCAGGTAAATGTCAGTATCTCGAACATGGGATATCTAGAATACCCCGCTTATGTCGAAGTCGATAGCCGGTCCCTGCCGATTTCTCTATATTTATGATTTAAAAAACACCTGATATCTCGAATACCCTGCTCATGTAGAAGTATATATATTTAAAGTCCCAGGCGTTTTTTTTTACCTGGCTTATCTCGAAGTGCAGCGAATTTTTCGGTCTACTGAACACACCTGGCATCATGACTTAATTAAAACATTCTCACCAGTGGCTATTAATACTTGATATCGCGATTACTTAACTTAGCGGAATTCTTTCGTGAAGGAGGTAGGAATCGTCTGTTGAGTGGGGGCAATTTGCTTTTCAATACAATGCAAGATCGATTATTGTAGCATTTATAAGGACAGATAAGTAAAAAATCCCGGTGGAATATACCTCGCTAAACAATTGCTGAACCAGTCTAATATATTTTATAATATAAAATATATTTTACCAACACCAACTTGGGTGTTTGGTGTACATTAAGTCTACGACTCATAAAACTAACCTGACTTCGCTGCAGTTCAGAAATTAAATACAGACAGTATTACCGATATTGCAATTAATTATATACTGTGTATGATTAAAGATCGTAATTTCATAAAACACCAATTTTTTTCACGATAAACTTAAATAAAACAGTCAAGTTGCATTGCATAATGCACAGTGCAATGATTGATTACATTCATGTTTATCTGCATACAGATAGCTTTCACCGCCATTTGCATTATTAGTTTCGTAAAGTACATGTTCCTTATTATTATGCCTCCTGTCAGGTTGTCTCTCTATAATCCTTACCCTACTATTCTGGCATAGTGGTCTAAGGATTTATATACTATACCGAAAAAGTGCAGGGCTTTATTTACCGAACAAAATTCTTCATTGCACACAACCCTGATCGAACTCAGGACCATGAGATTGTCAGTCCGATGCCTTATCGATTATGCCACAGAAACGATCACTGATTGGTGGTATTTTGTTAAATATCTAAACTTAATTAATACAATTGACACAAAAGGGAAGAAATAGATAAATTTTATTTAAAAACAGTTATATTTTTATGTGGAACCTTAGATTAATGTATGCAACAAAGTTTCAAACTAATTACATACAGATCGTTAGATGAACTGATTTCATAGGGTCTTTTAAACGCTTTTTTATATGACGCTTGATTGCAGGATGTAAAAGAAAATTATCAATGAGAATCGATGTCTGCAAACAAATAAGTTTTACTAACAAAACAGAAAATTAAGATGAGTTGCTTTGGGACAGAAAATCCTGACTTATTTAGAGAAATACTAGTAACCAAAATAACTAAGCATGCAACCAATTTTGGCATAAAGATTTAGCAGTCTTCACGAAAACTTTTCAAACTAACTGGCCAGTCAGATCAGTGAACTTTCAAAATGTACTGGCCCACCAAAATTTTAACTGGCCCCTTAATGAAAAAATAAAATAAATACATTTTTATAACTAGATTAATACGTTTACGCACTTCAACTTTTGAAATGCCGCCATTTTTCGTCCTTTGTTGTGTTTTGGTAAGTTGTTCGTTGGAAATTCGCAAATTTTACGCATGTCTAGTTAATAGTTACTTGCTAGTTCCTGTTGTTACGTAAATCATCCAGGTTATAATAATACGATTCAACAACATGTGTTTTTTTTTTCATTTTATATATTAATGAAATTTAAACAAGTAAGTCAGTTTAAATATATATTGACTGTGTATGATTTTTAAAATCAACAAGCCCATCGGACTTCTTGAATTTTGATTTTCACTGACCCGACATCAAAATTCACTGGCCTCGGTCTTCAAACCAGTGAGTTTTTGTGAAGACTGTGTTTCAGGAAAAAGTCAAATGGATTGCTGCATAAATAATTACAACAGTCAGCATAATAATACATTGGATAGTGTTGCATTATGCATGTGCTATGCCTAAATAGTAGGCAGGGTTTGACCATGTTGACACATAGTGCACTCGCCAGACCATGTGTCAAACCCTGCCGACTATTTAGGCATAGTTCATGCATAATGCAACACCATTATGTGAGGATTGTCCCAAAAAGTCGTGGACAATGTTTATAATTTTTTTAATATGCAACCAATACTAACCAAATTTTGCATAGACATAATATATCATAAATCTGGAAATTTTCACGTCGATTTATTTTTGCGAATTTGGGTCAAAAAGCTGTTGATTAATTTTTACGCTTCAAATTT